ATATTCAAGCTTTATTGTCCCTCAGGAGCACCACTAAATCGGAAATTTCATTTTGTTCAGCATGTATGCCCCAGACATACATAGATATCAAGGGAATGGACCATATTGGTCCCTTATATGTATTACAACTATACATCATCGGCGACGTAGAATATAATGACAATTTACTGAATTTTATACGATTTTATTCGAGGTGCTACACACTACCTATTGCCGACGTCGTCGGGAACAGCGACAACCAGCGTCGGGCACGGCGGCACTGTGATGTCATCGTGTCGGTGGGCGCCATCAGTCCCCTTTTGGCAGCTGTCTATTTTGGTACGTCGGTCCACGCGACGCTACGGCTGGGGCCAGTGCTACCGCCGGAGTCTTCTGGAGGCTCCGTACTCTACTACCCTACAAGGCTGGCGGTGTTCCCGGTGCTTCCGCCGGAGTTAGGAGAAACGTCTTTTGAGTCTTATAAGCGTGGACGCGCTGCTCGATCGTCCACTCTTATAAGCCTTGTTCTTTGGGAAGGTCAGGTGGGTTTTGAGCTTGCCGGACAGGGTGCTTCTTGCCGACCAACTGGAAATCAAAAGGCCGTCCATGGATGTAGCAGAGGACAATCAGGCATTGTGGTGTTTCCGCGGTGTCCCCAGGTGTCAGGTCAACGACGTGCCCGGGTAGCACGGTATGCTCGTGGAGGAGACAACACGCGCGGCACTAGTGTGCCAGGCCGCAGCGAGGACCACCCAGTGGCGTTTCTGGCAGGTGAACTAGAGAAGGATTCAATGCTGAATACTAATGGGCTATCCAATCTCTTCGGTATCTCCGTATTACGCCCTACAAGCGTGGTGATCGATGCGACGAGCGGCTTCGATATATGAGACTGGCCTAGTAACATTGCCGGCGCACGCAAAGAGCCATGAAACCCAGTTCCATTTCCTGGAGCGCCGCACAGTTTCACGCCGTATCTTCCCAAGCGGGGGGTCGTCGGGTATAAGGCGCGCCTCCATCCAAGGCAGGACGCAGCGTCTCACCGGCCGTATTCGGATCCCGAAAGTACCCCCGTCTTCCTGGTTCCTCTCTCCGATGCTGCCCGTGTCCATCGCGCCGGGGCAGAAGAGCGTCCTGGAATAGATAAGGTCGTGCGTTCCGAGTCCGGGCTTCGATTCGGATTGCGTAGTCCATGGCCAAGTCTATCTCCGTCTCGAGCGTGGACTAGCCGCATAGTATGCATCTCGAGCTCGCTCGCCAGATCCAGAACATGCGCGGATCCAGAGGCCCAGGGAAGGCAACGACGTGGATCCTCGCGCCGAGCCATCTGAATCAGGCTTTCGTGATCGCTGCAATCACCGTCCACCTCCCGCCGGCTCGCGCTATCACGAGCAACTGTGAATGTAGCATTCATAGAGTTCAGAGCAATATCCAGACCGCTCCAGAGCACGGGCATTCAGACGTAGACGACATCAAGATTCAACATGGGAGAATCACCTGGCTGATACCGAGGAATCGACAGGAGGCACTAGCGAGCGGTGGGATCGTCCGCGCGTATATATGCCTGACCTTGCTCGGTCTGGATTGTATTGTATCCGCCAGAGCAGGAGTCTAGAGTTTGGACGGAGGTACGTCGGGTCGGGGCTCGGAATGTCGCGTTTGTATACTGAACGCCGGGGGCAATAGAGTCGCGGTCAATGGAGTCAGGTACGGCCCGGTGCTGTACTACTCGGATAGTACCTTTCGAGTGTATACGATCCCGTTTGGCACGCAGGCACTGAGGCACACAATGCTGGGACGTTTGGCGTGTACTTACGGTGAAACCGTCATCTGCGCACCGACGTCTGACTAGCCATATCTGGCAGGCTGGTTGCCGCATCTGTCGAACCGCCGTCCCCGCTCGCAACCAATGGGAGTTCGGATTGATGGCGCTCTCGCCCGCCGCTGATCATGACAGTCCCCATCTGTCCGTGTCCGCATCACCGCCCGCCGACGCCCGACGCCCTTCCATTCCGATACTAGCGCGACAGATCACCTATCGCTGCCAGCTTCAAGCACCCGTCTTTCCATTACCCACTGGCACATTTCCCCGCCCGGCTATAAGTACACCGCGTCACCACCGCAATTATTGTCAAATATCGGGGATGTGTGTCTCCGGGTGACAGATGTTATTGTGTTGTGCTTTTGCTCGCAGAGTGTGTACGTATCCGCTCAACAGTGCGCTCCGACAATCGCATTGACAAGTAGATCCTGGGATTGCTGACACTCGTACGTACTAATTGCTGTCGATACGGCGCATCAGCTGGTATGTCACTCGCTGGCTGCACACAGGTGTATACGCGGACCTCGACTAAGCTGATGCGCCCAGCGTCCAGTCGACGCCGGGTGACCTACAATATTCACAACGCGGAGACGGCCTGCTAAGTAGTTCGCGTTTGTGTTCATAACGCCGGGCCTTGATGCGCCGGTAGTTAGCTGTTGCTTTCTTGATCACACGAGTCGTATACTAGAATCACGACATAGATGGTCTAACCACCCCTGCTTGGTACTTACTGTACATGTAAAGCTTAATAAGCCACATCGCACCACACTCGCGAAGTCGGTTCTGAAGATCTGAACGTTCAATATTCAATCTTGATTGAGATTATAAAGTGATCAGTCAGCAATCGGCGTGAATCAGCGGTATGTAAGTAATCATTCGGTGTGGGTTGAGGGCGAGCGGTTTGTGAGCAACGAAGCAACCTTCACGAGGACACTCGTCCGCCAACAAACTGTACGCCCACTATCACGATCCACAGTCGCACGCTACACCCGTCTTCCAGCCAAAGCTCATTTGTATTTATAGCTCCAGACCAACAAGCGCCCCAGACCGCAGGACAACGTCAACTACAAATTCATTATCAGGCCCTGCAAATCAATCACCCAGCACAGTGCACAGCAGCCCCCCAGGCACACACCTGCCCGTCTATCATCACTTTGCAGTGCACACACCTACCCCGCATCAATGCCTTACTGTGCATGTATACCGGATTGGGCAGCCGCCTTGCCTGATAAGGATATTCTGTGATGGTGGAGTGATGCGGACGTGGATGGCGGGATGCTGAGACCGGCCAAGGCGGACGTTGGGGCGCTCGTGACTGGGAATGGTATACTGGATGTGATGCCAATGGGCAAAGACGGGGAAGGGCGGCTTGGTAACCAAGCGCGCGCTCGTGCTGGACAGCTTTCACAGCAAGTTGTGTGGGGAGGCCCTTGACGATGACACGCCGGGTTGGGTGTAACTGCGTGTTGACGTTTGCTGGAGGGTGGGTATCCCCGGTGGGAGGGGTTGACTCGAATATACTAGTAATCGGTACTACTACTACTACTGTAAATGAATGCGAAGGATACAAAGTCCGAGTGGCTCGCAGCCGCAGCTCATAGAATCGAGCAGTCATACACGTATATATGATGGATACAGGGATCAAAGCGCGTTCGTAGGTTATCGGCATGGGCAACGAAGGCCCGTAGTCATCGCTGCGGCATCATAGACGCCGGATGCGGGGGTTAATAATAGGGCACTACGTCAGCCGCGCGACGCGGGCTGCGATGGGTGCTGCGTGTCGCTATCGGCATCGAGGGCGTGGTCACCTGCGTCGGGTGTGGTTCCCAGTGTGGGCGAGGGGGCTGGACACACTGGTGCGGTGTGCAGCCTGAGCTGCAGACGACTACAAATACGACGGGCGAGGCGTAGAAGCAAAGGTGAAATCCTAATTCGGCAGAGCGAGGTCGGAAGGAGAGTCGGCGCGTATGGAGGGGGCCGGGCTGTTCGACGCGCTGTGAGTGGGTGGGAGGGATCGGATCGGGTGGGCGGGCGTGCCGGTGCGCGGGGTGCGTCAGTGGGCGGCAGGGTGGCGGCGGCGCCGAGGACGCTGATGAGCCGAGAGATGAATCATCTTCGCGGCGGGAGACGACTGTACTGGTGTATTCCACGTATTCCACGTCTCACTGGTGCTGCTGTATGTATGTGCAGTAGTTGCGCGATTGCGTGGTGTGTCAGCGGTATGACGGGTCGGGCAGCCCGAGTTGGATCTGGATCGGGGAGCCAGGCACGTCCTGCCGAGAACGGGTGGCTGTGGATGGGGCGCCGGAAAAGGCAAGTGGCAGCTGAATCATTCCGTGAGTCAGTGGACGCGATACCGAATCCGAATGCACGTCCGACTGCCTGCCATGGCTTACGATTGCACTCCGTCGGCGGTTATTTGTGATCCTGGCCCGCGCTGGTACATAATGCGCACCCATCGGCCCACGTCCCCTCCCGTCAACCGCACGCTCTCCCGTCTCTGCGCTTGGACACTGCTCTGCGCTTGGTTCTTTCACTGCCTATATAATCCACTTGGCACTGCTCTTCACCACTACAACCACAATGGTCGTCCTGCACTCTGTCCTCGCCCCGGCCCTGCCCATCAAGGCCGCCTCGCCCATCCACCCAGCCTCGCTCGTCCCCGCCGCCACCCACTCCGACGAGCTGCTCTCCCTCCTCAGCCTGCACCCCGCCTCCTCCCACCTCATTGGTACGCTTCTATCCCTGCATCGTCACACCATCGCTAATCATCTTATCCAGACCACCTAGTGGCGCTCACCACGGACACTGTCACCTTTGCGCTCAGCCGCGCCCTGACCAACCCCGCCGCCGCCACCTTTCCCACCTTCGTCAAGCAGGTCATCCACCGCGCGAGCCTCGCCACCCCCGTCCTCCTCTCCGCCATGGTCTACATCGCCCGCGCCAAAAAGTACCTCAGCATCGCGCACGAGGAGTGGGCCCTCGAGCGCGTCTTCCTCGGCGCCGTCGTCGTCGCCTCAAAGGTGTGTCCCTCATTGCTTCCTGTCTCCATATCTGTAGATGGCTAATCCATCGTATCCTCCCGCAGTACCTGAACGACTCGTGCCTGAAGAACCACCACTGGAGCACCATCACGCAGACCTTCGGCACGCGCGACATCGGGCGCATCGAGCGCGAGTGGTGCGCCGTGCTCGACTTCGAGTTCGCCGTCTCCGAGGGCGACCTCATGGCCTTCTACCCCGCACTCGCGCCGTACCTGCCCTCCCGCCCCGCCTCCCCCGCCTCCGCCTCCGTGCCAGCCAAAGACAAGAAGACGCGCCGCAAGGAGAGCAGTCCGACGCCGTTCGAGTACGGCGCGTTCGACATCCTGCCCTCGGACGTGCACTCGCCGAGCAGCGACAGCGAGGGCAGCACGATGTTCGACGAGGAGGACCGGCGCAGCCCGTACACGCCCAGCACGTCGCCCTTCTCGCCGGGCCACCACAGCAGCCACAGCCACCACGCGCACGCGCATCAGCACAAGAGGCGGCCGTCCGCGAGCGTGCCCGAGGACGTCGAGATGCACGACGACGACGCCGAGAGGGCCGAGCAGGAGCGCCGCGGGCGCCCGCGCGAGCAGACCAAGTCCGCGCTCACGCACCGCGCGACGGGCAAGTTCCAGATCGTCGCGGCCCACCCGCGCGCGCCCTCCGACGCGCCGCAGCGCCAGTCGCACCACTCTATGGCGAGCCTGCTGAAGGCGTTCCCGATGCCCCTCCCCGTGCGCAAGGTGTCGGGCCTGCGCCCGCGGATGCCGGTCAGGGTGTCGTGATCCCCGCCGCGCACAACGATCTGTCCGTTGCCTTTGGGATGTCGGTGTGACCATGCTGTCCGCGCTCCCGCTTATACTTGAAGAACGAAGGAAGACGACCGGAGATGGTCGAGAAGAAGAAGAAGAAGAAGAAGAAGAAGAAGGGCACTTCGTGCCCGAGGAGGAAGAGAAGACCACGCTCACTTCGTTCGCGTTTCGACTACACTACACTACCCGCACCCGCGCCCCGGCGATGGTCATGGATCTACGAGACCTGCGCGCTGGGGCGCGCCCACACACTCGTTGGTTCCTGTTTCAACTCCCCTACGTTCGACAAGCAAAAATTGTCTGCTGCCGTTGGTTTTCTGGCAGGCCATGGGCTTTTGACGCATCCCGTCTCATCATTCCTCCTTTGCCTTCTGAGGAGGAAGTCGTTTGGTTTCGTAACTTATTTAATGTTCGCCTAGAACACGAAATATGTCTGGATTGGTTCAATAAATTATTACTTTCGTCTCTCTGCTCTTGCGTGCCAGTGCACCTGTCCTCCATCAACATTCAATCACTCGTGCTGCAGGTCGTGCCTTGGCTTATCCTCTCCCAGTCCACAGCGCGATACCGATACGCGCTCGCAATCGCAATCTAATGTCGGAAATTTCCAAATCGCCTTACGAGGCCTTGCAAGGCTTCCCAATGCGGCAAGGGCGGACCGCCTTACGAAACATCAGTAAACCTTGCCATGGACCTTGCCATGGACCTTACCACGGCATTGCCACGGTCTTGCCGGGTGGCAGCACGGGGATATCAGCGGCTAGTCTGAGGACCTGTCGTGTATGGCATTACCAAAAATGGAATGCTGCACATGAGGATTCGAACCTGGACCCGTTCAAATATTGAATGCAATAGTACCTATGTAGTAAACAGACGCAATAACCGCTCTGCCAGAGAGCTGATACTAAACTTGATACTTAGTATAATATATCGTAATAGTGGTCGAGGACTTTCCACTCCCCATGTTCCATGTCTGCATAGGAACAAATATATAAGTGATATAAGTAATATACAATATCAAGGAGACAACGAGCAAGACAGAAATGATGAAGAAAGCGAGAAAACTGGTGCCTATAGTGAAAGTACCGGCCATGGGTGCCTTGCCATGCAACGATAGCCATCTGAGCCATGTCCCTCGCTTGCCATATAGGGACATGCGTGGGAAGGTCGTTACCATTGGCTGGCAAGGCCGTGGTAACGCCGGTCCCTTGGAAGGCAGTCTCCGAATTTCCGACAAATAATACGTCTGTAGCAAACATAGAACCAGACACCCCGATGCTGTACAGCGCGCGAGCCTGTGTTCTCTGAATCTGATTCGCAGCCTGAGTGGCGATCCACCCAACGGCCGTCCCCACTTCCGCAACGTTAACGTTCTGCATAGAGTCGAACGTGAGGGGTCCGTCTATGCAGCGCTGACTTGGACTATCATGGCTACAGCATATATGGTGTGGGATTCAGAGGCTTGCGCCGGGACTGCGACTCGGGGAAAAGTTGGGGCTGCGCGCCGGATCTTGGTCCCTGGGTATGTACATGTAGTACGCAGGCATCATTATTCATTATTCACGGTCAGAGGCGTGCGCCGACTCCGTGACACTGACAAGCAGGCGATCGGGAGGATGGAAGGGGTGATTACGCGTGTGGGGTGAGTCAGACATACAGTATAGATCGACGTCGCAAGTACTTACGCCGAGATCTGACTCTGTCAATGACTGGTACTCAGTCACATGCGTACCATGGCCAGCATTATTCATGTCGTTCTTCCTGAATCCTGCAGGTTCCGGTGGCGCGCGTCGTTGGTCAGCCCATGCCAGTGGAGACGCGGGCCGTGACTCGGACGGCGTCGGTGATACATCGCATGGTCTTGGTCGGTCAGCACGAAGCTCGCGATTCGTGGCTTTGGATGCTGATGCGTACTAGTATGGATGGATGGAACGGGTGCGCCTGTCGCGGGCGAGGGAGACTTGTGCACTCGAATTGCTTGGGGTTCCGTCTAGAGTGACAGTAGTCGCTCAGCGAACCGCTCGACCTCCTTCACGCCTACCAGCCCCGAGGATTCCAGGTCGTGGCGGGAAGGCCAGATCGCACGGGTTCTCGTTGAAAACGGTATGTGTATCTTGCCCGGTACGCGCTCGCCGACTAGGACCCTCGCCCTTCCAACCACCGCGAGAGATCCAGTCCATGGGGGGTTAGAGACCGAGGGTTTGCAACACTCCATCGAGTAGATCGCTCTCCTAGGGTGGTCAGCGCATACAGGGTCCTGCCCTCCCTGATTCAGGTACTTGCATTGGCTGCAAATGTTTGCCTGAGACGCTATCCACAACCCACCCGGTACATCTGGGGGTAAAGGTCGCGGTACACTCACGCGTACATGGAGGCAGGATATCTGTGTATGTTCGCGTTCACCCCGTTTTTCGTCATCCAAGCCTCTGACAGTGTCTGCGGGAGCCTCTGACAGTGTCTGCGGGTGGATGAACGCGGATCGTTTCATGGGTTCTGGTCAGGCTATCCCTGTGTCTGCGCAGGAATGATTGGAACGATCATACCCTTTCCCCATTGTCTTATCTGATAATCTGCACCCAGAGCCGACAGGAGGCTCGCGTTTCATCCCAACGTTTTTGTGCGCCATAGGCAATTCCGGTACAGAACAACGACAAAATCAGTGAAGGACTGCTGAACTCCTTCGCCCAGCTCACCGGGTACGCCGCCTTGTCCGCGTCGATGAAGGGAAAGTCAGCCTTATTCGCGACCGTGTCCGCCGCGGGCCGACGAGGATCTTCAGTATAGAGGGAAGACCGGCCTGCGCGTCATGATTCAAGAACTGTCTCGCTGAACAAGCTCTGGCTCACTCATCTGCGCCCAAAAATGCCTGGTATTGGTCTGTAGTCGATGTACTCCCCCACCCCCCAAGCCCGTTTTCGTGCAACTCGCACTGGGATTCACCGTCTCCCGCACCCCACACACGAAGCAGGCTAGTGCGCCCGGTAGTCCTCCATGGTTCCATTTGCGTCCCCTTAATCCATTCATGGGTTCTGTCTAACGTTTAGTGTACCACACACCGCAAGGATGTACCCTAAGTCCCGTCCCCCGGTGACCCTACACGTCCCCAGTCTTCCTCGAAGTGACGGCCAAGCATGCGGGAGGCAAAGATATCCATTCGAAAGCGATTCAAAACAACGAGAGCAGCGTATAAAAGCATATAAACGGACGAGACATAGCACCAATTTCCATCATGACCGCCCTTCCCAGCACTCGCGTATCCAACGCCGATCGCGCTGCCCGCTCGCTAAATTTGTTGTTTCATGTTCCATCGCAGGCTAGGGTCGCTGTTCTTGTATTTGCGAATGAAATCGCCCTTGACCTCCTCCAGCTTTCTCCCCACTTCATCTGCGTACTCTGTGGCCAAGAGGCACAGAAAAGTGGCAAAGTGGAAGGCGCCAATGGGCGTAGCAATGTCGAAAGACCGCGCATTAGCTTCTAACATCTTGACATACTGCGCAGACGGCCAGCGTAGACAGGTCAGCTAGCCAGCACAATCATGACAAGGGGATATAAATACCCGAGTTATCTTGCCGCGGGTGTCGGGCCCCGCTATGGTATCAGAGTGAGTGCATGTAACCACACCTAGGGACCCCTCCGCCACGAGTGCAAATACAGGGAAGTCCTCTATCCCAAGGGCAGAAAAGAACTTCGCAGTGGCAACACTATACATACGAGCCTGATTGACTCCTTTTGGGCTAAACTCGTCGGAAAGCTTTTTGTACTCCGCTACGAGTAAAGGAACATCCAATCCCCGCGCCGATGCTTGCTGTGCAGGATAGGATCGTTTCACGGGTGGTTGTGAAATGGACATACGTTCGAACACGGCTTCAATTCCTGATGTATATGCCGCCTCGTTTCGGGTGTAGGCAAAGAGGTCTGCCTGGACGTTGGGGCGCACCTCGCGCTGGAGAGCCTTGTCTGAACGAGCAGCGCGGGTTCGATCGGTAGAACTATTCTTCTCAGACTGCGACGGGCCCACCGCGGAATACTGAGAGTCAGCATTGCTGAGTGATCTTGCTCTGGTGCCGAGGTCTACGAGCTGAAAGTCTCTCATCGGAGGTGTATCTGCAGGAAGGAACTGCGGCAGATGAAGGATGGCGACAGCATCGCAAGTGCCAGTTAGCGGCTCCGAGTCAGCCTGCACCCTGGGGGACTTCTTTTGGTATGATGCAGGGATTGACAAGCCCAGGTAGTACTTGGAAAGTGTTTGCATCTGTTGCGACCGTTGGCCAGCCTCAGAATGTGACGCGTCAGAATAGAGCTTTGGAGCTCCTTCTTTGATAATTATCTCTTCAAAAGATGATTGTGCCGCAGTACATGCGCCAGCTAGGCCAGGTAGAACTTTGAAGCTGAGGAATGAAGACAATGCGTCTTTGTCGGGTGCGACTGCGGCTTCGTTCTTGGGCAGGTTAAGTCGACGTTCCAGGCTATTGAGAGATCAATCAAAGAAAGGAGGAGAGCATCATGCCAGCGTACTATTGCGCCACAGTATCATTCTTGGCTCTCATAAATTCAATCAGGAGATTGTCCCATTCAGGCCTCACTTCTGCCTCGGGCACCTGTCGAGACTCGGCTTGATCGCGCCTATGTCTTGCTCGGAAGCAGGCTCGGAGAATAAGTGCCAGCTTAGCCTCAATCATCTTGGTGACTCTATTCGGCATAGGAGAGGGCGTAGGTGCTCGTCCATATTTAACATGCTCCTCACGGGCCTGATTGCTGCAGAAGAGCTCTCTTCTAAGTCCTTCTAAGTCTTCGCCCACAGACGGTAGGTTTTTCTGAGGATGAAGGTTGTAGCTGTGAGGCGGAAAGGGAGCTGCGGCACGAACATACCAGGACTGTCCATTCTGCAGGCCAATAATACCTGGTGAATTTCTCATACATATTGACAGGAACGGAAGCGCTTTCATGCTGCAGAATGGGAAGAAATGATGGCAGAGATAGGCGGTAAACGAGCCAGTCATCCATACGTCCCGTGTCTCCTGAACTTTCTTTTGGATTCGCCGCACATCTGGAGAGAGGTGAGTCAACCAACTTTCGTCCATTGTTCACACATACTCGGAGCAGGACAGCCGTTTCGGCTGTTGACTTCCAGATCCTGAAGCAGATGATGGTATTGCAGAATCAGGGTGCAATGACTCCGATTTAGAGGTGCCAGGTTTGGTCAACTGCAGCTCACTAACGACAATCAGCGAAGGGTATGGATTGCCGTATAGTACATACGGAGTGCGGGGGCTCGACCTTGAGGCAGAATCAGTAGAGGGTCATATGAGGCGGGACGCGACAACTACTCACTCTGTCTTTTTGTCGGACGCCGGGGGCATATCTTGAAGGAGAACACTATAACCGAAGGTATGAGGGGGGGGGGGGACCGCAGAACAATGACCCAGATAGATCAGTATAAGAGAAAGAATCATGACTTACCCTTCACCGCTTTCTAGTGCAATCGCAACCTGTTGGGCCCAGGCAGCAATGCTTTCCTCTGTTCTAGAACCATGCTCATTATTCACTATATTTAGTAAGTCCGATCTCCACTGCAGGACCCTTCCATTCGTGATATCGTCTTGGACACGATGAGAAGCATCAGACAGTGCACATCCTATCTCAGACACGTGGTGACCCAAGGACAAGAGAAACAGGCACAATTTCAAAGTCGAGCCTGGGTCACATAGGTCAAAGACGCTCGAAGAAGCATCGCACGGAGAACTTTGGAAGGCGATATGCACTCGAGGCTACAGGCAATTATGAGGAGCTTAACCAAGTAGGGAGAACAACAGCTTACCAAGACATCTTCCGATGAGCCCGAGTCGCCGTCTTCCAGCCAGCCAAATATGACTTGGATAGCGGCTCCGCCGGCAGGAAACGTGAGACCCACTACGGGTGCGTGGGTATGCCACACATGTCGCTGATACAGCGCGCTAGCCACGAGTCCGTAGATATCCTCCGGGCCAGCCATACAGATGACAGGGATTACCGGAGTATCGGTGAGAGCGGCACCAGGAAACAAGTGGATATCAAGGCTCCCGTCTGGACATCCGGCGTTGGCGCAATCCAGTGCTGCATCCTCTCCCACAGGACGGCTGTCCTTGTCGCCGGAGCCTCCACCAAAAGGGTCATACTCCACCGATGGCATGTACGGCCTGTCGTAGTCAGAGGCATGCCAGCGGGCGCGAACCGGTTTCTCTGACACGCATTGCTGCCGAGAACCAGAAGCGTCACTGGCCTCGATCCCAGCACGTTGTGCAGGTCCGGATGTCCTTCCAGATGCTAGATTCGCACTAGAGTTTTCCCTTGAATGGGAGGAGGTGCTCGCAGGCGCTGAGCACCCTGTGAGAATTTGAGGGAAATCGTCGGCCGTGTAGCCGACCACAAGTGTAGCAGTCGACGTAGTTTTGGTGTATTTCTGTACAGGATTAACCAATACTTTCGGGTGGCGGGGGAGAGCAAAGCGTGCCCTATCACTAGAAGGATTCAGACGAAGTCAGCAATGCGGTCCCAAGGTTTGGCAAACTGAAGACACTCGTACAATATTAAGACGCCCGGTGATGACAGGAACATCACATACGCTATGATACTGGAAAGCAGGGATTCTTTCGAGTTCGGAGTACAGGACTGCTGCGACTCCGCCTGTAGAAGTGATCTCAACGTTGCAGTCGTCGAAAGAGCGACGTCAAAGAAGCGACGAAGATCGCCCCCGGGAACGTCGAGGCACTCTATTTCTTCCTTGTCATCCTGAGTGTCTTGGATGACGGGACGCCTCTGAAGCAGCTCCGTGCTCAAGCTATTCGCGCGTCCCGACACGAAAGGATGTGGACCCTATGAAATAGATTGTCCCGTCATGGATAAATCGGACATCAAGGAAAGCAAAAACTTACATGCGTAACCCAGCGGGGTAAACGGCGCGGGAGGCATTCACTCAGGCTGCGAACCCGAGTTGGCCAAACTTCGTTGCTGGAACGAACGGCATGTAACGTTACATGCTCCGCGTCCTTCCAAAAGTTCATGCTACCGTGCAAAGAGACAGCATGAATTCCCCATTTTCGTTGATCAAGTTGTTATATTCATACCTGGGGCAGTATCCTCGGCTAGGCCACAGTCTTGTAGGGCTTGAGCTTGGTTTAAGTCGAACTTGAGCCCAGCACCGCCACAAGTGATCGGTACCACGTTCGTGATAGGTCAGTTTTTGTCTCCGAGTCGGAGGTCCGGCGAGGATATCCTGCCAGTGGTCCTGCCTTGGAAATGAACGGAGGGGCGTGGTTGCAGGCTCTCCAGGAATGCCCTGGTTCTACGCCTGCCAGTGTCCGCGTCGGCTCTCCATCTAATACAATCTCAAGCCGGCAAGCATATAAGGTCATTCAAGTTGAGGCAACCTCGAGTTCGAACGGTTCTCATCAAGACAAACTCGAACACGCCGTCCCAATGCTTCCCTAGGGACTCCCAATTGGAAAGTACTAGCGTGCTTCACGTTTCAGATGACTTGTGTCTGCGGAAAGTATTTTCTGCTATGTAGGCTTGCTTTCTTTCTTGCCGATGCTCATCGCTGGGGACCTGGAGCGACTCGTGGTGTACGCGGCGCCTCCAGCAGCGGCAAGTGACCTCGGTTGTCATCTGCTTAGATAGTCGGTTGTCTTTCACACTATACTTTATCACATTACCTGCTCTGAGGCTCTCATATTATTCGCCCGTACAATACACCGCAATAGCGGAACGGACAAGGACAAGGGACTCTTGAAGTTCCGCCAACCAGCTTCGCCCAACAATGTCTGCGTCGACCTCTCAGCCTATCTACAAGCGCAGCACGTACGTGAACCCATCCCACGCCTTCTCGCCCACAGTTTGGAGGGTCGTTGCCTCGAACTCAGTGCTGTTCTTCAAGTCCTCTAGCATCTTCCTGACGCCCTTCGAGTTCTCGTCTTGGAACGACATGTCGCTGACGCGTCCCTGCCGAACGGTGTTATCCACAATCTGTCACCTCGTCAGCCGCCTTGCTAACACAACAAAGCGCTGAACCGGAAACACTCACGATTACGCCGCCCTTGCGCACCAGTGTCTTGCAATACTCGAGGTACACCGGGTACCCCGCCTTGTCCGCGTCGATGAAGGCCAAGTCGAACTTTCTCGCGGGGTCCAGCTTCGCGAGCGAGTCCGCCGCGGGGCCGACGAGGATTTTGACTTTTGAGGAAAGGCCGGCGTACGCGATGTTCTCCCCCGCGACCCGCGCGTGCTTGGGCTCGTACTCGCAGGTGATCAGCTCGCCGTCGTCCGGAAGCGCGCGCGCGAGCCAGATGGTCGAGTATCTATTCCAATCAATTCAGCCCGTCCGCACCGCACCGCACCAAAGACATCCTACACACCCTCCGAGTGTCCCGAGCTCGAGGACCCGCTTCGCGCCAATGGCACGCGCCTGCAGGTTGAGATATTTTCCTTGCAGGGCGGTGACGGCGATGGTGTCGAGCTCATTCGCGTCGCTGTTCTTGACGGCGTACTCGAGTGCTTCATCGGGCTGGGTGAGGAAGGACGCGTGGTACTTGTCCTCTCGTTCCCATGCGGGCTCAATGGTCTGCGACATGGCGATCGGTGTATTTGGGGGCGGGAGGCGCGAGGGCAGGTTATCTGATAAGATGGGCGGGGCGGGTAAGGGTGTATCGCTCGGCCTTGCTTTTATATTGCGTCGTCCTGGTTCTGAGTCTGGTTATAGATCTGAGTCAGTTGAGCCCAGTGATGGCTCTCATTGATCGCACAACGAAATGTATTGATCGGGCGGGCCTGACTGAATATTGCCGGAGAGGGGCCTGTCGCAGCGTGCACAAAGGCTGCCCCATCATGCCACCAGCCGCAGTTGGTTTCAGTCTACTTGCAGACGGCGGTTACGACCTTTGACCGCAAATTGAGAAATGACTCGGTTACAAAGCAAGCGGAAGTGCATCGAGGTCATTGTGCGCAGCAGCTTCACGGGGACGAATGCATGCGCTTTTTGAACCGTTTTGTTGTTGACCGGCATGCGTTATCTGATAAGATGACTGATACTTGGACTCACTCTACGCTCAGCCTTCAGCCGCTTACTGCTGTAACGCGAGCTCGGGTAAAAATGCAAGGCCAGGGAAGCTGTAATATCTGCGTATAGCGCAGTCGCCGCAGTCGAAGTTTGGGCATACGGGGATCTACGGGGATCGGGTGATGGGAAGTAGGAAATGAGGAAGACGGTACGATGAAAGCGTCATCGTCATGTACCGAGACATCCTCTTGTAATCCCCGAATACCCAGCGTTTGCTGATGCTACTTGAAGTTGCAGTGATTCCGTTGTGTTCATTATATATTAGCTAGGGGGGTCTATCTCGGGAGCCGAGCCAGGGCTTGCGAGACTGCTTGCCACTGCAATATCATCCCCACCCTGCACATCGTGAGGACTTTGCCCCCTCTTCTACTTTCTGTCCCGCTCTCCTTTGGCGCACATGCATGGGCGGTTTCGGCGTGCTAAGTGCGCAGCCGAGTTTAGAGTTTATGTTCTCAGTCTCAGGAAAGCCTTGCTATTGGTCCGAGCCTTGACTGGATCGTTGCGTCCGCAGCACCTGTAAATCTAGAGCAACACCAGGGCAGCACTGTTCACTGATTCGACCGTGCCTACGTCAGGTGAGGATACTCCTCGCTTTGATTGCGGTGTGTTCATCAATGGTCTCGGGGTTCGTCGATGGCAGGTTGACTTTGCCGTGCCAGCAGATACAAGTGCGCATGTCCATGAATATCCCCTGAACCTCTGGAAGTCGACGACATTGATGATTCGAGTACGGAAGTCGCTCCGAAGTCGAGCGGCTCGGCACCTGGTAGAAAAATCTGACAGTAACAGACGGCCTGTAACTTCCCACGTTACCGCGCAATCTCTCCCTTATGAATTGGTACTGCTTATCCTGAGCTACGTGTTGGCCCCATCTCAATGGCAAACGGACACGACGGACCCTCGTACAGCACTCCCGACCGCCCTCGAGGAGGCGCGGTGGACCGCGCGACAGGACCAGGCCACCCTCTGCTTACTCCTCTCCGTCTGCAAGAACTGGTACTGTTCCGCCATCGACCTGCTCTACCGCGCGCCGGTCCTGAAGAACCTCGCACAAGAATCCGTCCTCTCCCGTACGCTGCGCGCGAAGCCCGAACTGGCGCAGCTGATGCGCTCGCTCGTCCTCGTAGACTACACCCGCTATATGTCGCGCTCGTGGGCATACGCCACACGCGACCGCGCGCGGTACGCACGGAAGCTTGGGGCGCTGATCGAGGCGTGCCCGGCGGCAGATGCGTTGACGTTACGTATCCCGGCGTTCGAGCCTCCCCTCACATTGCGCTCGCTGCATGTCCCCGCGCGGCTGGCGCGGCTCACGAAGATGACGCTGATAGGCCAGGATACGTGGTTCCTCTCGCCACCGTACTTCGGGTCCCCCCTGGAGCTGCCTGCCCTGCGGGAACTGTGTTTGCTGCACATGCAGATTCGCGAGGACCTCGAGTGGCCATCGATGCCCACCCTGCGCGTCCTGCGCACCAGCCACTGCGCCGCGATGGGCGTGCTCATCCCCGCAAAGCTTCCCTCCCTGCGCGAGCTCTCGCTCACGGAGTTCGGTGTCGAATGCATATCCCGAACCTCAGCGCTCGTGCGCGAGAAGTACGCCGCGACGCTCGAGCGCGTGAATATCGGCGGGCTGGGCGCCGCGGCGTTCTCGCGCGCGTTGGACTTCAGTGCCTTCACCGCGCTGCGGTCGCTCACCCTTGTTCCGGATACGAGGGACGGGCTGGTAGTAGGCGAGCTGCCTGATAGCCTAGGGGCCGCACCGCGTGTGGAGTCCCTTACCGTCGGGTGCATACACCGGGACGCGATGGGGACGCGGTATGCAGAAGCAAGGCTTGCCGAGAATCTAGTAAGGACAGTGGGCACAATGCGGGCGTTACGAAGGTTGGTTGTCGCGGGCGATTCGCGAGTGTGGGAGAAGAAGGAGAGGGGGGCAGATGTGACTAGGATTGAGATGCTGGCGGACGCGTGCGCGTCTGCGGGTGTGGAACTGGTCAGTATTGTGGTCCCGAGTGTCCCGCGAGGTGAGTGTGTCACGATTGTCGGGCTGCGCGATGCTGACGGCCTTGTGGGGTGGCGTCCAGAGACAACAGTCAGTTGTGCGCTGTGAGGGCAAGTCACTCACACATGTGGCAGCTGCTACCCGATGTTCCAAACGGCGATCACCTATGTACACTATGTAAGAAGGAATCCACACTCGATCACCTTCCACCGCATGAGAGCTACCGATGGCGCAAGGCGTTCAACCATCACTGTACGCGCAGCAGCTGTAACGGGATGATCACTCTGATTTCCGTGTTTAAGGTGAGATTCGCTCGCATGGCACAGCATATTTGTGGCCATTACACTTGCGTCACATTGACATTGGCGTATCGCCAGCTTCTCTATCGTGGAGCTCCTCAAGGACCTCGCACAGGTATCTACCCTTCGCCGCGCGCTGCCGGCTAACCCTGGCCTTGCCCCCCTCGTTATCTCCGCGGTCCTAATGAATGATACTGGCAACCACTATGAATACTCGTGGTTCATAGTCGGTGCCTTAGCCATTTTTTAAAATTCTGCGGTCCTGGGGTGCAACATTTCGCAAAGTGTCAGGTCTCCTGGATGGGCTCGAGGCCTGGGAGGGACTCGGTATGACGTGTGCCATGCTGGAAAATTACAAGTGACTTGATTCTCCAAATACATATCATAACACCCATGAGGTACAAGTCGCATGCAACGCTAATCAACCTTCCCGTATAACCCTAATACTTCAAAGGAGGAAGGAACCGGCAGGCTGAAAGGCGGCACCGGTAGAGTATCGACTTGTGGCGGGAACTCGACCTTGATGTGGTAGTAATAAGGCGTTTCCCGAGACGATCTGCGCTCCTTCGCTGTCAATTCTGGCGTCTGTCAAAGTCAAGGGTCACGTTGAAAACCATATAAATGTATAAATGAGAGACTGGGAATTCGACAATGCAGACATACATAAATCCCGACCCCCACTTGTCCCTCGTCCCGCCGAAGCAGGCACACGCTCGCCCTGTCGAGGTGCCGTTTGCTGATATACACGACGTCAACGCTGACCTTGACGGTGTCGGCGGTACCCACGCTAAAGTCGACTGACCCACGTGAGAGGGTGCCGCGGCTGAAGAAAAAGAGCTTGGTCGCTTGGGGAATGTGGAAGGACGCGGTCGCGTTGTGGATGAACGGGTCTGATGTGTCGGACAGCCAACGCGCGCGCCATTTGTACTTTGGCTTAGCAGGCGCGCTCGTGTTGGAGTTGGACAGAGCAAAAATGGGGTCGTCTGCGGGTCGGTGGGTGTAGTTCCACTCGGGGCTGTGTATGCATCGGATGACCTCGCCGTCTTCTTCAGTCGGCAACGCGACAGCACTGTCTGGAGCACTGGGAAGCAACTTGTACGGAGTGGGTCCATTTAATCGTACTGTAGACTATGAATTGACGAGAATAACGCACCGAGAAATGGACATTCCAGAATGCCAGCCTCAGAGCCAGGCCAAACGTAGACCAAATCAACACTGCGATGGCCATTGAACGCCAGAACCTCGTCTCCGCGCGCACAGAGGCATCTCGGTCACATTCAACGTCGTAACAAAGGTCCGTGTTCTGGTAGCTAGTACTACCGTTGTGACTCGAGTACGGCGGGGGAGGGTTGGCGAGTTCTTCAGGACTCTGGCCTGCCTCGAGGTCCTGGACGGCCTGGTTCTTCGCTCCGGACGCGTCCTCTTCCGGTAGGATTATCATCGTCTGCCCAGCGCAGGTCGAGTCGGAAACCGCACAGACAGATCTGAGGCAGGCGTTCGAGCGCTCTCCCTATCGCTGCGTGCGCATGGTGAGAGATATTTCCAGATCTAGATGGTGTCACTCCGGTCACTGCGTCTTACATCTTATCTGATAAGATTATGTAGGTACCGTTTGTGACAACGTTTGGGACTCGACATGGACTGCGGTCACACTGAACGCGGCACAGATTCCTCTACTCACGACGGCATATGCTAGACTAGCAGGAAACAGCCGGAACCGCGAACACGATGCAGTGACGTGCGCCTCGTTTTCTATTCGTAAGAAACGGTACGAGTACATCCACTCACTATGCGGGCGAGTATCCTGAGTTAGACCCTTCGGCTTTCGGCCCTGCAAGTGTGGAAGTGGATTCACAGCGGCTCAGTGGGACGACCACGCCTACATGTTCATGCTGTTGTTGTGACGGTATTGGCCCAGGCGCACGAGGGAGACAACTTTCTCCAAGGTTGCCCTAGCGCTCCCATTGTACCAGACGCCCACTGTGATACCTCTGGACATCAAGATCTGTCGTCTTGCGATGCCGGCAGTTCTGACGAAAGCGTCGCCAGACGTGATTAATATGCATGCTGATGTTGTCAACACTGGGATTATACGGTTGGTTACATGATCGCTGACAGGCGACGTGGCAAGGCTTGCTTCAAGGGGTGTATATTCGAACCACCTGCCTCCCATAATACATCAATATCCAGAGCAGCAGGATATATCGTCAAACAGGATTCAAATTACGAGGTGTACGTGCACGCACCGCGAGGAGTCAGTTGTTTGTCTAGCTTCACGTTTCGGCGCTCACAACGGATAGCAAGTACGTCTATCCTTGATAACGAGCGTTCCGTCTCTTCGCTCATCTCCCACACTCCCGAGTCCCCTACCACTTTCAGCCGCTTCAATGAGGGAAGCACTTCGGGATCGCTGATGAAATTGGTGATAAAAAAAGCAAACTTCTGCTCCTTCTCCCGAACTCTGTGTAGTTCATTTATGTCAAGGGAGCGGGGCGCACAGACAATGGTGAGCTCCTGGATCTGCGAAGCTCGCTCTAGCCCGTGCGGGGGACGTTCCGCCTGGACACCGCTCGTCATATCGAAAGTGAGGGTGAGCGATCTCAGCGCAGGAAGGGCCGCGAAATCCAGCTTCGAGAGAAACTTCATGAACCACAGTCTTCCGCCCCCGAACTTGATGGATTCCAGCGTCGCGACGGACTTCGACTGCAGGGCCTCGACGAGGTGGTAGAAGGACCCGTAGATCGAGACGCATGTCAGTTCCAGCGTCCGCAGGACCGGGGTCTGGCCCAAGACAAAGGCGTCTCGTGTGAACTGACAGAGGACGAAGCGGAGCGTGCGAAGGGCGGGCAGTGAAGGCCACTTCAATGGCGGGACTTCCAGGTATACCAGGCAGAGCTCACGCAGGCAAGGGAGTTCGAGGACTGCACTGAAGAATTCTGCATGCAAGGGAGGTAGGCGTAAATTGGGCCCAGGGAACGTAAGACATTGCTGGCGCCCGTTTAAGGTAAGATTTTGGAGGCACGATGCAATTCCTAGCGTATACAGACGGATTTCGGGCTTGAAGAGCGGCAGAAGTATGGTTAGAGACGTACAAGGGCAAGCCTCGAGGAGAGCGCGGAGGTGACGCTCGTGTCGTGCTCTGTCGACTATGGTCGGGAGGCTTAACCGCCCGTGGTGAACATCCTCCACCAAGTACAGGGACTGCACCACACGAGAAAGTTCGGGATCCTTGGTCAGAGTGCTGGCGAGCATGTCTACGTCCTCGAGCGTCTTGAGCACGGGTGTGGTGTAGAGAAGACTTATGGCCGGTCCGTACCAGTTCTTGCAGACGAGAAGGAGAGGGAAGAGGGTTTCTTGATTCCATAGTGCCTCAGCTCGCTGGTCCTCCAGAAATGAGGACAGTTGTACTTCAAGTGGAGGCTCGATGGCGTGCAGGCGCTCGCAGTTCGAGTCGGTTTCTAGGCACTCCCTGAGGATAAGTAGAATCACCTCGTGCGGGAGGGTTTGTGCAACGCTGTATGTTTTATCCGCCGGTATGGGTCGTTCCCGGGGAGACACTCGTTGAAAGGTTGAAGGGATGAGTTTCTTCCGAGTCCGAAGTGGCATTTCTAGAAACTGGTACGAATACCAATATTCAAGCAGACGGTTGCCAGTGTACGTATCACTATCAACAATCTCAAGCATCATTCCAGCAAGGTTCCCTCACCTTTATATGCCAGCTCAATAGATGGTGTGGGCAATGTCAATGAGTCCCAGACTCCCAGTCGAGACGTGTCAATGACACGCCTCGGAACACCCCGGCACTCCCAAGTGCCCTTATCCAAGTCTGATACCCGGGACGCTACGGGCCACTGAGACAGCTTGTGAAGGGTGTATCATGGGCAAGTCGCGCAATGTGCTCCGAATATAGCACAGGTACATACATCATTCAGTATCATACATATTTCTCTAATATATCTTATGGAGTTTGCGATGAAAGTAATATCCTCAGATAAAGGAGCTCATCTTGATGGGTTTGCGCACAGCTGCCGAGTTACCTTCATGGAACTTGTAGCTGATGCGATATGGCGGCTGCACGACGCCTCTTGCGGTATGTTTCCCGGACGAAGTGTTCCCGGGTTTCGTGATGGGTCTTCCGAAGAAGTCCACCGGCGGCTGCAAGGAGAGATGTTATCACGCCTGGAAGAGCTGCGTCCTGCACCGCATAGGACTCACCCTGTCAGCAATGTCTATCTTAGCGTTCGTAGCAGCGGGGTCTTTCGCTGGCACTCGTGAGGACGTTAACTGATGGGGCCGTACAAGTTTGCCATCCTGTTCCAGATGCTCATTTTCGTCCTGATTGTCTTCTTGGCCATCTTCCGCCGAAACAAAGCTGCTGACAGTTGAGTACGAAGTTAGGAGAAGGAAGACAAGACTTACGACTTGCGGTACTTATCTACCGCCACGGCATGGTTCACGATAGACTGGGCTTCCACCTTGGGAATGCACTATCAGAGAAAGAGCATTATCGGAGCAAGGTTTACAGCACTGACCTCCCCCGCCACCAACTGTCTCACGGCGTATCTGGAGACTGCAATGTCCGAGGTCCGCTTGCCATCGTAAGTAACAAAAACATCAATCGGTCTAAGCTAAACGATCAGTTTACCTGGTGGCAAAATAAGACTCAGCAACTCACGGCTCAAGTCGATAGACAAGTTGGGCGTCCTCTCCTTTATCCTGAACGAACTGGAAGTCTAGGGACACCATAATATCCACCAATCTCGACAGGAGCGTCTTCTCCTCAGGGCGGATTACTTGACGATTTACCTATGATGTGCATTGAGTATACAGCGCACCCATCCGCGGAGAACGTCTTACCGGCCGAAGTGGAGGCGAGATTATTCTGTTAATGTAAGGCGCGAATTCGAGCTGCATCACTTGATCTGACGCGAGGTGTCGGTAGTCCCCTCCTCTCCGACTGCAGGCCACTCTCAGGCATCTCGAGAGACTCTGATATATCTCCGCATTCGTCTTTGTCTTGAGGTAGTTCTGCAGCCTGCGTGAGCACATCTCTCGATAACCGCACCGAGAGTACCAAGTACCTCATAATCATCCTTAGGGCGTTCCACTTTCGGCCCACCTCTCTCTTGGAAAAGCGGGTAAAAGGGAATCAAGAAATAGGATAAGTACGGCATCAAAGAGTATTCTCGCTCCGAACGCATAGCGCCGGATAATTGATCGTACGCTGTGAGCCATCTGTTGGCCTTGTCGTACCGAGCGAAGGTTGCATCATGTCGGCGGAGGTTGGCGTAATGTTCAAAACATCCTGAGCTATGTCTTAAACATGTTCACCGGTTGAAAAGAACACACGTACCCATTGCTACCTTATCTGTTGCACCCGAGCCATCGATCTCCCTGCTGAGACGGTCGACGTACCGGCTCTCCTCCTCTTCAGTTAGGCCGGCCTCTTTGACGCGTTTCTTCGATAGTGGAGCGAATAAACCATTCAGCACGGAGGTTAAGGACGTGTCCGCTTCCTTCATGCCCACAGTGGCCGCTCGTATTGTCGCTTCCGTGACCTCCTGATTACGCGCCTTTACGAACTATCCTCGGTGGACCTTTAGGAACAATGTTACATGTAATTTGGTCCGAGCAGAGCGCACCTGCAGTGTATTCAAGCATCCGCGAAGATCCCCTTTCGCAACGCCCACCAACGTCGTCAACGCTCGTGATTCAGCCTTGAGGCCTTCCTTCTCGCATATCTCTCGGAGGCGTTTGACAACATGTATGTCCGCTGGGCGATTGAAGCGGACTATACGCGCATGTTGGCGGAGCTTCGCTAGAGATGATGCATATAGGTCATTGCATATACAGATGATAGGCCGTAGCAGCGGTCTATTAGCTTCAGAATTTTTCTTTCCTCCTGGAAGAGATAGCGTTAAATAGAACAGACATTCTTAGCAGCTAGCTCACGTTTCTTCCTTGGCTTATCCAAAGTGAGCTCTATGAGCTTGTGGATAAATCCGCCTACCTGTTGCGTAAGTCTATTCATCAGTACATGGGAATATGAAACAAGATGACGGCGACTTGCATTCTCGCCTGCCCCAGTGGCTCCGTCAATTTCGTCGATGACCACTAGGACAGGTTTGGAGCTGCCAATTGCAGCACCTGTTTCTAACGCTGGTCTTATTCGGTCATCCACGACCTGACCGGAACGAGCATCACTGAGAGAGGGTGATATTCAGAGGAACAGAGAGCAGTATCAGCATTGCAGGCTACCTTGCGTTGACCTCAAACACGGAATACCCTGCTTGTTTCGCAACAACGTGAGCGAGCGTCGTCTTGCCCAGTCCTGGTGGTCCAGACAGCAACAAGATCTGGCGGGGGAGGTTTAAATGCCTGAAATTAGCACCAATATGACTCAGATCACCTTCTCTCTCGGCCGGTGGTATTCATCATTGTAATCTGCATTTTCGTCGTTGTCACGCGCCCTCTTCTTTCCCTTTCTCTTGCCGAAAACACACCAGTCCCACTCCTTCACCCATGCCATGGTTTCTCGGTGAACGCGTTCGTCTCCAAGGAGATCCGCGAAAATTTTGGGACGATAGCGGTCGACCCATAGCTTATCTTGTACGCCCTTCGTCGATTTCGCTGTCTCTGGGTCGCTGCTTCGGCAAGCAATCAGAAAGAATCCAGAGTATACGACAACGAATCTTACGGGTTTGCCAACTTCGCAGCAGCAGTCGCCGACAGCTGGTCCATGAGCCTGTGTAACGGCACATCAAGGAGGTTACCCATCTGCTGACGAGAGACTTCATGAGTCTGTGAAACGATTAGACAAAGACTTCTACTATAAGCTGATGTGATTGCATACGTCTCGTCGCCTAATTTCCCGCTTTCTCCGAATATATAGAGGTCTACCATCAAAGGTGGTTGCTTTGACGGAAATGCGAGCAAGGCGTTCAGAAGCTGTCTCTTCTGGCGGAGGGGGAATACTTGATGGGCCGTCAGGGTTTATATATGACCTGAGAATCTGGGAAACATTGGGAAGGGAATCATCTGAATTATAAGGCGTCAGGTCGATGGCTCACTGACATCTATGTCAAGCCGACCTTGTGATTCTGGGGGACTATTTGGGAGAGCTGTCAAATGCACAGTCGCATTCTTCCCTTAGCGTGCCAAAAGGTCAGAGGATCTAACCACTCACTCTCTTGGCTATCCCCAGTTCCGAGCAGACCGTTAGAGACAAAGCCATCTTCCACGGGCATTTGGTCTAGTGCGCTCCTCAATATGCAGCGAAAAGATTCTTCTCTTCATTAATGCCTCACCAGCAAGTTCTACGTCTTCCTGCTGGCTGGCTTCGCTCCCCAGTAAACCCGTGGTTACGAAGGCCGAATCTCCCAAAAGCTCATTCGAAGTGAAGCCTTTGTCTTCAAGTGATGAAAGTGCACTCAAGGTACCACCAATCAGACCAGTTGGTTGAAATGTATCCAGGTTGGCCATAGTAAGGCAAGCCTATGAGTGTCAAGTCCGAGAGTGCGGGCACGACGCGTCTGTGGCGCAACGATCATCCGCGATGTGACAGAGCGTGACAGACGCGCTCGCTGATTCCCACAACTGGCTGACTAAGCTTTGCCACAAATAAGTTTGGTCTTGTTTGTCTCCCTTTGCTGTGACCGGCGTCAACGGTGACCAAAACCACAACGTTCAAGACAGCGACGGCCAGACTGTCGACGGCGACGACGCGGATTCTGGCTACCTTCTCTCAGTGAACTGTAATCCGTCATTCTGGAGTTTCTCAACTGACTCAGGAGCGTTTTGCTCTCGCAATCCACGGCTAGCGTGGCTTGTCTGGTTTCATTGGTACCGCCGCATTGTTATGGCCCAACGACGCTCGCCGCATAGATCTCCTGTAACGCTCGTCCACGCTCACAGCACCAGATCGAGGGTGCGAAACGCTTCAATTACCCGCAAACGCGCCGCCGGTCGATCCAGGCAGACATCTAATAGTTCCCACGCCTCGTACGCGTCCAGCGACAGCCAGTCTGACGCCTCTCGTGCTGTATTGGTCCCCTTGCACACCAACCTTCGTCGCTTGCCCTCTCGGTTGTTCGCCGCTGGGAAAGAAGTCATGCGCGATGCCAGTCGAAGCTTAGGCGTTACCGCTGGTTCGAAACGGAAACGCGTTGGGAGTGGGATCGAGAACTCCAACAGTGACGACAGGCAATACAGGGACGGGAGTCGAAGGAAGAGGCTGAGGTCAAGTTCTAGTCGCATGGATACCAGTGACGATGACGGACATAGTGAAATGGAGCTGGATGGTCGAGAATTCGGCGTACTGCGTTCTGAATCCGGGGACGAGGATGAAGTCGAATCAAGTAAGTCGCGTGGCCTGCTTCATATATAAATCCCTTAAAGATGCCGTTTAGCGGACGACTATCTAATCAACGAAGCTGAGCCGCGTCACTTGCGCCGCCTTCGTAAAGACGAGCTCGTGCGTCTTTACAACGCGGCAGGTCTGTCTGGAGACCCCGAGACTCTCACGAAGCCTGAAATTGTGGAAGCTATCGTTGCTGCTCGTGACGATGTTGCTGAACTGCCTCCCACGTCCCCGCCTCTTGCTGCCGCGGACAACTCCAGTGAATGTTCCTCTGACGATGGGAACTTTGGCGGCGGCGAAGAGACTGACATCAGCGCTAAATATGGGGCACAAGTGAACGGGCTGAGGAGGCGTGTTACAGTGCATGATCTTGGGCAGCAAATGAGCAAATCAGCGAAGGGCCGCAGCCTTTCGTTGGGTCAACTAGACTGTTCTGAAGCCAGGAAAGCGACACGCCTCGTGAATGGGAAGAAAGGCACATTAGATATCGGATATGGCTCTCTGGGCAGGTGGGAATCGAAGCCTTGATCGCTCTTCTTTCATCAATTAACTTTGTATACAGGCGGCGCGCCAACCACGTGGTTACAGTGTCACCCTCGCCCACGACGTCCGCAACGTCCAATGGTCTACCTTCACCGCCAATTACTCGCTTCAGGACTCGACAGGGTTCCGCAGAGAACCACTTGTCCGCCTCTTCCTCCAAAAATACCAAAGGAAAGGGAAAGGCAAAACACGTTGATTTCAGCGAAGAAGTCCGAGTTAACGCTTCTCATCCTGCATCACACGACCCTGGAGAGGAGAGTGAGTTGACGGATTTGGCTGAACTGGAAGTGTCGGTTGCCGCGAACCCGAGTCCGCGGAGACTGCGGAGTAAGGACAAGCAGGGTAGCGGCGATGCGAAGAGTAAATCTGATTCGAAATCTGGTCGCAAGTCGCAGACGAAGGGGTCAAGGAAGAGTCAGTCCGAGGAGGTCGGTGAAGAGGCGGATGGGTCAGGTACAGAAGAACACGATGAGGATGAAGTCGACGAGCTTATCTCGTCGGCGTCTCCTACCCCTCCTCCCCCGCCACCCCCCAGGAGGACTCCTGTCAAACGCCGTTTAAGACCCAGACGAGTGCAAACCCACACTCCTCCCACTGACAGCGATGACGCGCACGAAGGAGATGACGAGGAAGAGGAAGAACTTGAGATGGATGCGGAGCAAATGGTTGAGGAGGAGAGTGTCGATGGGGCTGAGGAGGAGGATGCGGAGGCCGTGGTGGCTGAACCGCGGAAGCTGAGGAGCGGCAAGGTCGTCGGAGAAGGTGATGCTGCCGAGGAAGATATTGAGGAGACCGACGAAGAGGAGGATGAGGATTACGTGGATGCTGAGATGCAAGAACCGGACGTCGACGCTGAAGGCGAGACGGAGGAAAGTGAGGAGTCCGATGAACCTATGGAGGACGGTATGTTCGATGTCTTCTTCTGTGGGGGTCTCCTACTGAGTTATCGTAAGTGGACCTCACTGTTGCAACCGCGAAGGCGCTAGTGCGCCTCCGTCGCGATGACCTGGTTAAGATGTGCGAAAGCCGTGACATCTCACCTGTAGGAACCAAGCCCCAGTTGGCCGAGGCTCTCCTGCAGTGGCGTGACCGGCAGTCAGAGTTCTCGTCGCCGTCCTCCGCTGGCACGGCTCGTCCACCATCCACAGCGAGACCACGCCGTAGGAGAACTCGAAGCAAAACGCGCAGCGCCAATGATCGCGACGCTACTCCAGTCTTGCTCCGTGATGATCGCGTGCACGTCGAGCAACCTCAGACTCCCCCTGTATCTGGGCACAACAAAAAAGAACCCGAGCCAGAGTTAGAGCTAGATCTGGAAAGCTTGGGCTTGGAGGATCGGGAGATCCCTCCGGAGAAGCTGACAAAATTGGAAAAGATAGGTAGTGGGGGCTTCAAGGACGTTTATGTCGGGAAGTTCAAAGGACGACGGGTGGCCATTGCCGAATTCCGAGGTCAACTAAGTGCGAGTAAGTCCGCAATGGTCCTTCTGCCTGTGATAAGGACACTGAAGTTAGTCTTCAGTGGACATTAAGGAATTGAAACTTCTAGGCGATTTCAACCATCCTAACATCGTCAAATTCGTGAGTGGGTTGTTATAGCCGTAGACATACCAACTGAATACGACCGTGCTTCTCAGCTTGGCGTTAGCATTCCTGAGAATACTCGGGAGACCCCTGTCATGATCGTCAGTGAGCTGTGTTCAAACGGAGACTTGTTCGACTACATCCGGAACGTTCCGCCGCCGTCTTTGTATCGAGTCGTATGTCTCGCCTCAATCATCGATTCTTCGTCTAGCTGATCATGCATTTCCACAGTTGTCGATGATGCTTGACATCGCTCGGGGTCTCGAGTACCTTCACACCAGAAAGCCGTCGATCATCCACAGGGACTGCAAATCCTCCAACATACTCATCACTTCTCGAGGCGTTGCTAAGATCACGGACTTCGGCTTAGCCAAGGTGAAGCAATCGACTCGGTCGATGGTTCGTAGTCTTGTCGGCACTGTCAATTGGCAAGCGCCGGAGCTCTGGCACGCGCACCCGAAGTATAATCACAAGGTGGACGTATTCTCACTCGCTATGGTATTCTGGGAGATGCTGCAATGGCACTTACCGAATAAGAAGTTCCCTTGGGAGGTGGGTTCCGTAGACTGTCGGCGTAAATTATTCGTGCTAATTGCTCGCTGATAGGGAATGAACGAACATGCAATATATGAGATCGTAGGTGCAAAACGCCAAAGGTAGTTATTGTTTGCTTAAATACAATCAGATTTCTGACTATCTTATTTCAGACCGTCAATAAGTGGTTTGCGCAAACAATGGTGCCCAGAAATTGTCAATCTCATGGAGCATATGTGGATTCATGAGCCCAATGAGCGGCCTACTATGACGGAAGTTGTCCAAGGACTAGAGCGGCTTCAAGCCCATTACCGATAATTATCCGCCATCCGTCAATACATATGCAGCACTCCCCGCAGCCAGTATTCTATCTCATATACTTCTCCTTGCTTTCTCGGACTCTATGTTCTGCTCTATGAATGTGGTACTTATCATTCTCTTATTCGCAAAGAAGGCTAGGTCGGAGTAAGGACGACCTACCTGATTCTTCGTTTTGTATCATCTCATCTATCATCATCGCAATGTGTTCATATATCGCATTTGTATTGTAGAGTCAAATCAAGCAGTGCATCGTTTTGGAACTGAATTCTGATACTAAGTAGAAGGGTCAAGTGCTTGCCCTTGTCGAGTACGAGGAGGGCGGAAGTGACTCGGCCGAATGACGCTTGCCCTATGGGCTTTGCCTGGCGGCATTCCGATGGTACCGTAAACCCATAGAAGTTCATTAGATTATGCCGACGGAACCGTTCGCACCGCCTATAAATCACTCACATCGATTGTTGATTTCTCCTCTCATCGCGAACTACAACTGCAACGATGACAACGAGCGAGAATCAACATGGGTCCATGGCCTTGGACTTGACATTGTCGCATCACTTGTCGTCCGAAACCAAGAATAGAACTCCTAACCCTATGAAGGAGATTTGGCGTCTGGCCCAATCAACTCCAGGTATTATCAACATGGCCAACGGTACGTAGCAGTCGGTTTGTACGGGAAAGCTCCAATGTGATCGACGTTTACACGTCCTTAGGCGATCCCCATCATAGCCTGTATCCCATATCCGAGATAGCCTTTAGAGTGCCGTCTATCTCTCAGGACGACCCGGTGAACGCCTGGCGCAAGGGCGAGAGCATCACACAGACCTTGACGTCCTACAAAGACGAGCCCTCCGCCGTCAGTCTGAGATCTGCGTTGCAATATGGGTCCGGTGCAGGGCTTCCGGAAGTCCGAGCGGCCCTCGAGCAGCTCATGACGGTCATGCACCCTTCGCCCTCAGAAAACCACTTCGTCACTCTCAGTCTAGGTAACGCCGACGCAGTGACGAAATGCTTTCGTCTCCTCGGCGAGCCAGGGGACGCATTCCTGGCGGAGGAGTTCTCCTTCCCCGGAATGACGAACGCTCCGCTTGCACATAAGGTCCGATGGGTACCTGTAAAGCTGGACAAGGCGGGTATGATCCCAGAGGACATGGAACGGATCCTCCGTGAATGGGACGAGAATAAACGAGGTAGACGCCCCCATGTCTTGTATACGATCCCGTAGGCAATCCGCCAGTGCTGCACAGGCAAGATTGTTCGTCGTTGACGCCTTTGTAGGTGCGGGCAGAATCCCACTGGGAGCACGCTACCATCAGAGAGACGGCGAAAGATCTATGAAATCGCATGTCGATGGGACTTGATCATTGTCGAAGATGGTACGAAGATTGTCCAGACAGTATATGCGCGGAGCTGATCGCATCTAGATCCGTATTACTTCCTCCAGTACGACAAGCCTCCGATCCGCACAGAAGATGTTGAGAAGGACGGCTTTGCAAAGACCTGGGCCCGGAATCTTGCTCCTTCTTTCCTGTCTTTGGACACCGAAGGTCGAGTTATGAGGATAGATAGGTATGTCCGGTACACGGAAATGAACAATCCTATATTGAATATAATTTGGTCCAGTTTCAGTAAGATCATCGCGCCCGGCATGCGGCTGGGCTGGATAACCAGCAATCCCCTCTTTGCCTCGCACCTCGAAAACCTAATCGATTCATCTACACAGCACCCGCACGGCCTGGGCCAAGCCTTCATCGCGGAGATGCTGGCAGGCAAAGACAGTTGGCAGATTGACGGGTTTGCAAGGTGGGTGAAGAGCCTCTGCGACGAGTACCAGCAGCGTAGGGACTTCCTCGCGAGGCTATTCGAGGCGGAGCTCGGCAACTCGGGTTATGCAAATGTTGAGATACCGGAAGCCGGGATGTTCCTCTGGATAAGAATCAATATCGAAAAGCATCCGAGGTACCGGAAGGACCAGGCTGGGAAAAGCAATTCGCGTGCGTTGACGGAAGAGCTGTTCAATCACGTACGGGAAGCCGGAGTGATGATGATGCCCGGCTATGTCTTTGCCATTGTGGATGCCGAGGAGAATGGTAGCGGACCAAACGCCATAGACGAGGTTAGTGCACCTCATCTTTTTACCATCGAGGAGACTGATAAGGCGTGCTAGCGGAGCAATTATTTTCGGACGACTTTCGTCGGAATAGAGGAGACCATGGAGAAGGGGATGGCCATATTCGGGAGCGCGGTCAGGGAGTTCTTCGCCAGCTAGGCGGTAATCTGGCGAAATAGATGAGTGGGAAAACCGTCGCCGTAATAGTTGAAACATCGATGGCCCATCGTCCTGACGATATAACGACGGTGGTCAGAGTTTCGCAGCTCTCTCTTGTACTGACGGAAGTTCCAAGTCAGTCGCACATATGATCAAGGTGTCCTTCAAGCTCGGTAGCCTATGCTTGTGATTGACTTCCTGATAGTCCTTGCTGGCAATCATGTCGGCGAAATGGCTGATAGTAGGATAATGAGCCATGGCAAACTCATCCCACTGCTTCTCCTGTCCGTCGACAGAAGCTGTCCTGGAGGTATAGTGCGAAGGAGAGAGTATGTTTCCAACAAGCTTCGCATTGCCGCCTCGTTTAACACCTACGGACTCTGAGAAAGCCTGTTTATTGCACCCTCAGAAAGTACTGAGCAGTGTACACATCTTAGACGTACCTGGCCGTACTTGAGGTACTCGCTTTTCATTCCTTCCTTGAATGCCAGTATATTCAGCATGGTCACAGCACCAGCCCCCTCGGCGGCCTTGAATTTATTTATCCATTCGAGTAATTCATCGGACAGCTCCAAGTCTTGCGCTGAACTCGGTGCAGGGCTGTGCCTCTTTTCAAGTGCCCCGGTCAATGGAGGTACAGACCCAGGGGTAGGGTATAGTAATGCCTGGTTCCGTTGCGCGAAGTCCTTGAGGATACGCGATGGCACGCCGACCTCAACTTTCCAGTCTTCCTCCACCAATTCTTGGACTGTGCTCGCAAGGCCGAAAGGTCCTTCCAGCAGAAGCACAACATCCCATTTGCTTCGAAGGAGCTCCAATGAAAGAAATGAAGGGATTATAACCCAGCGGTGAACCTTCGCCACGATTACTGGCCTCAGCTCCTTCCCGTTCACCAGGCCCTCAAGGAACCGTGAAATTGAGCATTTGATGGACAATAGATGTAAAGTGCAAACAGGCATGATACGCTTCGTGTTTGAGCTGAAACGGCGAGGACAAGGCTTGACGCGGACGGGTTCTCATCAACTTCCCATTGCAGCAGCTACAGTTTGGCACAGTGTCATGATTACACGCTGTAAGCCAGCAATCCTGCCCCGGGCTATGCAGATTATATATACATCGATATACGGCAGTGTGATTCAATTATCGATTGACTATATCCAAATACTAGTATGCCAGTGTCATATCACCCTGCCAGGCCCCGCTACTCTCGTCCCGTAAATCTGAGCTAGCAGCCCAAGGACCCCTGCGTCCTCTAACCCATCCTCCTCCTCCTGACGCTCCTGCGACTGCGATCCGGACGCATAGGGCCGAGTTCGCTGCGCGTTCACGGCCCCATCCACATAGGACCCGCCCAAACCGCTTCCAACGCCTCCGTCCGGAGCCAAGTCCTCCTCGTGAATATCGTCAGTCTCCTTGACAGGCGGACTGAGAACCCGACTGCCCTGGGAATCACCCAGCACCATCGTCTGCGCCGTCTCCATCCCAGCAATCCCCGATCGGAATATAGACGATGACGATGGGCCTTGTCCTTGGTCCACCGTGCTCCCTGCACCAGCAAGGACTGTCGACCCGTGTCTTTGCCGCGCAAGTGCCTGACTCTGCAGAAGAGCTCGGTCGTATTCCTGTGCTCGGGCTGCGAGATCGGGTTTGTGGTCCTTCGACATGTGGACAGTTGCATCAAGAGCTATCGACGCCCCAAGCCACGGCTGTCTCCGCCGGTTCAAGGGGCCAAGCTGATTGGCTCGATAGTCAGCCATTCGACTAAGGTACATCGAGCCTGAAGGGTCCGCAGGATTCCAGGTCGGATTCGCAGCCTGTGAGAGAACTCGTTAGGTAACCGAAAGAGACCGCTTAGATATGTCCTACCTTGAAGTTCAGGAAGCTCTTCTCCATCTTGCCATCTTTGGACATCAGTCGCTCATCGTTCACCTTGGACGGTGCTCCGAACTTCGAAAACATTACCACTTAGCATTAACAGACTTCGACAGCGACTAAACTCTGCATACCTTGACATTTCCGTGCTTTTCGAAGTTAAATTGTGCAAAGCTACAGATATAGCCAATGCCATCCACGTGGATCGTGAAAGTGCGGAAGAAGTCGATGATCTCTGGGGCACAGTCCGGCAGTGAAAACCAGAGGATAAATGGAGTCAAGACGACCGACAGCAGCTCCTTTGCGAAAATAACGATCTTCAACGCGAACAGTTCCCCGAATTCCTGGTGCACCTGTTTAGGAGCACTTAGCTTCCATACTGACCCTTGCATTACCAAACCTCACCTTCTTTGAATGCAGCTGATTCTTCCAATGATCCGGCATATAATGCGTGTACTGGACTACCTCGGTCATCAACGCCTCCGGATCGAACACAAAGTTCTCTGCCGGAATCATGCCCCTGGCTACGGCGAGTACGGACCCGAAGAGACCGATGTAGAAAAGGACCGTCCGGTGCGGGGTCACTTCGAACCCGAGAAACAGATCGGGATCGATAACCGATGCGAGAATGAGGACAGCGGCGAAAGACCCAGCAATAAACGCGACGAATCTAGGGTTACGGATAAGGGGTAAAGTTCACGAATGGGGTCAATGAGTGGACAGTGAAGCCTACCGCATAATGAGGGCTATCTTCTCGTTCGGGAACTGCCCGATGTACATGCTTGCCACCGGGTAGGACTCATCCAATCTACGCTGGAATATATGAGGCAACTCATTGAACTCTCGGAACTTCCACTCCGCGAAAGGCGTGTATCGGCGACCACCGATAGTCGAAGGATTCTTGTGATATTCCTGGTGACATTGAATCAATAGTGATCGCAACAAGACGACCGGGAACAACGCACCTCGAAGTATCGGAAGAACGAGTACATCAATAGATAGAGGACTATGAACGGCGCAAAAACAGCATTCAAAATGCCCATAAAAATGAGTCGTCTTCGCAAGCTGTGGTAGCACTCGCTCAGCATCGCAATTCGCATCATTTTTACCAACCAAGACACACCCTTGGATCAGCACTTCCCGGTTCTTGCTCTTCAAGAACACTTTCCTGACTCTGCCGCTAGGATCAAACAAGTACTCCATGAGACTAAACCGCAGATTCCACTCCAAAGCCCGAGTAAGTGTCCGTCCTTTTCCCTGCTCCGGCGGCACGAACCGCTTCAGCGCCGAAGGAAGCGGCACTCGCAAGTCCAATAGCTCCTTATTAAACAAGGCGATCAGGTAATTCTCTTGCCGCATGATACGGTTGGCGATGGTGTGCGCGTCGAGCTTGGCCGCCGTCTGGGCAGAGGACTTGGAGGATATAGCAGTAAGGGGGTTCTCGTCCCTGATGCCTCCTATGCGGCGCACGATTTCGGGCCATGAGATCGTCTGGATGTCTTCCTGCAGCCGGCGGAAAAGATGTCAGCGGTGGCATGGATACGATGGAGCAGGGACTGACGTCGGGTATTCGTAGGAGATGGGTATAAAAGTTGTACATGTCGACGAGGCGGACGACGTCCATCACGTACGAGACGACTTGCCAGCAGTAAAATGCGCTGAACAGCAGGAAGAACAAGAAGGTAAAGCCGGAAAATCTGATCCAAAAATGAGTAAGACCACAATGCAAGATACAGTGAATCGTACCTAGATACACAGCGGTCTACCACCACGTCAGACAGGCGGGTGATACCCTCTGGCTTGATCCTAGAGTAGTCCACGCATCCCAGGAGGAACGTCGAGAACGCTATAACGAACCCTACTGTGCTACCGAGCAAGTTTAGCGGCGCCTCGCGCGTGGAGAACAAGAAGACCGCACGGACAGGAGGTTCAGCCCCCGCTCCAGGGCAATACAGTATATCCCCTTCCCCTCGTAGTACGCGTACACCTCCTGCAGGAATGCGTCCAGATTGTACACGTTCACCCAGTTCCACAACGCCCGTTCGTACGCATCCAGCCCGCGCATCGGCCTCGGTTCTCGCGGAGGTGGTGACTGCGGGGGGTCAAACGTCTCCTCCGGGGTCGTCTCGGACGGACGGGGTGGGATGGACACAGCAGGGACCGGTGGATCACTCCTGTGTGGCTGGCTCACCGGCGTAGCCCTCTGCGGCGGAAACGACGACAAAGGCGGCCTCGCGGTCGCCGGGTCCCTTGCCTTTCCCTTCCCATGCTGCGAGCTCCTTCGCCCACCGGGCGGCGTACCCGCCGCCTCGATCAGGAAATCCTGGGGCACCTCGTCATCGTCGTCACTCGCTCTCTGCTCGTCAATCTTATCGTTCTGCCGTATATTCGGACGTAGCACGTTCATTTCAGACGCATCGGCGCCCCAGGACACGCGCCTCTTGCCATGCGCTTTCCGAGCAGCAGATGTCCTGCGGCCTGCCTCCAAGTCATCGTCATCCCGTTCCCGCTCCGTTTCGTTCTCCTCTTCCTCTAGGACAGACTGGTTTGCTTGCATGTAGCCCATATGGGCGCGGCCCATGGGGTTCAGCATGTTCAAGAAAGGCCGCGAGCTGGAAGCGCCGGGGAGCAGTGACTGCGAAGCCTGAAAGGATCGGGAGGTCGAAAGTGGTCGGTTGTGATTCGAGCGAGGCGGCGTAGACATGGTCGTTAATGCTTCATACACCCGTTCGTTACGGTCAGAAGGTCGTGCGCGTCGTTACAGACGCTGAGCTCAGAGCAGACGTCGAAGTCACGTAAATGGATCCGGCATGTGAACCTGACGCGCCCATTTCCAATTGCACGCGTACGCGTCTGAATCTGCGCGTCTATCGACCCGAGGCAGCCATTTCGAGCACGATACTGCAAACCGAAGCAATATAGCATAGAGACTATAATAAATGGCAGAGCATCCCGCCCCGTTTTGATACAGATATACAGTACAGCCGAGATACTCTTCTCAAGCACTCCCATTGACCAAGCTTCTCGGCTTAAAATCCAACTTGCTCACCGCACACAAAACAGCCTTTAGCCCGCTCGCAGTGATATCCGTATCCCGAGCAACCCCCCATGCTGCGCTCTTCTTCTGACTCTCCTCGTCCCGGGTGTAAGTCAGCTCGACGTACGACGCCGCCGTCACCTCCGAGCCCTCCCCGATCGAGTGCTCCGAGTACTCGCGCACAGCAAAGGTCCCCTCGATGAGCTCGTGCAGCGCAGCTAGGACGGCAGATAGGGGGCCGTTCCCTTGGCCTTTCAACGGCCGGACTTTGCCATCCAAGACGATCTCGCCGTTGATCTCCCGCCGCGAGTCGCTTCCATCTCCCAAATACTCCATCTTGAACGACTTCAACGATACCCGGCTCTGCTCGGGCGCCACCTCGTACCCGTACGTCTCCCGGAACAGCTTGATGAGGGTGTCGTACGACACCTCCTTCACCCTTACATCGTCGTCCTTGTCCCCCACCGACCGCTGCACGACCTCGAAGAACGACGCCTGCAGCCGCTTCGGCAGCTCGAGGTGCAGCGCGTTCAGCACGACCGACGCCACATCCGCAAGAGACGACCGCTTGTCGAAGCCCACAAGCAGCTTCAGTTCGGGCAGCGGCCGGTCGCCAATCGCAGCGTTCACCGCGCTCAGGACGGCGCGTAGACCCGACCCTGCGATGTCCGAGTCGACGCCGACGCCCCACCAGCCCGCCTTGCGGCCCTCGCCGGGCGGCACGACCTCCACGTACGACGCCGCCCGCGCTTCCTTGCCCTCGCCCAGGGTGTGCTCCGAGTACTCCCTGATCGATAGGTCGATATCCAGATGCGTGCGCAGCCCGTCGAGCAGCGCCGATAGCGGGCCGTTGCCCTCGCCTTTGATCACCCTCAACACCCCGTCAACGAGAATCGTCCCATCAAACCTCCTCCGCTCGTCCTGCGAATCGCTCCTCTCCGTGTCCGGCTCCACGCTCGGCTCCGAGCTAATCTCGAACGACTTGAGGACCAGCCGGCCCTGGTAGCTGGGTCCGCCAAAATGGTAAGTCTTCCTGAACGCAGTGACGATATCGTCGACCATCATCTCCCTTGCTTCGCGGTCCGCGATGTCCTGCACGACCTGGTAGAACGCGATCTGCATCTTTCGCGGCAGGTCCAGGCCCAGGTGCTGCTTGACAAGGTACGCGATCCCACCTTTCCCGGACTGCGAGTTAACGCGGATAACGGCCTCGTAGCTGCATCCCAGATCCGCGGGGTCGATGGGCAGGTATGGCATGTCCCAGTACTGATTCTCGCCCCTCGCCTTTGCCTCCGCATGCTGCTTCCTCTGCACCTCGAAGCCCTTCTTGATCGCGTCCTGGTGAGAGCCGCTGAATGCGGTGAACACGAGCTCGCCCGCGTAGGGGTGACGTGGGTGCACGGGCAGGTCGTTGCACTGCGTGACGACCTCGATCACAGACTGGATGTCGGAGAAGTCAAGGTTCGGCGGGATGCCCTGCGAGTAGAGGTTCAGCGCGAGGTTGACGAGGTCGACGTTGCCCGTTCGCTCGCCGTTCCCGAAGAAACAGCCCTCGATGCGGTCGCCGCCGGCGAGTAAGCCGCACTCCGCCGCGGCGATACCTGTCCCGCGATCATTGTGCGGGTGTAGACTAACGATGACCTTTTCGCGCTCTGTGATATTGCGGCAGAAGTGTTCGATCTGGGGTCACTTAGTACAAAATCAGGGGATGAGGAAGGGGACTCACCCGGTCGGCGTAATGATTGCAAGGCCCAATTTCGACTGTAGCAGGCAAGTTAAAGATGATTCTGTCTTCGCCTGGACCCGCCTTGCCCCAGGCAGCCTTGACTGCCTCGCACACTTCGATGGCAAAGTCGGGTTCCGTCTGCGTGAACGTCTCAGGACTATATTCGTACTTGAACACGGTGCCCGTTTGTGCTGAACACTCTTCCGTCAGCTGGCGGATGATTTTGGTGTGCTTGACTGCAAGAGCGACCGTCTCTTCCTTGGAGTTCCGGAAGACGACATTACGGAATAAAGGGGAAGTGGCATTGTACATGTGGATGATGGCGTGTTTGGCACCCGCTACAGAGTCGATCGTGCGCTTGATGAGATCCTCCCTGGCAGGAGTGAGGACCTGAGCTCAACCTGCGTTCAACACATCGACCCGGACAGAACGGAGGTGGCAGTGGACTAACCTGCAACCACACATCGTCCGGCACCAGATTCTTCTCGATCAGCATCCGCACAAAGTTGAAGTCGGTATCACTGGCGGCGGGGTATGCGACCTCGATCTCCTTCACGCCGCACTTGACGAGCTGCTGGAAGAAGAGGGTCTTTTGTTCGATTGTCATCGGGTTGGCGAGGGCCTGATTACCGTCGCGCAGGTCGGTGGAGAGCCATATTGGGGCCTTTGTGGTACGCCGCGAGGGCCACTGGCGGTCAGGGAGGTCAAGAGCGGGGTACGGCTTGTACTTTTTGGACGGATCTGAGCTGGATAAAGATCAGGACGAGCGGGGTAAACAAAGATAGACGGTGACCCACAGCATAGGCATGACGGTCGTGAGCAAAGAGACTAGGGCTACAATGGGCAAAATATAAAGCAGAAAAGTGAAAGGAAGGAAGACGGTGACTCGACCTGCCGAGAGCTGCCTGCACCAAGTCCGATGCATTCACGGCCGAAAATCTGGCCAGAGGGTTGCTGTGGCTGTGTATACGTGAGAATGTCAATTGCACTTTGATTGAGCAACGCTTAGAGGGATGCGCGCAGGAGGTCAGATGGGGGAAGAGAATTAAGATGCGACATAGGCACATGCGAGTTTATAAGCCTGGCGGCAACCACGTAGAAATGTCACGGAAGAAAAGCAGTGAAGGGACATAATACAAAAATGGCAATACACATGCCATTTTGGGAAGCTCTGACCGGCAATGGCCGCGATCGTCCATACCTCGGGCACGTGATACCGCAGATTATCGTCGGACGCTTTGCGTGACTCTGCTGCAAACCTCTAACCGAGTCGCACTGCGTCCAGCATTTCTGCGGCCATGGCGTGCGCACTGACCCTCTCTACAAAACTCTCTCCTTTCCCCTACGCCGCTCTCGCTATCGCGATATATACGATATACCCTTCGCAGGCAGAGTTCGTCTGGGATGACGGTGCAACCGAGCCAGTCTTGGTTCTCAACGATTCCAAAATCACTTCCGAGGACGCGATCGTACAAGCGTTAGCCAAAGTAGGCGGCCTTGCAGACGATAGTGCCAAGGTACGTTGTCTTTAATTCCATTCAGGACGAATGCGTAAAGAATGACGCGTATGAACAGAGTCAAGCTTTCTTTGCGCTCGCGAAGAAAATTCAGACAATCACAGCCGTGCCAGAGCTGCTCACGATACTTGATTCACTGGACGACCATCTGGCCTTCCGGACTTTCCTCGTCGGGCACGACATAACCGCCGCGGACTGGATGATCTGGGGAGCTATCAAAGGTTCGTTCCTCCTCCTCAACCCAAATAAGATCAAGCCCCAATACAGCTCGTCTATTCAGGTTCCGTCAAAGCCCTTGGTCTCCTGAAAAACAACAAACATCCCCACCTCTCGCGTTTCCTCTCCTACTTCGAGTCCTTGCAGACCACCGAAACCGCCCTCTCCCTACTCGCCGCCGAGAAGGCGTCGGGGCGGCGCTCGAACAAGGTCGCCGCGTCCTTTGCGCTTGGTTTACAGGACGCCGTCGATGGCCACGTCGTCACGCGTTTCCCGCCAGAGCCCAGCGGGTACCTCCACATCGGGCACGCGAAGGCGGCGATTTTGAACCAGTACTTCGCAAAGATGTACCACGGGAAACTGTTGATTCGGTTTGATGACACGAATCCGACCAAGGAGCGGGTAAGTTTCCATGTGCTGTACTTGAGTTGGGGTATGTTATGTAGTTATTGACTGTATGGGACAGAGCGAGTTCGAGGAGACTATCCTGGAGGATCTAGCCCTGCTCGATATCCACGGCGACGCGATCTCCCACACTTCTGACTACTTCGACAAGCTGTACGAGCTCGGCGTCAAGATGATCGAGACGGGCAAAGCGTACGCAGACGATACCGTGCAGGAGCAGATGCGCGCGGAGCGCATGGACGGCATCGCCTCGAAGCACCGCGACGACTCCGTCGAGGACAACCTCAAGCATTTCGCGGAGATGAAGGCGGGGACGGAGGAGGGCCTGCGGTGGTGTATCCGCGCGAAGATCAGCGTGGACAATCCGAATAAGGCGCTCCGCGACCCCGTCATCTACCGCTGCAACGTCCTCACACACCACCGAACCGGGTTCGCGATATTTCTCCCAACACATGTATGCAGTTGAAAGTAAAGTCGGCTGACGTGAATTAATAGGGACAAGTGGAAGATATACCCAACCTACGACTTCGCGTGCCCGGTGGTGGACTCGCTGGAGGGCGTCACGCATGCGCTGAGGACGAACGAGTACCGCGACCGCAACCCGCAGTACCACTGGATGATCGAGGCGCTCGGCCTCCGATCCGTACATATCTGGGACTTCAGGTAACTGAAGTGCATCCACTTCACTCCGAGGAGGAAGCTCACGTCGCGGTATAGTCGATTGAACTTCATCTATACGCTCCTGTCAAAGAGGAAGCTGCATTGGTTTGTGGATAACGGGCTCGTGAAGGGGTGGGACGACCCGCGGTTCCCGACTGTCCGGGGTGAGTCAGCTTCAGGCTTTGCCAGGGTTACTGTTGATGATGTTTTCTGTTCAGGTATTCGTCGCCGCGGTATGACCGTCGAAGCCCTGCGGCAGTTCATGCTTGCGCAGGGTCCCTCGCAGGCTATTGTGTCCCTCGAGTGGGATTCGATTTGGGCGGCCAACAAGAAGGTCATCGACCCGATTGCTCCGCGATTCTGGGCTATTACTACTGACAAAATGTATGTGCCGTCTCCTGCTAGTCCCTAACGTGTAGGAGTGTTAACCATGCTGAATGGTCAGGGTGCCGGTGACGATCAGGGGCGGGCCTGCGTCGGCTGAGGTCAAGTCGTTGCCTAAGCATAAGAAAAACCCCGAGGTCGGGGAGAAGCAGACCGTGTATACCTCGCAGATCCTCGTCGAGCAGGAGGATGCGCTGTCGTTCGGTGACAACGAAGAGGTGCGCCAGTCTTCACCCATCTGCATGTACGGGTTTACTGATAAGCTGCCGCAGATCACTCTCATGGACTGGGGCAACGCCATCGTGCGCTCAAAGACCGCGGACCCCTCAGGAACCGTCGCCGCGCTCGAGCTCGAGCTGCACCTCGCCGGCGACTTCCGCAAGACGTCGAAAAAGATCCACTGGCTGCCGCAGCCGTCCTCCGCGCCCGAGAGCAAGCCCGTCGTGGCGCCCGTCACGCTCTTCGATTACGACTACCTCATCACGAAGAAGAAGCTCGAGGAGAACGACGAGCTGAAGGACTTTGTCACGCCCGTGACGGAGTTCAGGGAGGAGGCGCTCGCGGACGCGAACGTCCTCGAGCTGAAGAAGGGGGATATCATCCAGTTCGAGAGGAAGGGGTACTTCATCCTCGACCAGGTGTACGCGGACGCGAATGGGGAGAAGAGGTTTGATTTTATTCGAATTCCAGATGGAAAGGCGGCAAATCTGGCGTCGAAGGCGGGGGCGAAAGCTGGTGAGAAGGCTCCCTCTGGTGACATGCAGAAGGGGATTGACACGCCGGTTGAGACTAAGATGTATAAGATGCCGAAGGTGTATGGGGAGGACGATGTGATCCCGAAGGCGGAGACGAAGATGTACCCGGTCAAAAACATATACAGTCCATAGAAGTCTAAGTGTATTTGTAGGCAATGAGTATCTTGCAGCTGTTTTCAACATTTGTTGTAGTTGGCGTTTCCTGAGGGTGGACTTGTATAAAACTGCGCATGCCACTCCGGAGAACCTGAAGATTTTGATGGCAAGCGATTTCCGTTTCTGCCACCGGCAACACGCTGCACACTCCCCACCTCCTTCCACCACGACGACCGCCCGGCGCGACACCTAGATGCGCCTCCCACTTCCGCTCGTTCTCTTATTGCTGCTGCCGCCATGCGTGCTAACGTCTCGTCCGGCAAAACGCTCATATTCTACTCACGACTACTACGTCCTGGAACACCTGCCTTCCGGTGCTGCATCGCTGGACGAATGCGTGAATAATCTCGGGCTGGAGGTGGTCGAGCAGGTTGGGGAGCTCCGGGATCATTGGTTGGTGCGACGGCGGAAACAGGACTGGTACGTGCGGACGGAGGGAGACCCGGTGGAGCTGCTGCGAAGGATGAGAGAGCGAGCAGGTACGGGGAGCGTCCATGCGCGTTCTGAGCCAGTACACGTTGAGGGTCGGATATCCTCTTCCGTGAAATACCTGGAGCCTCAAATACCACGGCAGCGGGCCAAGCGTGCACCTCCACCTGTGCGGCCAGGAGATGGGGACGGCGAGGTGAAATCAACTGCCCGAGAGGTTGCGTCGCGACTGGGCATCCGTGACCCTACGTTTACCAAGCAATGGCATCTGGTGAATGATGAGTTTCCGGAACACATGATGAACGTCTCGGGGCTATGGGAGGAAGGAATCACGGGTGCAGGTGTAATATCAGCCTTAGTGGACGACGGCTTGGATTATAACAGCGACGACCTTGCTGCCAACTTCGTAAGTTCTGCTATCTTGCACCTGTAAGTGTTTAATTTCCCCGCAGTTTGCAGAAGGCTCGTATGACTTCAACGACCACGAAGATCTCCCCACACCCAAACTCTTCGACGACCACCACGGCACGCGCTGTGCAGGTCAAATAGGCGCAGTCAAGAACGACGTCTGCGGTGTTGGTATAGCCTACGACTCGAAGGTTGCTGGCATCCGTATACTCTCCGGACCCATATCAGACGTAGACGAGGCTGCCTCTCTCAACTATGGTTACCACAATACCTCGATATACAGCTGCAGCTGGGGACCCTCAGACGATGGGAGATCCATGGAGGCTCCTGGGTACCTGATCGAGAAAGCCGTGGTCAATGGTATCCAGAATGGACGCGGCGGGAAGGGCTCTATCTTCGTCTTTGCCAGCGGAAATGGTGCAGTCCATGACGACCAGTGCAACTTCGATGGCTACACGAATAGCATATATTCGATTACTGTAGCCGCGGTCGATTACAAGGGTCTGCACCCATATTATTCCGAGGCTTGTGCTGCCAATATGGTGGTAGCGTATAGCTCTGGTAGCGGCAATAGCATTGTCAGTAACTGCCCTTCTCTTCTGTACTGCTCGCTGCTGACACCAGCCGCCCAGGTTACTACCGATGTTGGTAAGAACAAATGTGCTACTACTCATGGTGGTACCTCGGCTGCCGCGCCCAATGCCGTGGGCGTATTTGCGCTCGCATTATCAGTCCGGTACGTGCGCGCTGCGATCCTTCGGTTTGGTTTATTGACACAGCGACAGACCTGATCTATCATGGCGCGATATGCAGCATCTATGCGTTAGAACCGCGGAAATGATCAATCCTGAAGATCCCGACTGGGAAATCACAGCTGCGGGGCGTCCCTTCAGCTACAAGTACGGATTCGGACGCCTGGATGGCTACAAGTACGTCAAGGCAGCCCAGGACTGGGAACCCGTGAAGCCACAGGCATGGCTCGACGTGCAGCCCATCCAGATCGCGAACGGTACTATGGACATCCTCGGGACGATGTCGGGCGGCGCGCCAATAACCACGGAGGGCGTGCGGAGTACCTTCACTATTACCCAGGAAATGTTGGCGGAGAACAACTTCGAGGGCCTCGAGCATATCACGGTGAAAGTATGGATCTCGCATACTCGCAGGGGGGACGTCGAGGTCGAGCTTGTCAGCCCTAATGGTGTTAAGAGCGTCCTGGCCGCTAAGCGGAGGTACGATAATGCAATCACCGGGTTCCCCGGATGGCGGTTCATGACCGTAAAGCATTGGTTCGTTGATATGGTTTAGTTTCGCTCGGCAACGATGAACTGATTTTGCCAAAGGGATGAAAAGCCGGTTGGCGAGTGGACGATAAGGGTCAACGACCAAGGGTCAGAGGGCGAATCTGGCAATTTCCTAGGCTGGAGTATGACGCTCTGGGGTTCGACTATTGATGCGTCCAAGGCTAAACAGTATGAAGTCCCTTTCCTCGCCTCCTTACTGCCTGCGCCGCATGAAGACGTCGTGACGACGACTACCATCCTCCCTCTGACTACGGCTACTAAGTCTTACCCCAAGCCGACGTCTCACCTGCCGACCGATCACGGTAGCGTCGAAGGCGAGGCCACGAAGGCGGCCTTCTCCAACAAGCCTATTGCGACCACACCCACTGTTCAAGACGTTGTCGAGCCGACCGAGAGCATCCCCACCGAGAGCATAACCCCAACGGCGGATGAAGGCTGGTTCCCGGACATGGAGAATCTGGTGTCGAACCAGAAATGGTTCTTCGGCGCGGTTGGCGCAGTCGTCGTCTTCGGATTGTCCGCTGGGATATTCTTTTGGAGACGTGCCGTCAACCGGAGGCGCAGAGCGCAGTATAGTACGCTTGCGAGGGACGACGATGTGCCCATGAGCTCTATCGGTGCTGGTGGAGGGCGCGCGACTGGCCAAGGTACCAAGGAACTATATGACGCCTTTGGCGAGGTTTCAGACGATGAGGACGATGTTGACGAACACACCGGGCTGACAGCAGGCCGTCCTGAGGATCGTTCGCCCGGGGGTTTGGGGTTCCACTCCGGGTTCTTGGATGACGATGACCCCGAGTCAGCTAGAGCAACGCACACATCATATCGGGACGAGCCCGAAGACCCAGACCATCTAAGGTCAGGTTCATCTCAACCTTCGCGAACTGGCAGTCCCGGTAGCAGCGGCACTGGAAGTTGGGAGCATGCATCGCAACTGCGTTAGCGAGCTTCTTTTGGGACGTTATTGTGTATAATGCAGGATTGTCCGGAGCATTTGTTATATTATAATTATGCAGTACAATGAACGTGATACCAAAAGAACAGTAGGGATACAGGATAACCAACTTGGATAATGACGCTGCTATGATTCTGGGACCGAGATGAAACGTATCCTGCTTCCATTCGCTACTCTCGCGATGAGATCCAAATCCTCGTACTGAGAGGTGACGAACTTAACACGAGTTTAATGTATATCAAACATGGAGGACTTACCGCCGAAATCGTGTCATTCAGCTGCACTTCCGTGAATCCAGCAGCCAACACCCGGGCCCTAATCTGGACGATGGGGATCTCCTCCATACCCTCGTCGCCAGAGTCATCGTAATCTTCATCCATATCGACGTCAGAATCCCGCTCACCACCGGGTCCCTTACCCAGTCGCTTCTTTCGACTCTGGACAGTTTTCCGCTTCTTGCCGCTTCCACGACCAGCTTTGGCCATATCCTTCATTATGCGATAGATCTTACTCTGAGGTGACTGGTCAGGATCACGCTCCTTCTCCGCATCCTCCAGCAGACTCTCTTTGCTACACTCCATAAGGCGAAGTGCTTCGTCGACGTCAAGGTGGGTGACAATATCCGAGAAACGTAGTCGTGCTAGTGCCTGGGATAACCGGAGGACACCCAATAGCGTACGAGCAGAGGTGTAAGTGTGCGACTTCTTTTGCTCTTCCTCGTCTCTTGATAGCTTTCTGAGTCGGACGTAAGAGTCTACCACGTAACTGGAGACTTCTGGAGGGACGATAGGTCGGTGAGTGCGAGCAAGCGCGATGTAATGCCTGCAGGAATAAATCAGCCCGAATGAAGCTAGCAACCGATCCCGCGAGACGTACCGCATAAGCACCGGCTCGACTGGCTCATGCTCCAATTCAGGGTGTGTGTTGTACATGTGGACGTGAGTGACATGGTGCGCGAGGCGCTCATCGTCGTCTCTCGTGGGCTTGTCAAGGATTAGGAAGAGCAGATCGAAACGGGACAGCAAAGCGGCAGGCAAGTTGATGTTTTCCACCGGTGACACTTTGGGGTTGTATCTTCCGTACAAGGGGTTGGCTGCCGCCAGGATGGAAGTGCGAGCGTTCAAAGTCGTAGAAATACCCGCCTTGGAGATTGAGATAGTTTGCTGTTCCATCACTTCATGGATAGCAGTGCGATCGGACTCCTCCATCTTGTCGAACTCATCAATACAACAGATACCATTGTCAGCGAGAACGAGAGCACCCCCCTCTGTTATAGGATAAGTCTCAGTCGAGCGATCATAGCGTTGTTTACTTACCGAGTACCATCTCGTCTGTGACGGGGTCTCGCATGACGGCGGCTGTGAGACCAACGCCTGAAGAACCTTTTCCCGTGGTATATACTCCTCTCGGAGCTACCTTGGAAATATACTTGAGCAATTGGGACTTAGCAACACCGGGGTCACCCATAAGACAGATATTCAGATCCCCTCGGATCTTCATGCCGTCCCCCATGGTCTTTGTCACTCCGCCTACCAACAGCAGTAGTAGCGCCTTCTTGACGTCTTCGTGACCGTAAATTTCCGGTGCAATGCTGTGGGCCAGTTTGGTATAAAGCGCTGGATCGTTCTGAAGCTGGTCGATTTTGGCACGCATCTCTGGCGTAATTTCCATGTCGTTGTATTGTTTTTTAAGTTGATGGATGTAGTGCGCCTCGAGGTAGGTGTCGGTAAGAAGACCTGCGCGTACTGCCTGATAACCAGTATATGGGATGGGAAGGAAGATGCCCCCTAGGTGAACGACGTCGCCTGGATTCATCAGACGAGTTAGAGGACCTTGAACCTGTACGGTCATTGAACGTGGTATGTGACCGACCGGCACTTGGTCTGCCTGCGGTGTGCCTTAGATATGCTGTCACCGTACAGTGACCAAGTTACTCACCATTTCCTGGATTTTCACTTCCTGGAACGGGACAAACCGGCACGCCCTCGTCTGCATATGCAACGACCCGTGGATACCGTTCTTCTTGCATTCGTTCTCGTTCTGACAGTCCATGATGGGCGTGAACTGCTTACTTGAAATGTCTTGGAAGGTTTCCGATCCGCAGACGTCGCAAGTGTAGGCATTGACGAGCAGTAGTGGTTTGACTTCAGACACCCGAGTCACTATCCCTCTGACAGTGATGAGCCGGCCTAAATGAAGGCCTCGGACTTCCCGAACGGCCATAGCAATATCCGCCCGTAGAGGTCTGAAATATAAATTACTGGAAAGTCTTAATTAGGATTCCTTGGACAGCCGGAGAAAAATTGCGTACTATCGTCGTAGGAGGTGGTTAGGGAACCCCTCCTGAATGCCCTCAGTCTGTTCATTCCGCTCTCTCCTTTGATGCAGTATAACATCAATGACTTCGTCCTGGTCGCTTATGTCCTTCGTGGGCATTGGCATGAGTGCGTCGACCACTTCGCTGAACAGGTTGACGTATCGGCGGGTGTTGTTCTGTATGCGAGACACGAGGTCTGCGAAGGTTTTCTCGTACTGCGAGAGTGAGTAATGACTGCTTGAGCGGATGGGAGAGACATACCTCTGCCACATCTTCCAGATCCACGACCAGCATTTCCTGCTCTCGGTTGGCTATGCGTTGCTACGACGAATGGTCATTTCAGGACGCGTCGAACGGCATATAATTCCGTACCAGCTGTTGCATGTACTTCAGCCGAGATGTTGACGCGTCGGTGTCATCCTCCAGGTCCATTTCTGCAAAGCCACGCGTCACATCCTTCTCCTTTTCCCTGCCCTCGAACTTGGACAGAAATTCCTGTATTCTCTCTGGCATAAACCATGTTAACGCGTATAATAGATAAGGAGGAATAACTCGCCCTTTTCCGACTCGTAGCTGACATTTATAGTCACGACCGGTAAAGACATTGTGGGCGACAGGTCGGAAAGTGAGGCTAGGGTCGACGCGCCGTTGTTTACGCGACTGTCACAAATTCGTCACGTCACAATCGCCGGATCGTCCTAAGCTGTCCTAAGTCCGCCTCTGCTATCCCCAGGTATCTGCAGCTCCCTCCGCCTGACAGCAATTAAAGATGTGTACTGGGTCGCCAAAGAAAAGAATCTGTCCCACTGACGTGACTGGACCAAGTGAATTAGGTGGTCCCTCTGGCCCTCGTAAAAGACGTACATGTCCAGGCCCGACTCCTGAGTTTGAGGTTGGCGCAGGAGACTATTTAGATATCACGGAGCCGGTGAGTAGGGATTCTACGTCTTTTTAAGCTTAAATGACTAAATGCGCAACTAGATGGCTCATGTACAGATTCGAATATCTCCTGTAAAACAGGGCGGAAGGTCTGATCGCGAATCCTTGCCTGCGTTAGAGCATGTAAAAGCAGCTTCCGTATATGATGCTGGTAAATTATGACTGCTTGGTGAAGGACTTTTACTGATGTCTTGATATCAGATTCTCCTATATTTATCGCCCCTGACAATGCACTGATCGAGAGTGCAGATGTTCAACTCATTGGTGAGCTCGAAGCCGAAGATGTGGTGTCCGGCCAGGATGTTCCTGTGCGGCTACTGTCGGAGTTTACGATCTACGACAAGGAGTCGAAGGCCCTGGTCCACATTGCTGCCCTCCTCCACTTGGCTGGTGAGAATGGTTTGGACTCTGGCGTAGATTACAGCGCTTCTGGTTTGGTGCGGCCATGGACGGATGAAGATGAAGATGAAGAAGTTGGTCAAGAAGATGACCCTGAAGATGATATCCAGCTCGCAGAACAATGCTTGATGCTTGATGAAATTCTGGATGTCAACATGTACAACTTTGAGGACCACGAACTGGATACGTGAGTGGGATACTACCATTGTTGCAGTAACTCATGATTTTTGAGTAGTAAAATCTGGTTGAAGACTCGATATGCGTGGTATATCCTTGATATGCCATCAGCCACATATATTCCATTCTATGCGGACTTCTATAAGAAACACCATGTTGTGTGCCTTGTCCTCTCTGTTGCTCTCTCTGACCCAAGGACAACATGGACTGCCTTCATGGACAATGTCAAAGCAGGTCAATATGTGGGCTTTGATCCTTTATTCAGTCTTATTTTGGGGAATCCCCTAACACCTGCTGACCTTGAGCTGGATGATGTGGTATGCGGATTCTCCTCCTGGATAGATATAATGATCATATTCAATCAATTTAGAAATCATATTTGCTTGGTTGCCTTATTGATTTGAAGGATACCTACGGCATGAAGACCAAACTTGCCCAGTCTTTATTGATCAAGGAGTTTCAGCATGCTCTCCAGGGTACCCAAGCTGCATTGTCTGCTGGATTGAAGGGGTATCCAGCCCATACCAGTGCTCCCAAAACTTTGTCCACAAATCAACACCCCAAGGCCTCAGTGAAGACAGTTGTGACACCAACCATTCACAAGATTGCTCGACCACATTTTCTTCAACATTTCATTGCTGTTGGGCCCTCTTTGGCTCAGGACTTGGAACTTGATGGTGAACATAGTGTTCAACCGGAGCATTACACTAACCCTAGTTGGATATGCTGGCTTGAGCCAGGCGAGGAGAAGGGTCACTACAAATCAGTGAATGCTGATGGTGATATATTCTGTGTTTGTTCTATTCATATCTTGGCAGAGTGGTGCTAACTGCGTCTTAATTTCTTGCAGGCTGGTGATATTGTGGCTGTTCCTCCAGGTCATGATGAAGACTGTATAAGACAGATGCATGCTGCTGCTGCACCTGCCCAATGTGAGAATCTGATAGCCAACTCAATGTGGTAAGGCATGAGCACCCTGGAATTGCTTCTCCACTGATGCTGCCATTGGTTTCAGGTTCTGCGAGATTCAATATTTCTATCAGTGTGGCCCGGACAAGATGTTTCATGCTAGGTGGCTTGAGCATGGTTCCAAGACCATTCTTGAGGAACTGGCTGATCCCAGTTGTCTCTTCTATGTCAATGAATGTGATGACCTCAAGGTAGCATGCATATTTACCAAGGTAAATGTGCGGCACCTTCTTCCAGGTGAAGATCAGCCATTCCACCATAATGGTTTCAATCTACACCTAAGGTATGTGCTTGGTTTTCAGATGGATAATGGTGTCAATTAATCAGGTATGGACAGCCATGTTTGGTCTCGGGATGATTCCTCCTTCACATATCCTTCATCAGAAGCTTGTGACACACGATCCTCAAAGAGTGCAACTCACCCAACCCAAGACAACAATACTCAACAGCTTAAGCTACATATGAATGACTTCATTTACTTCCTCCCAGATACAGCACCTGGCTCAGGTGAGGCTCAATGTATTGAGCCATACTCAATTGGCTGTGTGGTTGTGTCTCCATGGAAGAGGCAGCTTACTGTTCAGTTGTATCGACGCTTTGACTCGCTCATCCAGGAGATGGAGATTAGTCAACAAGATGGCATCAGTTATGATGAGGTGAGTTGATGATATTGGGAACTGAGCCCTTTATCACTCTGAGCTGACCTTGCTCAGCAACGGCTTGTCAAGACAGATAAGGTCCTGGAGCTCAAAAGCTCTCAGGTTGCTGGCCATTGTTATGTGGTGCATCCTGATGCACTGGAGCTTGATGTTACATTGGATGACTGGCTAACTTATGATGATCACTTCTTCGTGATGGAAGTGCTGGACTCTGACCAGAGGGTCAATATGCCTGTTGAAGACTTCCAGACTTGTGGTGCATGTTATCAGGATCAGCTAGTCAGCATGCAGCAGCACAAGGCTTTATTAGCAAGAAACCAACCATTGCAAGCTCTAGAGCTCTTCAGTGGTATGCGCTCATGTGGATAACCCTGGGCTGAATATTAACCTGAAGAATAGGTGCTGGTGGACTGTCTGTGGGACTCCATAGTACACCATATATTCAAACAAGATGGGCTGTAGAACTCTCCCAAACACCAGCCTTGACATACCAGTATGCCCACTTTGTCCTGATTCTTGTTCTGGATCTGACTCTCCATCCTCAGGAAGAATCACCCTGGGACAATGGTGTATAATATGAGTACAAATGACTTGCTCCAGAAGACACTAGATGCCCATGAGAATCAGCATGCCTTTGATCCAACCTCTCTCCAAGGCTTAATGCAGCCAATGCCGGTACCGGGTGAAGTGGATCTGATCTATGGAGGTATGTTCATGTTTGACACTTCCCAGCACATAGAAGACTGAGACCTGCCAGGTCCACCATGCCAATCCTTTTCCGGAGCAAATTACAACAAGGTGATCCCTAATTTGACTTGAAAAGTGTGATGTTTATTTCTGCTCTAGGTGCCAGATGATCCACGGTAAGCTAGCCAGTATAATGTGCTGCCTCGCATTTATAACAAATATTCACAGAAGCGCCTTGATAGCCAACTTCATGTCATGGGTGGACTACTATCGCCCGCGATATTTCCTCATCGAGAATGTAGTTGGTATGCTCAACCACCGACTGAAGGCGTGCAAAGTCAACAACCAGACGGTGGGAGGCATCCAAATGGGCATAGTCAAGTTCATCATGCGTGCCGCTACAACACTCGGGTATGTTTTCACTTCAACTACAGCTATGATTCCGATGATCAGTCGTGACTCATAATGATTTAGGTATCAAGTGCACTGCAAGGTCCTACAAGCGGCGGAATATGGGTCACCCCAAAGCAGGGAGCGTATTATCTTCATCGGAGCAAGGGGCTTAACACCTCTTCCTCGCTTCCCCATCCCGACACATTGTTTTCCTCGACGGGTACGGCAAAGGAGTACCGTTACCGGCAACAGCATCACAGGCGTCAATCGGCTACCAGATTACCCGGACATTGGCAGGGCACCGTTTGCGCAAGTAACTGTCAACGATGCAACGAGTGATTTAGTGAGTGTCGTCAGCCCGTACCCCTGTCGAGCGTCGCGCTAATCGGTCTGCATCACTCAGCCACCGTACGATTGGTACGTTAGCCGCCTATGCACTTTCTGCTACATGACTGAGATTCTCGTACTCACGTTCCAGGGTAAACCCACATAAGACCATACCGGCCACTCGGAAAGACGAGTGCGAGGTCATGTCGCGCGAAGCCAGAGGCATCAAGCAATTCATTGCCCATGACCCAGACGAGTGCGGATCGACGTACCCCGGATACGCTGAGCCCGTACCTTATGCCTGCAGGCCGAAGAATGGCTACCAACGGTGGATGCGGGAGGGGATGGGTGACGGCAAGTGTGAGGGTCATTATACCAAGTTCTTCCGACCGATTATCGTGGAGCGGTCCGTTCTTGCTCGCTTGTCCTCACCCAAATCGTTGACTAACCCGACCGCGTCAGAGTCGTGAATGTGCCTCTGAGGCCCATTGCCGATCACACGAGTATGTCTAGCATCTACTGTTCTCATATCCTTTTAGCGGTAATAAGAGTGCTTCTCGCAGACCTACCGAATGCACTCCGTGGTACCACGAACAACACGGGTCAGTCAGAGAAGCTGAAGGGTAAGACTCAATGTGCCTAAGCCGTGTTATACCATGATCACACTCTCTTAATCACGTCGGCAGGGCTGTACGCTCGCCTAGACGCCAACGGCCACTTCAGCACCGCGCTGACCACGGTCCTACCGATGCGTAAGCCAGGCGGGAAGGTGCTGCATCCTACGGTAAGCACATCCCGTCGTCTTGGGCTCAGTCTCCAGGCCTGACGCGAGGTCCGTGCCGGCAGCAAAAGCGCGTCATAACCGTGCGCGAGTGCGCGCGCGCGCAAGGGTTTCCGGACAACTACGTCTTCGTGACGGAGGGCAAGACGGCCAACGCGAGGGTTCAGGACGTACGTGGATGGATTCGTGAAACCTCGCAGCTTCATGTCCGCGTTGCTGACTTTGACTGCAATTCCGCTCTAGCAATTGAAGCAGATAGGCAACGCCGTGCCAATACCGCTGGGCAGGGCGCTCGGAATGGCCATAGGGGAGTCATTGATGCAGGTTTGGAAGGAGCAAGAGAGACGTGGGTCTCCAGAAATATGAAAGCGAGACTTACACTGCATACGAAGTGGAATGTACACAGCCCACATCTATCATAATTCAGCAAATTCTACATTCATAACAAAATAGCTCCCTTTCGACGTATATGCATTTACTGGCTTTACTTTGTGTCCTTCTCGAGGATCTCCCTGACCCTCGCAACTTTACTGTCGTTCCCTGTCCCGGGCGCAATATCCTTGTCGACTCGGGTGCCGATACGGATATCGGTGGCGATCCGCGGGGCACCCTTAGCATGCACGGCAGCGTGACAGTCGCCAATGGCTTTGCAAACGGCCGACCAAGGTCCTTCTGTGCGCTGTGAGCGCAAATAGATGAGTGATCAACGCAGGAGAAAGTACCTAGATTTGTGCCGTAGCCGCTGGGTTCATTAAATGTTCAAGGACAGTACGAAATTGAGATGTTGAAATTACTTACTGCATCTGTGCGGGATATAAAGTCTGTGTGTTTCCGGAGAATACTGGATGTGACTCACCTTGAAATGAAGGCCACTCTTCTCTAGGATCCGCTGACATTCTGCGATGTATTCAGCGACCTTGAAAGGTAGCAGATGACATTTCAATGCATGTACGACATCGTCTAATGATGGATGCCACAAACTGATGGTTCGCCGGTTCCCATCGGTATAAGACAGAAGTCTATTGCCGTGACGCAAGATATTAGACGCATATGCAATGTCCGAATTTTCTCATAACATTACCTGCTACTGCGTACAGCTCGCTGCCCTGCGCCATCCTCAGATTTCTTAGGTGGACCGTGGTAGATACTAGTAGGGAGTTGTGGCGTTCACAGATGCCGCCGGCGCCGTGTCTTCCGCCACCGAATGCTGCGTCGGCGAGCGCCGACTTGCCTTGTTCCACGACCGCGATGGCGCCCTCGACTGCACTTCAGTCCAGAATCAATGCCTTCGAATCGCTGGGAGGGCAGCCCTCTGCATCTATCGTGAAAAGCGCTTCGAAATCGCGGCCTCGCCGCCCCTCAAATCCGCTTGACAAGCCGATCTCGCCGACAGCCACGACAATTCAGCCGATTACACCCTCCAGGACGCCCAAGCCACCCGCTTCACGCTCCCCGTCGCCGCCAAACCTCGGACGGAAAACATCGCTGATTGACCTGAAGGACTGGGTGGTTGATGATGGACCTGCGCAGAAACAGAATGGGCACGCGAACGGTGACGGTAAAGCAAGAGGCATCGGTCTTGGGTTGCCATCGAGCAGAAATGTGACAAGCCCGCCTTTACGGTCGAGCACTGCTCCGCTCATCAACTTCGAGTCGCAATCTCCACCTCCGCCAAAGGTGCAAGCGCCCCCGCTCCCGCCTAGGAAGCCCTCCAAACAGTCTCTCCGATCAACCGCCTCTGCCCCGGTCTCGCCACCCTCGCTAGCTCAGAGTCAATCAAAAGACTCCTTGACTGTGGAGAGCCAGTACCCGTCCGTGTCGAAATTGGACGTTGCAGCGTTGGGTCGCAGAGGCCAGGGCCACGTGCCTGCCTCGTCCGTCTCCTCATTTCACTCCATCTCTTTGTCCTCCGACGGCGGTACGGACGGCGTGGGCACTCCTACCTCGGTCTCTGAGTTCGTGCACACGTATCCGATGGACAGGGGAGCTGACACGGACAGCCTGGATGGGTCGTACGAGAATGTGAACGTCTCTGCCGCTACATCCGTCGCGAATAGCCCGGTCGTTTCTATATCCTCGCACGACTGGGAGTTTGCAAGTAACAACGGCAGTGCCAGTAAGCGGACTGAGCCCCCAAAGCTGCCTCGGAGACCCGTCAAACCCCCTTCCTCGCCCATATCCTCTCCCCCCAGTGTCTCCTCGTCTCTGCCCACATCCCCTCGCCTCACACCGACACCGTCCCAGGGCAGGCGAGCCCCACCGCCACCTCCCCCAATTCGCTCACGCCCGCCATCCTCACGCACATCCATTACCTCCTTCTCTGACCGCTCTTCAATCCTCAGCAACAGCACCTCCACCTCGCGTACAAGCGTCAGTACCTTCGGCTCCGTCTCCAAGCAGCTGCTACGGCCCACTCCCGTTCCCATCGCGGCGCGACGCCGGTACGAGAAGGTGTTTGACGCGAACGTGGTGCATGCGCGCCAGGCGAGGTTGGTCGTCCCGAGCCAGACGCAGGGAAATCGGAAGAGCAGGTCGGCGGCGGGATGGCGGGGTTTGTCAGTGGACTTGATTACGAGTCCTGAACCGGAGACTCCGGCTACTCCCTCGACACCCATGCCAAGAAAAGATAAGGGTCTGGATGATGAAGAGGACGTAGGAAGTGAGGAAAGGTTGGATGGCGCTATTGTAAGAAGAATATGGATGTGCTCGAAGCTGGAGAGACGGAAGCTTAGGGATTTATGGTACGTCATCGCCCTCTTATGGACATGCAATGGTCCTTATTTTCCAACCCTATAGGTGTGAATGTGACCCAAATGGAACCGGCAGCCTTGATCGCGACGCCTTCGTCAAAGGCATGTGGCGTATCGACGAGGAGCTTCGGCGCGCGCAGCTGCTGCGAGGCACACGCTCTCCACCTCGTTGCATGGCGTCGAGGCCTATATTGCGATAATCTTCCGTTTCCCGTGTCATATTATTGCACTACCTAGGCTACCTCGCATCAGGCCGTCCGGTCAAGACACACTATAACGTGGAACCCCGAGAGTCTTGTCAATGGATGCTCTAACATACCCGCACGCTCGCTTGCATTTATCTGGATACCCCATACAGTAATACTACGAAAGACAGTCATGAACATGATAGAGTATAGCGCAACTCGTTAATTGGTGTATTCATTAGGTCAACGCATTCTTATGATGATGTGCCTGCAAAGTTGCGTGGATCTTGAATCCACTTGAGTGGTAGGCAACAAATGAAATCGTTGACGCCGGTAAATCTGCACCTAGTTGACGGGGACGCGCTGGGATTACCCATTCATCAGGGAGTGACCAGGGCCTTGAGCGTTTTCGCGAGATCTCCGCCGTTCTCTACCAGCGCTTTTTCTGCTTGGGCCTTTGTAATCTCAAACTCGTTTACCTAGGAGTGGCGTTCGTAGGACCTTATTAGCAATATTCGAGTGCAGTTGCGGCGAAACCTACAATCAGGTCGACGTCCTCCTTCTTGTGTACTACCTTGGCGGTATCTTTGGATTTCGAAGCCGGTTTCTCGAATAGCCCACTCCGGAAGGCTTCCTCCATCTTCCCTTTGGAGTAGGCGTAGCCGTCTGCGTACTAAATGTACCAGCGTCATCAATATCAATACTCCAAGAGATGTCGATCGTGAAGATGGAGCTACGAACATTGACGATAACCTCGGGTTCAGGCCGTCCAATTGACATGGTGATGAATGCGCTGCTTACCCCTCTAGACAGGGATACGGTGATCTGGCCTCAGTGGAGTGGATTCCAGTCCGCTTCGGACATCTTGGAAAGAAGCGCTGTGGACGCGTCTTCCGAATGTTCCGAGTTGGTCTGATTCTCACATTGCAAACGTCCCGACGCCGCATTCGGTAACTCAATCGTTCTGAATTTCCTGACGATTCATGCCTTCCAGGTTCCAGTCCACGACGCCTCTGTATTCTGTAGCAAAATCGCATTTGCACCCACCACCACTGCCGAACTGTAGACAGTCATAGGAATGCCATCACTACTATATATCCCCCGCATCTAAATCTTTTGTTGCCATAGCAGAGCAAAGGATACAGCGCATTACAGGTGTACAGTAGCACTCGATAGAATAATGGAATAAGCATTACAGATATATCCACGCAAAGTTCAAGGCTTCTCAAGGTCGTCGACGTCCATGATGGCGTAACCCTTGGATCCACTATCGTCGCCTAGGGGCCAACTGTACACAGTACAACTGAGGAAAGAGGTTTCCGGTTCAATACGCACGTTCTCCTCAATGCCACTATGCACTTCAAAGAGATTCCCCAAGAAAGGTCGGAGGCGGCTCTGGAAATCTTCCAGAATACCCTCATCGTCGCACGGGTCTGCGGGCTGGAAGTCCTTCCACAAGGTGCACTATAATGCGCTGAAGTCAGATCATTCAAGCTTAACGCGCTCATCGGAGTACACACGTCAGGATCACAAGCTGATACATCCAGCTCTGTTCCTTCTGGATCTTGCAGTCGGAAGAAGAGGCGAACAAAACAGCAGACAGGGTCGTCAACGCCGTCATCTTCGCATTCTAGACATCCCTTCCTATTTGCGGGGAGACTTAAATAGCGGTCAGTGCAACATCCCGTACAGAAGATCGAACGGACTTGCTTCCTCTTGCATCGCGTGCACCTTAGAAAGAAACACTCAGGTAACGTAAGCGGGAAGAAATCGACGATCCGGGCGAAGACCTTCCACTTCTTTGGAGAATCGGTACTTGTACGAATTTCTTCTAGAGTAGAGTAGCCCTTGCGGCGTAAATCTGTAGTCTGGATGGTTACACTTCCCGATACATCCTTGCCACTCCGTTCGTCTGTATTCGTCGGGGGACGCCGATCTTCGCTATTTGCTTTAACTGTCTGCATCCAAGGAAGTTGGTTCTTCTGATTTTGCCATGCTTGTTTACGCCTAACGAAGCATAAGTTACTCCGGAAGCTGGTAATACAGTATCCTTACCCGAGCAGCGCCTGCAACTGAGGATTGTCGGTTCGATCAGCTCTCAGCTTGAAGAAATGTCTTCCCTCTCCTCCGATACGACCCTGAAAACCGTCTTCGCTTGACCGTCTCTTGACCTGGAGGCTCCGGATGTTATAGTAACATCCAACCTCGAGTGCCTTAGCGTCCTCTGCTTGTTTTCCATAGAGTCGAATGAGAAGTACGCAGTTCTCTAAGCCTTCAACCCAAGAAGCGTCCTGAAGCGGCAGGGAGTTGTTCGAGGTATAATCTGTCACATAGAGGTATGAGGGATCGCCCTTATGTACAACGTGTAAAACCTGCAGATGGGACTCAGTCTTTATCCTTGGGCGTCAGACTAGTCAAGCCTTACCTCGACAGTACAATCAATAAATCTGTCCCTCTGTATCTCTTCGATAAGAGTATGTTCGAAGTCAGACTTGGAAGCATTCTTATCCTCCCACTCTTTCTTCCTCCTATGCATAGTGAGATTATGTAGTGGCCAATGGTCCAAGACCACTTACCGAAGAAGAGCCTGCAGATGCGGGTGTTCTTTCGCTGCCTCGTCCTCCGCATGCAATTTGACGCATTTGACATTGTTGGCTTTGCCTTCATAGTATCCACTTGACCCGGAGCGGAACTTAATATTCCCAAGCGAGTAGTATTCGCCTGCCTGCATATTCTTGCACAATTCCTTGGCGGCATCCCATATCTCGATCTTGAGGACGTACTCTGCGAACTCAGCACGGCACCAAGCGGTGTTGAAGGGCATAGGAGCGGCATTCTTCGTGTAGTCTGTCACGTAGAGACTATGTGGACCGTCATTGTCGCTCAGATACAAGAAGACAATCTGCATAGTAAGATAAGTATCGGAGAACAATCAGGGAATATTTCGGATGAGCGTATTATCACCTCAACGGTGCAATTGAAGAAACCTGCAGGTTCCATATCCGGTCTGCACTCGCAGATGAGTCTGTGTTGTTTCCCCTGGCCACCCGAACACCTCGGCGGCGCTGAGATGTGGTGGATGGTCCCCAGTTGCTTCAACCGCTCTTTCTGCAGCGCCTGCCACCAGTCCGCCAGCCTGATGCAGTACTGCAATTCGTCCTCTTCCGGCTCCCAGAAGGGGCTAAAGTCAGCGCCGAAACCGCCGTCGAGCGCGGCCGCTCGAGGCGCGGAGCCGAGTTCGCCATGGTGTGTTCGGCCTAGAGAGGGTGAGTAGATAGCCCAGCGAAGCTTATCATGGTAGCCGGTGCCTGTTACATTGCCTTGCCATATGCATCTCTATCGTACGCGGACAAAAGCGTAGAATAAGGGTCAGAACAAGCCGGCACTTGATATGATGCAGTAGGAAAGAGAGGTACGCACTTTTACCTTTCTCAGGACAACAACATCTCCACGCTGTGGCCGAGGAAGCCATTCTTGATATTTCTGAGTGAAACAATTGATCTTGAATCCATCCTTTTCACCGAAACCATATCCACTTTCATGTTCAAAGTTGGATGGGTCGATAAGGCTTATGCAGATCATCCAATCTTATAGAATGGAGGGTCGTCAGCGGCACCGATGCAGGTCGAGAAAACATACTCACCACCGCCTCCCTTCCTCTCTGGATTGGAGGCGTAGGTGACAACGGCTATGGTGCTGAACTCGTAATGTGAACGTGCCATGGCCAAAGGGATATAGTAGTCCTATGTGACGCCAGACCATACAGTTCAGCATTTGCCTCGCAGTTCTGAGGCATTCGTGTGCACGCACTGTAGATGCTCGTAAGCCAGCTTTGAGTTCCAGTGCAGGATCCTCGGTCTTCGCAGGTGCAAATACAACTGGAGACGGCCGGGATGCCTCCGCCTTAGGTACAACAGCAGCTGGTTGCGGCGTCTCTTGGACGGAAGGCGCTACGGGCAGGATAAGAGGATCAGCAACAGTATGCATTTCCGGCGTGCCTGGCGCTTCGGACGCTTGCTGCCCTTTAAGAGCCTGTTTCTCCCGTCTGATGCGAGCGCGTTTCTCCTTTTTCGTCTCAGTCCGAGTTTCCTCTGTAAAATCTTTGGGGACATCTTGGACTTCCGGGGCGACAGACGCTTTCAGGGAGCGCTGAGCTGTTGGATGACGCATTGGCATGTGGTACATGTCCATTTGAGTCCCCTCTATAGTCTCACAAGGCGTGGTAGCTGCAGGCACCGGCTCTTCTCCGACAGTAGGTGGTACATTCTTTGCGCTGTTATTCGCAGATTCCGGTATCAGTGATTTGAGTTCTGGCTCCAGCGGGACGGAAAGGACAAGAGAATTATTGTCCATCGCAGCATCAGGAAGGGCGTGCGTCGCGGGAGGCCCTTCGACACCTTCATATGAGGGTGAGATTTTCTCCTTTTCTTCGTTAGTGAATTTGGATCGTTTTCTAAGTCCTTTGATTGGAGTTGAGAACCAATCATCGGGATCTGGCGAGGCTCTCTCTTGACTCGGCCTCTGAATAGCTTGGCGCCTCCAAAATCAGTCTGGACAGGTCAACTGTATGATACGCATACTCACCGTTCCATGAATTGATGATTCGTCCGTTCTCTGCGGGCTTCTTACTTCTGGTCAGGTATTTTAAGGCGATACCTTCGTTGTAGACAAGATACAAGATTCCTGCAGACTTCGTCTTTTCTATAGACGCTCCTTCCAAGCTGACTTCCAGCACGTCGCCAATGTCGAAACCGAATGAATCCCACAGCTCGGCGCAGGGTCCATTCAACTGTATCTCCACTGCTATACCATTTCCATAGTCCTTCGAGAGCCTGATACGACGAGTCGAGGCCCATCGCATCACAACGCAGCCCTGTATGTAGTTGGGAGATTTCGCCTCTGCTTCGCCGTTTTGGACATTCCCCGCGGTGACTAGGTGAGAAGGGTCGAATAAGTCTGTACCGTCAGAGTCGGAAACGTCGTCCAGCCTGCGCCGTTTTGCGGCTCTCTCGCTCTCACGTTCCATGACTAGTGTCGAGCTCTTCAGGGGACGAGTAAGGTGGATGTGGGAAGACTGCCTCGTTGGAATGCGGCGGTGGCGGAAGGCCGGAGGCAACAGAGATGCAGGACGCGCCAGTAACGACGACACGTGATCTGTGACTCGTGATGGTACGCGTCCTCTACTGTAACTCCGCATTTACTGTCACTGGCACTGACATCGCAAGTCTTAGGACCATCTTGCAACAGGTCGCAAAGCCGGAAGCCCGGCGACATGGAATCCTTGCTGTCTCTATGGAACTCGGATGTTCTCGTCTCTCAAATGCTAGCTGCGTACCGAGACTGGCATTCGGAGGTGTCTTCTGCCACATTTTCGAACCCGAATAACCTGTTTCTGACCACGGTCGTCCTGCTGGTGTCTACGTTGTCTGTAATGGCTTTCTCTTCTCCCTGCTTCAGACGCAGCTCAAGAAAGGCGGGAAAAACGAAAGACTATCGCTCCTCGCAGCGTGCTTTGCTTCACCTCATCTGCCCGGCAAGAGGATCGATCTGGCCCACCTCGTACGTGGCTCTCGTCAAGCGATCTCGAGGAGCAGTGGTTGTTATACCTGTGGAAACTCTTATGCGAGATGTTATTTCTGGAGTCGTTGAGTTCAGAAACATACACAAAGATCTCCCGGGTCTCCTAAACAGCTCGAATCGTGTAATGGAGCTCCATGTCGGCATGGGTCTCCGATCGAGCGTTATGCGGTGGCTATTTGTATCTCAGATGCCACACATTGCTTACCAGGTCAGAGACACTGTTGGATGAGCTGTATGCGAGCCCACTCATGGAATTTTAGGCGGCTCCTCTGGCAGGTGTGTATATATGCACCACAACCGCACGTGTCTGATTGCTGGGAGGTGCATAGCTCGACTTCCCGAGCGTGATCGTCTCCCTTCCTCGCTGTTCCGCTCCGGCCCAGTTGATTTCGAGTTGACTCTTGACGCTGTACCGTCTGCGCACCTTGAGTCTTTCATCCGCACTCTACAGGCCGTTTGTGCCAGGGACAAGACGGTGATCATACATTTCACGACGCTAGGACATTTGATCCGGCTCTGGAGCAAGGAGTTTGTCTTAACTGCTTTGCCTTTTCTCCCACGGCGGTATCCAGGACGGTCGACCAAGGACGTTAAACCAAGTATATGCCCTCCGCAACCATCCTCGCTATGCCTTTCAACCCCTATGCATCAAATCATCGAACATCTCACTTCTGGGAACTCACCTTTCTGTGTCGCCTCTCTGACCGACATTTCAGCTGATTACTCTGACCGGCTCAACGCTCACTCCCGGGATATAGAAACTAATGCAGGCTTAAGGGAGCTAGACATTGGCAGTCTGGGATTGGAAGAGCTAAGACAGGAACAGTTGATGCTTTCTTGGCAGTCTGGCTTGTATGCTGGAAAGTACCTCAGTCGATGGGTCGTGGTCTTAAAGAAGTAGTGCATGTGTTTTCTAACAGTTTACGATGTTCGCTAATCACTGTGCCATCCGTCTCCTGTAACCTGTGTTCTGTACATCGCTCCCGGCATTGCGTATCTACTAGTGCAGAAACTGCAACCAGTCAGTGCTTAGCGCTTCTTGCTTAGGTCCCAGCGGGTGTGTTAATTAACCAGTCCCCGGCCAAGATTCAGCCGAGATCAACTCGTGATTACGTACGCGATCGGGCCCGTCTTGAGCTTGATCGGGTGAACGCGCGACGCGATTGTGGCGCTGAACTCACAGCATCAACTAACTGTTCCGTGAGCTTTGGTGGCTATTACCGACTGCTTCAACTCGATAATCCTCTGAGTTTCTACGTCGCGCTTGTAGGCTGTCACTGTGCCTTGACGAGGCGAATCACCGTTCACTCGGGTATCGTAATCGAAGTTCGAGGATGAATTTCTGGCAAAATGCAGATTATGTGACCCTGCACACTATCGGCCCAAACGATCGTAGCTGGCCTGAGCCAGTCCGTAGTCTGAGTGACCGGCTGGAAGAACCCCTTCCCCGGTGGGTGTACCAGGTACGACCTATCATAGTCGTTGTCCAACAGAATACTCACTCTAGCCAATGCAGGGACCACATCCTTGCGTAGCTCCCTTCGCACGAAGTCTCTCTGCTGAACTGCTTCAGAGACGCTCTCTTCTCTCTGGCACCACCGACTCTGAATGCTATGACGCTCCCGACGATGATCTTTCGCGTCTGTTTGACGCTGCCATTTCTGCGACGGCAACGGCGAGGTCCCTGCTGCTGGCAGAATCTGAGAGACCCTGCGCGTCCAACTCTAAAGAATTTCTGCTGGCGGGTCTGGTTTCCCACGTTGTCACTCTAACTGCCCCTCAGGCTTTGGTACTGTATGACTGCTTGCTAGCTCCGCTATTTGGGGCCATTGCTGACCGTATTACCTTTTGCCAGGGAACGTCCATCGTTTGTGCTCCCTCGACATCCAAAAACGCTCTGGAATCCTCTACGAAAATACATGAAGACTACGTCGACCGCTACCCTACTGGTTGGGTGTATCCCCGAGGGCTTCCGTGCCCGACTGGGAGAAGGCGAAGAAGGCGAGACCACCACTAGCGGCGTCGACGAGAGTCCATGCGACTTGAGGGAATACCCACCACGTCGAATGACAATGGAGGAGTTTATCAATGGAAGATACTACGACGACGAGTCGGAATCGGACTCTTCTGACGGTGGCTCCGGCGACAAGACAAGCTGTGTGCCGGATGAGGCTCCAATGAATGACTCAGACGAGAAGGACGAAGATCCCTTTTTGGCCCTCCATATGCTCGCTACTCCTTCGCCCTGGGACACACCAGTAATCCCTGCGATCTGTATGGCCGGACCAGGGGAAATATACGCCCTCATGGCGAGCACACTTTACCAGCGCCGCGTGTGGCGTGTTCAAGAACCCTTGATTGGCCTCATGTTTCCTCCCACCGGGACCGCCGCGCAACTCATCTTCGGATGGCTAGAAGATGATGAATCCATCGAAGACGCTCTGGTTCGCTATTGTTTTCCTTATAAGGGTTTCCAGCTGATGTACTGCTAAAATAGCCGAGCGTGCATCTTGCATTTCAGGATGCCACGCTCAACGCTTCGGCCCAGACGGTATTTGATATCTGTGATCCAGGCTCGACCCTCAAGTTATGCCTGCTTTTGTCGAATCTCACTCGGACCTACATCGACCATTTACGGCAGACGGCGTCTGATAGCCTGGATGGTGTCCTTGAAGGGGCAAAGAAGGGGCATTCACTACGCTGGCGATTGGATCTGACGCGCGACGAGTCAGAAGACGATGGTTGGCGCTCAACAGAAGGAAGGATCACAGCGTGGGCACGCGAAGTCGCAATCCTCATGCAGGTACCCAAAAATGCGTAAGCCATTATGATATATATCCTCGTGATAGAAACTGATTTGTTCCATTCCACAACTTTACTGTTAACTCGCGGTGGCGTCACTCGTCACCCTTCATATCTTATAACGGTTCGGCGTCTCTGCTTTCCGCAGGTCGACTGCATCGTCCAACATGTCGGGAGCAAAACGTCCCGCTGCATCCAAGTAAGCAGACATGGGTTCCTAGTGCAGCACGACACTTAATCAGTCTATGAAATAACCCAGGCCTTCTTCTGTCCCGTACGTACCGGCTCTGCCGAGCATCAATCGGCTCCTAACTTTCCCGCAGCTCCTTGATAGTGTCTGAGGATGACTCGACGAAATCGAAAGCTGGGACGGGGCCCAAAGCTGGGACGGGACCGACAGCTGCACCCGCATCTGCCGCGGAGACTGGCAAGAAGCGTCTCTCCTGTTCAGAGTGAGTGAAGGAGTTGCGTCGCTGGTTTCGTTGCTAATATTGCTTTAGGTTTGCCGCTAGGGGCAGCGACCACGACGCCGAAGACGCCCGAACATTGCTATGGTTAGCGGATCGGCTTGCGCTTTGCACCGTTTTCCCCATGTCTTCTCCGATGTCAAAGAATGCCAACCCCGGCTCGGCCGCTAAGGATCCTGCTATAGAGCAATATGAGAAGCTGACGTCGTATTATTGGCCGGCGAAAGGGTTTACTTCGGTATGTCTTTATGTCTCTGTTCGCAGTGCAGCGAAACGTGATAGGTCTTTGCAGAACGACTTTCCTGAAATTCCCAGTGATCTTCAATCGCTGAAAGAGGAGCTGTTTGCAATGAACGAGATATATGAACAACATGCGAAGCATGGACTTGTGCCACAAGCCGAAGTACTCCCCGACGAAGAAGCCCAGATCATGAAGGATAAAATTTCAAGTATCCTGCGCGCTTGCTTTGATGCTCGGCAAAGACGACAAGATGCGGAGGTACGGAAGGTTATTGAACTGGAGGTCCGACATGAATGGGACGCTCTGTACTTCCAGTTCATGAGGGGTCGCCATGGTATTAGCATATGGTCATTGTAAGTATCAATTTGGTTGAAACATCTACTAGCTCATCTGGATAATTGTTATACAAGCCTTGATCGACAGATTAATCTCCCCCGTAACACAGCCCTTGACTACGATGTAGTTGACAAGGTATCGGAATTCGGGGCTGCCATACGTAACGCTCAAAGCCGGGAGGTGGGCAACATTGATCAGATTAAGAAGAATGTCACAAAACCGACCAACACTCTGGCTGTGCGAGAGTTCTATCACCAAGCCGCAGCCAAAGAGGCAGAGGAGCAATTGCGCATACTAGAAGCTGTCCGACAGCAATTGCTGGTGACGGCGACAAACCAGCAGTTACCAAACAGTCGTGGTGGCCCTCTCCAGGACTGCTCTGACGTTGAACCAGCTGTCGGCAGGTGTGATGCGGTTGCTACCCTCTATTATCCCGATTTCTTTGCCCAACCTCAGAAGCCCCCGACGCAAGCATTCACCAAGGATTTCATGCTTGTGGATACAGGAACACCCTCAGGGCCACAAAGGGCGGCCAGCAGTGGCCCCAGTGTACCAAAAGGCTCTGCTGCATCTTCTTCGCAATCAAACTCTCTTCAGGTACCATCCAATAGCACTTCTCAGCCGAGTCATGCAGGGGGCAGCACCCAGGGCACTCGCCATAGTGTGAGGCTGACCGAACGTCAACAGCGCCTGGAGGCACCTTCCTTCAATACAGGTGTCTTCTCGGTTACCAGAGATGTGTCCACATACACCCTACCTGGATCAGAGGATGGCGTCAAAGAAGCTACTAGTCAATTCGACGAGCTTGGGCTTGAATCTAAGCCAAAGGTGCCCAAGGTTTCAAAGCCATCTTCTATGACCAGGGGGGCATCGTCTCCCCGATTCCTGGAAATTCCACTATTGCTTGTAGAATATAAGAAACTCTCCCATGATAACCTCGTAACGCAAGGGGTGAACCAAGGCCGGATCTATAGTCTGGCTGCTGTCAAGTTCTTGGCCACGCTGGGCATCCATGACGTCCCTATCCTGACTTTGGTGACAGAAGGCTCCATCGGGGTTGTCACCTGTGCCTATAGTAAAAAACAAGCCGGGGAGGGTCTGCTGGATGAGGTTAGTCTACCCCCATATTGCCCAGCTGCCGCCTACCTGTAGGTTTACTGACTACCGCTGTATTCCACCTACAGCACGTCAGGATATTAGAAGGGAATGCGCGTTCCTTCGATATTTCCACGCCGCTGGGCGCGTTCCATTATGCAACGTTCCTATGCCTCACCGCGAGATGGTATGCGCCTGAACTCAAGAACAAGCTGGAAGCTGTGAAGAACGCATTCCTCGAGAAATATGACAAGAATGACAAATCCCTTCGATGGAGCATGAGACACCAGATCGAGGAATTGGAGAAAGGGAAAGGGAAGGCAGCATAAAATGATCGAAGTGGTTGTGCACCATGTGTCTTGCTTTTGTTTTTTTGTCTGCGATGCTCGTCGGTAGCTGTCATTGGAGCCTCTCCCGGATAGCTCAAAAATGTATGATTATCTCTTCAATGATTATGAGAGTGTAGTCACTAGTGTCCTCAATGACCACCAATAAAACCTACACCACACCGACAACCCTAGCTATAGGTCTTTGCCTGCCGTCACGCATTATGAACTTTGTGTGGCGGATGCCGTTGGAACATCTGTCAATTCTCTTCCTCGGGCTCGTCCTGTGCTCGTGGCATACACTTAACCTACATTAATAGGATGCAACAGAAAACAGTAGAAATATGATACGGTAGACAGTATGAAGATAGAAGTACAAGGACGATCCTTTACTTCGGATGAAATCAATATATCAGAGTCTCCACAATACCGTCCAGAATACGGATGGCATCGGGGATATAGAACTTCTCATATTGCAGAGGTACGGGGGTGCTACAATAGAGGGACAGGAGTCAGCGAGAAAAGGACGACAGGCAATGACAGAGACTTACTCCCAGCCCGTAATCCGCTTCACCGGGGCATCAAGCTTGAGGAAACATTTCTTCTGCACGGTCGCAGCAATCTCCGCGCCTGCCCCAGCTGTGAGCCCCGCTTCGTGCACAATCACCAGGCGTCCCGTGCGGTTGACGCTCTCGACGACGGTCTCGACGTCCCACGGCAGAATGGTCCGCAAGTCAATCAGTTCTACCTTGGCACCTCTGAGGGACTCGGGAACGTGCCTGGAGACCTGGGGAGGCGGGGAAGCGAGCATGTGCAGCGCGGTCTCGCAGTGATACAGAGGCGTTCCCCAGGTTAAGAGGGTGAGGTCGGAACCTGCAATCAGGACATCCGCTCGACCGATCGGGAGCTCGAAGTCGTCGATGGGAACTTGCTCGACTTGGAGGTTTCGGTATCAGTGGGTACGCTCGGAGAGACAAGGGATGTCATCTTACCAGCGGAACGATAGAGGATTTTGGGTTCCATGAAAATAACAGGGTTAGGGTCCCGTATCGAGGCAAGCAGTAGACCCTTGGCTTGGATAGGCGAGCGAGGTATGACGACCTAAGTTGCTTCAGTAGCCCGAATATCCCGGGATAACGATCAATGCACCTTTACACCAGCGGCACCCATGAAGAACCCCTCGGGACTCTGTGAATGGTACAGCCCGCCATGCCCTACGGACATGGTCGGCGTACGAATGGTAAGCCCCCCTACGTGGTACTGGCCTCCGGACCTGTATCGAAACTTGGCTGCTTCATTCACAATCTGGGGAGTTCCATATACCGTCTTCGTATTTAAACGAGCAATGTCTCTACTTACCTGGTCGAATGCAGGATAGATGTAGTCGGCGAATTGGATCTCAGCTATAGAAGTGTGTCCCATAGCAGCGATACCGATACCAAATCCCACAATGCCTTGTTCGCTCAATGGAGTATTGAAGACCCTTTCGCGGCCTGGAGAACGGTGCATCAGCTGCCCGTCTCGTTCAAGGGGACGGTAGACGTACCAAATTCCTCAGCTAGTCCCTGACATCTCCAGCAGATGTATTAAGGCTCGCCACGCGCGACATCAGGACAACCGCTCACCATGGTGCACCTAAAGACCCCGCCGAACGCTACATCCTCTCCAAATATAACAGCAGTGTCGTCTCTCACTAATGCGTGGCTTGACATACCATGAGGCCTTCTTTCTATGAGAAGGATCTACATGACGTACCTGAGAGCATCCCGGATGGATTGGTAGGTATTCATCTTCCGGGTCTCTCGGCCGCCTACTATGGTCCGCACGGGCCCTGAGTTGTCTTCGTCTGTCCATTTGACGCCCGGGGTGCGCAAGGCCTCGTCGCGAGTCGGTCTGAGCAACTTGGATGTAGCTACCGAAGGTAGGTGTCCGCCGGCCTCAGGAGCAGGAGTCGACTGCCATCGTCGGAGGCAATGCAGCCGAGGCTATTTGAGACAACACGTTACTGGAAGAAACATAAGAATCGAGGGCTCCCCACACCTTGATTGCTACAGCACGCCTGGCACAGCAGTGCGGGGTAAACCAGAACATGGTCGAGAATAGAGCCTGCCGGGAGTCGGTGAGCGCATGGACATGTGCAAGTTCCGTACCGTGACGGCTGAGCCAAGCCTGCGCCGGTGACGCCGACAAGCGCTGACCGCCGTTGATCGCAGCCACCGTCGGGGTCGGCTCCGCTCAGCTCGTCGATGGAGAACGAGCACACGTTCATCGCTCCCGAAGGCGTGTATTCCGTCACCGAAGAGCACAAGCCGACCGCGCTGCATGTCCCCGCTGCGCCTGCTCTCTATCCAAGTCGGATATCTACGGTAACCGTTCGATTCCCGGCTCTAAAGACAGGGCCATCACAGGGCTTCGCGCAGCTCCTTGGTGGCAACAAGGAGAACAGGCGGGAAAAAGAGAAGGAGAAAGAGAAGGAAAGAGCAGCGAAGGAGAAGAGGGATGATAGCGCCAGTGTATCCAGCAGCGATACCGAGGGCAATACCTCTCCGGACCCCTCTAATCCCTCGGCTGGCCAGGAGAACCCGCCAGCATCGCCGCAGATAGCACACGACCAACCACACACCATATTCTCTCATCCGTCATCCGGAGGAAAGAAGAAGACAGTCTCAAGACCGAAACATAACCTACGGACTACTTCATCCACCTTTATTACGCGTCTGCAGAGCGCGGAAGGGCTAGCAAAGACACTACAGTCTAAGCAAGGCGAGGCCACCTTTCTATTCTACAATGCGGCCAAGAATTTCTTCTGGACGGAGGCGGGAGTGAAGTCAAAGGTACTCATGACCATATCCGACAGAGTCGTCCTTTGATGCATGCATATCTCAGGAGCCACTTTCACGCATCACCTTCTCTGCATATCCTACATGTCACGACGTGAATCTCGCTACGGTGTCCTCCGAGCGAATAGACATTGTCATCGGCTTCAGCACGGGCGACCTGGTGTGGTTTGGTGAGTAATGTACGTGAACGTCCCTCAAAGTCGGCATCACTAAAACTCTAGTCAGATCCCATCTCCTCCCGCTACGGTCGGCTTAACAAGGGCGTAAGTCTCGCTCTATCTCTCCATGTGAAGTTTAATAACCGCCCTGCAGGGATGTATATCGAATTCGCCATGTACGTCCGTCCGCTGGGTTCCTTCTTCGCCGACTCTCTTCTTAGTCTCTCATGCCGATGGGACCATCATCATTTATGATAAAGAACGGGAGGACGGCACCTTCACTCCGCAGTCACCGTACTCCATGGTTGCTGCGCGATCGTCGACCTTAGACAGTAATGCGTCGTCATCCGACTCGGATTCATTCAAAGGAGAATGGAATCCTCTAGATCGAATATTCGTGACTATGCCACCATGGCATCCAGTTACTGCTCTCAATGGTGGGTTTACAGGAGGGAGTGGTAGGGGCGAGAAGGAGAAAGCCGCGAAGAACCCCGTCAGCCACTGGAGAGTGTCGCGGCGGAGTGTTGTCGGTAGGTGTTAAACACAGAATCTTGAGAAGCCTTTCATGATGATCCATGACGCCAGATTTTGTTTTCTCTCCTGACGTTAAATACGTGGCATGTATATCGGAGGATGGCTGTCTACGAGTAATTGACGCACTAGCAGAGCAGTAAGGCGGACATCCGTGTTTGCGCGTTTCTCATCTGACTTTATACAGGCTGGTCGACTGCTATGCGTCATATTTCGGCGCGCTCACATGTGTTGCGTGGTCCCCGGACGGCCGATTTATCATAGTAAGTCGCTCATAAAAATTCCAGCGTACCCGCCGCAGCGTGCTCATGATCGACTGCTGCTCGGCGAATAGACCGGGGGCCAAGATGACCTTGTTACAATCTTCTCCCCTTGGGAACAACGTGTTATCGCTCGATGTCAGGGCCATTCATCCTTCGTTTCTGCCGTGGCATTCGATGACATCAGATGCGATGGCCGGACATATCGCTTTGGTAGTGTCGGCGAGGACAACAAACTCATCCTAGTAAGCGTTCGTGATCCAACTGCGAGCTGTTCAGACTCTGACCAGTTTTTAGTGGGACTTTTCAAGCGGTGCCCTTCATCGACCGAAGCTGCAGGTCTGTTCCTCCCCTTACATCTTGCGGCAGGTCCTGACACACCTTCAGGCGGCTCATCACCAACGAATGTCCATGTCATCCAGCCTCTCGCTCGCCTTCCGGCGCGAACGTTCCACCCTCCATTTACCACCCTTAGGCTCCCCTGATGCTGACGGAATACCACCTCTCCCACGATACCACCCCGCCCCCTCCCGGAACGAGGTTGCCATAGTGCAGCCCGTGCTCGTCAAGCCCGTGGAGGGCGACTTGCTCAGCGATATCGCGTTCCTCCCGCGGGGCATGCTCACCGCGAACAAGGCCGGGTATATCAAGTTCTGGATCCGCCCGCTCGCTGTGCGGCAGCGCCACCTGAAGAACACTCCGCGTGGGCATTCGATGGCGGATGTACGAGATTTGATTGCTTGAATATCCTGATATTGTATAGTATTTATATCATGTAGAGCATTGTATAGCACTAGCACTATAATTTTATCAGGAGTCGGTCAGACCTATGTACATCGCGGCCGGAGTAACGCGAGATGCAAAAGGAACATGATGCAGATGGTGTATTGCCTTGCGCGGGCAAGGGATATGCGTCGAAATGTAGCAATGAGCTCAGAAGGTGATTCATAGCTCAGGCTACATGGGTTAGGTGAACGGTGGGCATACAAAGGAATCCACTCACAAACGGTGTGGCTCTAAAGGCTACACGTCTGAGGGTTCTTCCTCGAAATCATCCGAGTCCCCTTCATCCAGATCTTCCGTTTCTTGAGTAGTATCGCCCATCGGTTCGTCCATGTCTTCCATGTCAGCGTCCAAGTCCACAGCGGAGTCGTCGTTCTCTTCTTCTGCACCAGAATGACCTGGCCCAAGAGACTGGTCCGACCCTGACACCTCACTTCCGTCACCATCAGGATCGTCCTCGCCCTACCAGTCAGACTGAGAAAAAAGGCGCTGATAAGTCTGTAAAACAGACGCACAGTCTCGGTCGTTTCTTCCGATCGAGTCAAGAGTTTGCCCATGGGCACCATATAATCTTGACCTCTATTCCTGCGCATCTGTATCTGCTGGTAGGTTTCATAATCCGAAAAGATACCACATTCATAAAGACCGTACGAGACTTTCTAGTTCGCTCTCCTCCTCATCTAGTTGGGTCATCTCCAGTTGAAAGTTGCGTTTCATAGGGCCCTGGTATCGCCCGCATGGGGCTTTTGGCGTCGGGTAAGGCTGTTTGGGCTGCCTTGTCATGAGATCCGGGAATAATGAATTACGGGGAAGGACGGTTGGTGTTGCAACAGACATCGTGCCGTACCACCGCGACTAGTTATATGGGGAGGAAGATACTTGAGATGGGAGGAGACAGCCTCGGACTCTGTCACAGGTCCCGTGGCATGTGACAGACGCGCTCAATTGTGGCTGAGTTCGGCGTTGGCGGCAGGTATGGTGGGCGCAAACGAACATTAATAATGCCCCTAAGTCATACCTAAAGAATTCTATAGACAACACGAGATCAAGCATGGCACAGCAAAGGTACAGCAAGAGACTACCATTGTGTACGTGGTTCAGCCAAGCCACGGCAGAAGGAATCTCCTTCACCTGGTGCTCCATAGACCACTGCAAAGCTTTTCCCTGCTTCTTACGCATTTCAAGGAAAGAATCCCTCGCTGCTTCAAACTCGTTCTTCAAAGCATCCGCAAAGGTTGTGGCGACAAGGCAGCAAAATGTAGCGTAGTGGAATGCTCCCAGAGGGGAGGAGATATCAAACGATCTCGCCAGAATCCTGACATGCTACAATGAACAGCAAGGATTGATGGATTGTCCACTCGCAGTAACAGACAATAGACTAATCTCCGGGAGCTTGTCATGCGGTTTCATACTGTATGCACAACTCACAATCGTAACAGAGCCTTCCGTTCCATTTCCTGTGTTATACATAGTCACCAATTCTTCAAAAGTGAAAGCCATCCCAATCTTTGTCTGCTCTACAACATTGCTGTGCCTTCTCGCGTCCACTGAAGGCTTCAGAAGGGTATCTTGCGCAGGGCTCTGAGACACTTCGGTGCCCAGCGAGTTTTGATGGCCACCGGCAATGTTGGACTGCATAACCGTTCCAACATCGACAGAAATGGAGTCTTTGGCATTGCTTTGGCAAGTTGTTCGTGGACTTGATCGAAAACATCGCCTATGTATAGATCTAGAGACGCTATAGCATCGCATTGTCCACTGAGGGGCTCCAGGTTAAGGCATTCCTCAACAGCAACCGGACGACTCTCTGTATGTCGGTGAAGTGTCAAGCCCAAGCTCCATGATAACCGATCTTGCTTTGTGGTGTCATTGCGTTTCTGCTTCTGACTTGGCTTCTGGAGTTGTCTGCAGTACCTCCCAGACAAGGACATTTTTCAAGACGGCGTGTGCGTCTCTGCGGCTATCCGACTCCACGGTCATATTTCGAGGCAACGTCAATGACTGCTCGAGGCTAGACATGTTATTCCCTTTAGACGCAAACATCATTATCCTAAGGATCCAACTTACGAGGACATCACTCCTTCTGATTCGAGAAAGTGAAGTAACAACGCGTCCCACTCATGGTGAACCTCCACTTCCGGTACGCATAGCAGGTCTGCCTGGTCTTGTCTGTTCCGGGACTTCAGACATGCACGGAAAATGACAGAGAACCTGTCTTCGATGATCTTGGTGACGTAGGGTGAAGTGAAAGTGGCTTTGGCTTGGCTGTTAGTCCCCTCCGGACAACCTCATCCCGCCTTAAGCAGCTCCTCTCGAAGGCCCTTCAGTTCATCGCTGACAGATGGAAGATCATCCTACTAAGCTCTAGCACAAGAAAGGACAACACCAGCGTGCTAGAGCCTCTTCCCATAATTCATCGTCTTCTAGCCGCCCGAATATAAGTTGTGCAGTGGCTCCAGTACCAGCAGGGGGGAATATGAGGCCCACCAAGGGGCCCTGGATATGCCACACATGACGCTGGTACAGGGCACTTGCCATAAGGCCGTATATCTCCTTTGGCCGGGCCACACAGGTGGAAGGGATTACAGGGACATCAGCGGGTGACACATAGCAAGCATATGGAGGGTAAGGAGGGAGTTTTCTTCCTCCTTCTCATGCGATTTGTTCGTGTCTTCGTCTGGCGCACAGCTTGACTTATCACTTTAGCCACCTTCAGAAGACTCGGACTCGTCGTCATATTTTCCCCTGAGAAACTCCTCCACGGTCATTCGGCGTGGTGGATCTTCCCTTGAGTCTGTTGTACTCTCGTCGATGCCGCTAGAGGTATCATTCCCACTTTCTCCCAGTCGTGTACTGAAGCCCTCAGTAATACGGCCAACTAGTAGAGCGGCGGTTCGAAGAGGATCATAACACATCTTCGGGTGTCGAGGGAGCACAAAAGAGGGGTTCTCTGGCAAAGGGTCCATACCGTCAGCAATGGCCCAAGCTAGCAGAGCTGCAGGCAGTCATACAGTACGTCAGTCTCAGGAGCAGACATGAATATAACATGCGACACGAGACCAGCTAGCACAGTCGCGTCTGCAGCCAATCTGCAGCGGCATATCTTTGAGTATCCCGTGAGATCAGCCTGCCCGATCGCGAAGGTTCGGCCTGCCTTCGGTAGACTGGATTTCTGCAGTGAATAATTAGTTGTAAAAGAGGTACATTCTGAGCATTCCATTCTGCAGCTTGATACAGGTAATTTTCTGGAAGGGATCACGGCACAGACTTTGACAACAAAGCGTCCCCGCCCAAGAACGTCCACAGTGCAGAAGCATCCTTGTAATCATGGTGCACAATGCTCACGAGCCACCTTCTGTCACGGACGCCTTCCAATAACTTCCGCTCTTCTGAATCAGGGGGATAGAAGCTGGCCCACTCACACCATATTGAGAAAGCTTCGTCCTGCGGAGACGTTACTCAAGACCACCAATGCTAATGATAGCGATGAGCGCAAGACTTACCTTCCATGACAAGAAAGATTCGCGTTCAATAATGGTTGTCTGAAGCACTTCTTGCCCAGGGAATACGCCCCACGTCACGGCATTCCTTCCACCGTCCGGCACATTGCTTCGACATTCACCCTACATACGAAAACGTCAATCCTAGGAAAGTAGCAGAACAGGCCCATCCACACCTGGAAGTTGCCAGCAAAATAGTCGACCCATCCCTGACCATCCTCCCTAATCCTTTTCTCGATCTTGTCAACCTCCTCCTGATCAGCGAAAAACTCCACGAATCCCTTCTGGTACACATATCCGCTAGGCGGGCCCCAGCCGAAGACCTCGTGCGTCGAGGGCACCCCGTCCACGGCTGGCTGCGATCCCACCGTCCACCAGCCATGCCGGTTCAGCTTCTCGAGCTCCGTCAGAATGAGCATCGACTCGGGCGACAAGGGGCCCTGCGAAAAGGGCGTCGAGTCAACCTCGCCGCGGAGGTGCTTCAGGAATATCTCGGTCAGGTCCTGCACGGTTGTCGGGTTGCCCCACTTTTGCAACGCTTCGCCCCGCTGACAACCACTGTTAACTACATGGCATTCTGGGACTGCTATTCAACCTGCTTACTGTGATGACGGGCCCGCCCCACTGGTCCTGCAACCCGAACGCCGGACTTTTGAAGTCACCGAAGCGGCCATTGGGATATTCGTCCCAGCTGGAGGCATTGTTGATTTCCCCGCGTCCGGCGTCCGGGGGTGGAAGCACAGAGCCGATCAGCCCTTTGGTGGCGGAGTCGCTAGCGCTGGTAGGGGTGATCGTGAGATCATCATCTGTGTGAGACGGGGTTGCCTGACTCGGTGGGTCCTTACCAGGGCAAATGCATGTTAAAATCGTGTTTCGTGAATATAAGAAGGAAATGCAAGTTACCGTTATCAATCTATTTTTGATCTCGGGACTACCTCCCGCCCATCCCAGCCCCTCGATGACACGGCGAACGCTCTTTTCCAAATTCAGGGTGCAAAAGTGCAGTCCGGCGACATCGCCGGAAGCGGTCAGTCGTTTGACCATGTCGATAGCAAGAGCGATTCCATATTCCTTCACTTGAGCGTCATCATGCTACGTGGGATCAGTGAGCTAAGGCTAGAGTATACCGGGGACAGACTGACCTTGATAGGTTCAAGGGCCGATGCTACTGACTCTGGTACTCGAGACCCGCAGAGTTTAGTTAGCCGTAAGAAGGAGGCGTACGTCTGTAATGGCATAATGCTGGGTATGACGGGTACCGTGATACCTATCACGGAGGCATATCGTAAGGCACAAACCTGTTTGCTCCCGACGGTTCAACGCACCCTTCTTCCGAACCTTCTCGAGCCACCGCAGGAAGTTATCGCAGTCATAGAAGAGTTGAGTGATGATAAAATCGGCTCCTGCGTCCACTTTAGCCTTTAGATGGTCGAGTTCCCCGTCTTCGTCCGTTTCCCGGTCTGTATGTCCGTCAGGGTAAGCTATTAGTTCAGGTCAGTCTCGTTGTAGAGTAACTTCTATTATATCAGGGAATGAAGACCTGCCACGCCGATGGAAAATGCAGAAGAGAACTCGGGTGATGACCGTATGTAGGCTACCAAGTCGACACCATGGGTAAACCTGGGGTCAGTAGGGATCCAATATTCTTCTCCTCGTGGGGGATCTGCAAATTGAACCTCAACAACAGGTTACCTCCTAATACAAGCGAACGCTTACCTCCTCTCAAAGCGAGGATGTTCTGAACACCCCTCTCTTTGGCTGCCTAGCGCCTGTGAATGACCTTTATCTGCAGAACATGCATCGACTTACTCTAAGGGCCTCATCCACCATTCCTCCCTCCATATTTGTACATGTGAGATGGAGTATTGTGTCAATCTTCTCCTCATTCTGGATCAACCCCGCAAGCTCCAGACTTCGATCTTTGGTAGCACCTCCAGCCCCCCATGTTACACTGACCGCGATAGGGCCTAACGAAGATATTCGCGCTACTCGAGCCAAGAGATTCTCGAATCCCTGAAAGGAGGTATTCAGCACATTCCACCGGAGGAATACATAGCATCCTAAGTAACCTCATCGGTCTTGGGCGGAAAGAACTCGAACGTATAAAACGGCCTGTTCAGCTTGTACGCCGCGATCTTCTCCGTCAGCTTCATCCGTGCCAGTCGTCGCCGAAGAGAGTGAATAATCTCGCACAGACAGCCCCCGCTTGAGCCATTTAGCAGACGGAGCAGAGATCCTCTACACAGTCGCAGCCGGCGGCCCGTCGCCACGTGCCCCGCGGCCGGAAAGCAATATCGGCGCCTGTGCTACGTCGTAGTGCGGGGTCGTCACCGACGTTAGTTCCTTGATTTCGCGCTTAGACTTGCCATGGACGCGCCATCGACGCCCGCGACGGCGGACTTCTCGTCTGCGCCGCCGAAGCGGACGAAAATTGTGCTGCTGGGCGACCAGAGCGTAGGGAAGACGAGTTTGATAACGAGGTGTGTGGTGTCCGAGCATCTGCAGTATTCCGCCAATATGACAGCTAAGACGATGGGGGATACCGCGTGCAGATTTATGTATGACACCTTCGACAACACGTACCAAGCTACCATTGGCATCGACTTCCTGAGCAAGACCATGTACCTAGAAGACCGGACTGTACGATTACAATTGTGGGACACGGCCGGCCAGGTACGCTGTCCACTCGAAGGCTGGGACTCACGGGGCGGCGTGCTCAAATCCTGCTGTGAAGGAAAGATTTAGATCACTTATCCCATCGTACATCCGAGACTCGTCAGTAGCCATCGTGGTCTTTGATATCACAAGTGCGTGCCCGTCTCCCGGATGGTGTGAGCCTTCCACAGCGACTAAGCATGTCGTACAAAGATCGTCAATCTTTCATGTCAACATCTAAATGGATAGAGGATGTCCGGTCAGAAAGGGGGAATGACGTGATTATTGTATTGGTAGGCAACAAGGCAGATCTCTCGGACAAGCGGTGAGTACTCTCGCCACCTTCACCTGGTTTGGGGATTCAATTCATCCGTGTTATTCGGGTGAAGGCAAGTGACCTTGGAAGAGGCAACAGCAAAGGCTCAGTCACTGAATATAATGTTCATGGAGACGTCTGCCAAAGCCGGTCACAACGTCAAGAGCCTGTTCAAGAAGATTGCCATGTCCCTCCCTGGAATGGAGACGCCTGCTCAGTCGTCCGACGGCAACACGAGTATGTCAGACATTCTCCTCAGGTGTCCCTCTGCTGACAGTGACCAGAAATCGATGTCACGACACCAGCGAACACCGAGGTACCAGAAGCATCGCAGTGCAATTGCTGATTGGTGGCGTTCGTGTACAGCTCAGCCCTCGATCGTTGGCTATCCTGGTATATACCTATTATATATTGGCGTGGTATTTTTACCGGCCATTGTAATTATGTCGTGGATGGATTATTTGAATCACATAGGCCACTTGGACAAAGGTTGACGGGTACAAGGTGACGTCGGCTACTAATACAATGTACAGACTGCTTTTCACGCCTCCCTCTTGCGCTCGAAACTAGCATTATCCCCTGTTCATGGTATTACCAGCTCCCTTCGGATGGGTGTCCGTGTACTGCGCCCATTTCTCGTCTTTCTGCCTCTTCTCTTCCACTTTCTGTTCCCCGAAAACAGTGCCATCCATCTCCGCATCCAAGGCAAGCTGTTCGGATGTAGTCAGTTTCTCAGCCGACTGTGGTCTGCACACATTTCACGGGTCCTCAGTATCGAAAACGGGTAATCATCGTGTGGTAGCAACTCACCCTCCGCCGGTGATAACATTTCCGCGCTGACGTTCGATCTCAAGATACTCGTCGACGGTCATAGTCGGCAGACGGTGATCTGGGCCAAACACTTCGGCTTGGAGTCGCGCACGTTCAGCGGCATTGGAGGGCAGAATCGTGAACGGTCGCAGAGGCTACGATCATTGACTAACTGAACGCCGTAAAGATGAAGGAAGGGGACGTACTCTACCGCTTGAATCCAATAACGGTCCTCGTCCATCTGGACCACCTCTGGGTACAGAGTCCAGCCGCCACGCGTCCTCCTCCTGTTTCCTCCGACCATCCTCTTCGCCTTCTTTCGAGGCTGACTTCTGCGCCAATGCATTCCGTACAAGTTCCAGCTCCTGGGTCAGATTTTCGTTCTGTTGGCGGGCTTGGGCGTAGATCAGCCGGAGGAGGAGCAAAGTCACTTCGCGGAGAGCGTCCTCCACGTCGTCTTCATCATCGCTGTTGCCCGCGTCTTCCGAACCGCGGGATAAGAGAGAGGTGATCAAGTCAAAGTCGTTGGGGGTGCGGTCGCCTCCCTCAGGCCATTGACGGCGGCGCTTCTGCAAAGCCTGGAAGCGCGTATGTCAGCAATGACATAGAGGGAACGAGGGTGAAGGACTTGCTTCGATCTTTCCCCTGAGTTCTTTCTCGCGTCTGTACTGTTGTATCTTTGCTTCACGTCTCTGGGCCGCGTTGGCCATCATGGCAGCCGACTTCTCGTAGGCGGCCAGCTCAACCTCCGTTATGATATGATAGTTCTCCAAGTTTGTCAAAAACGTCCGTAGGTGCCTCTAGAGCTAGATAAGTACACCGTAGACGTCAAGAAAAAATTCCAGACATACCTGAGCTTGCAGCAACTGCGCGAGCCTCTCCTCCATATCCAACGTCCTAACGCGACCCTGCACCTCCGTGATCACATAGGGAACGAACAGATACGCCAAATCGCGGGTTGAGATATCCTCCAACGTCTCATTCGCGCTGAATAGCGACAGACTGCTCGCCCGCGCGTCCACATGTCGAAGGTCTGCAAGCGCGGATCGAATCAAGTCCTGTCTCCTAAGCATCAATTAATGCCGGAGCAACCGCAAGCAGCGTTTACCTGTGTTTTGTCCTCAATCGTGGGTAGGTTGAAGGCCTCCGACGCCGTAGCCAAAGCTCGCTTGAATTGCGCTGACAGTGTTATGTCTTCTTGCATGTTAGGATTCGAGGTCAAGTTACGTTGGTGGCGATCGCGCGCTAATTAGATTCGGATTCGGACCGTGTATGGATATCTCGACGGCGTTCATCATTGACCGTGCACGCCATGCCTTTCGCTCGATGCATGGTATAGACCGTTTCATCTATATACGCCTATTCACTATTAAATTTCATTTAGAACTTTGACGATGAAGGCAACGAGATCCGACAGTGTCGCCCTGGCTGTAGCTTCGTACATCCCGGTGAGGGCAGGAGGTGGCTGAATGCACCCCGCACGCGGCCAGTTGCGCATGCCTCGTCCTCGAAGGTACGTCTCAACAGTGATTCTGTTATGCGTGATGGTATTGACAGAATGTTGATCGTGCTGAACGCAGTTCCCGCCTCGTCGGCCAGGTGCAGGCAGTGGCAGCTTCTACAGCTCGCCGAGCACTTCAGAAACCTCTGCTGCCGGGCCCCCGAACGCACCGCGGGGAAGTACGAGAGGATGGGGCGCTACAGCTGCGTCCCCCACCGGCGCCGAGGCCCCCGCTTCCGGAGGCGGTGGGTGGGGAAATATAGACGGTTGGGGTACCAGCTCTTCGAGCAGCACTAGCGGCTGGGGGTCATGGGGTGACTCCGGTGGCACAAAGTCCTCGGATACTGAAGGGAAAGGTGGTGGCTGGGGCGGAGGATGGGGTGACAACGGCGGGAACAAGACGTCAGCCGAAGCCACTAGCGGTGGATGGGGTTCATGGGGAGATTCTGGAAGCACCAAGTCCTCGACGACTCAGGATGGTAACAGTGGATGGGGAGGATGGGGGGATTCAGAGGCCTCCAAGTCCTCTATTACCCAGAAAAGCAGTGGTGGGTGGGGAGACTCTGGGACTGCCAAATCCTCCACTACCCAGGAGAGCAGTGGCGGATGGGGAGACCCCGGGACCACCAAGTCCTCCACTGCCCGGGAAGGTAGTGGCGGGCGGGGAGATCCTAGCACTGCGAAAGCATCCACCAGTCAGGAGAGCACTGGTGGGTGGGGAGGATGGGGTGAATTCGGAGCCGCTACGTCCTCCACTACCCAGGAAAGCAGTGGCGGATGGGGAAGCGGAGCTGGGTGGGGAACTTCCGAACCTGTAAAATCCTCCGCTACCCAGGCAGACAGTGGTGGCGGATGGGGCGCGGCCTCAGAACAGGGCACCCTCAGCGTTGCTGATCCAGCGAAGAATACAGCTACTGCCTGGGTCAGCTCCCAACAAACACCATTTGCGGATTCATCCAGAGCAGGTTCTGGGCTGGGTATCAATGACAGTTCTGAAGCTATGTTAGGGCTGGAGCCATCATCGAAGCTCCCGCAAACGTCAACTTTGGGTGTCGAATCAGGAGAAGTTTCCGACTCGACCTCTAACGTCGTATCTACAGCGGGAACCTCGTACACGAAGCAAGACGCCATGGACGTAGACTGTCCTAGACGGAGTAGTCGTGGCAGTTCGCATTCCCCCTCCCCTGGTATGTCAAGGGACACCTCATTGGGACCGTCGGAGGGTCGCAGCTCTGTCCGAAGCGGTAGTATCATGGAGCGCTTTATCGAGTAGGTTTTAGTTTATCCTGGCAATATCGTGTTTCCTCATGCAGATGATCCTGCAGGTCGCTTCGCCGCGGAATCCGCGCTCAGATGGAGCTCAAAGAAGCGGACGCCAAGGTCGAGAGATGGAAAACTACCCAGCTCTCCGCTCAGTATAAACGATGCGGTAGAGCTGCTCGCCTGCGGCTCGACGCTGTGCGTCTGGAGTACCAAAAGAACCGCCAGCAACGGTACGATGCGCTCATGAAGGCTGCTACGGAGCTGGCTGAGTCTGACGCTGCGCGGCTGCTTGTGGAAGCTGCTGAAGCTGCTGACAGCACGGAGAGCTTCCAGGAGTATGCCACGAGTGTCAGACATTGGCTCTCTGGAGTTATACCAGTGGTCCAGCAGTTTTCAGCCCGGCTGAATGAACCGAAGATCGAAGATCCTCTTCCGCCGGAATCTACCCGCACTTCAGAGTCTGAAAGCCCCTTGGAGGGACTACTGCGGCACTTCGACGAGTTGGAGCTTCGGATAGCCTCTAGTAAGGCCGACCTCTGGGCAGCAGGTCAACAAAAAGTGAACGAGTCGCGAGAGAATTTCATGTCTATTTACTCGGAAGTAGCCAGGATGGATGGGTCACACTCGCAGTCTACCTATTTAGCAGACAGTTTGGCTCATCGTGTCTCGGTGCTGGGAACAGACGTAGGGGAAGAAGCGAATCATATCGCGGCTGTTATTACTGAGCATCGGAACATTGCTGAAGACCATCAAGCAATAACGGCAGTCAACGCGGATATTGCTGCTCGTCTTGCCCCCGTAAGCTTTGTTCATGTCTGCTCGAAATCAACCCATTTAACCTGTAATGTTCACAGCTTGAAGAACAGGGAACCAGACTTGATGCCCTGCTTGAGGAACAGTCCAAAGATCTAGAGAGGTTACGCTCTTTGATTGCAAGCTTTCGTCCAACAGCACCCCCGGCGTCAATGGAGAACCTGGCGTCGGTTGTTCAGTACAATGCTGTTGCAGAGGCAGACAGGATGATGCGTCTGACGGCTGACTCTTTGTCTACTGAGGTTGGAGCTGCGCTTCGGCTCCAGCAAGAAGATATCTACCCGTGCGTTTTGAGGGAGATTAGGCCGACTTTGCAGGTTCTGCAAGCTTACCACAAAATCACTACAGAGGGTCATCGGGGCAGCGGGCATGCATCTATCGGACAAATCTGAAGTAGTTTATCTATCTTGGCCATACTAATATCTTGATAATCTACCTGATGTACTTATTATGCTGCATCTAAGTAATGTCATGCCGGTAGTTATTTATTTACCGAGCTTCTACGTCTCCAATTGGTACTCGAGTAATTATATAAGTATCAAAGCTTATAGGAGGATGCCGAAGGACGCAACGCGCTTTGGAGGCTAAGCTTGAAGTTAGAAGTTAGAACGCACGCGTTCATAGACTTCGCGTCTACCGAACATCATCATGAATTGCTCTCGAACGCTGCGTATACCGTTGTGGCCCACTCATATCTCACCTTCGAGGAATGCTTTGTCTCGTGGACTTGTCCGTCATAACTCGACAGTATCAGAGCAGGCCAAGCAGAACCTGAGTTGGCCAGAGTACCTTGCGATTCGGAAAAGCAAGCGGAGATGGGAGACGGTGAGTTGGCAATGGGTAGTCTGGGTGTCATTGGAATGTTCAGTTCACGTTCTGTACGTTGTTAGGCCGCTACCATTCCATGCGTATTCCTTGGATTCGGGGGTGGCGTGCTGTACTTCGGGAATTTGGAGACGGACGCTTCTAAACTCATTATGGTGCGTCATTTATGGCGTCCTTGCAAGTCAGGAGGGCGACTACAACCTTGCCTCTGGTAGGGCATTGACCCGTTCTTCTTCTACGGGTTTGCAACTCTTGGCTGCGCCGGTATGTTGAACGAGAACGTGATATTCCACTGCTCAACACTCATCTTTCCCCCGAGGCTTTGGCTACCTGATTGGTCCAACTATCGGCTCGGCGTTCTGGAGAATGACGCACCGCCGGACTATGGCATTAATCGAGGCCCGTGATCGGGAATTCCACAAGCACATAGTCAAGAACAGAGTAGATCCGACTGCTCAAACCGCTACCAATCCCGTCCCAGATTTCTATGGTACGTACATATATCTACCACGCGCAAGCTTGTACGTAACATATCCTTATCCATGGTCAGGTGAGAAGATTGGTTCGTTGCACGAATACCGCCAGGTCAGCACACGTTTACGTTAGGATGGGATATTCCTCTTATTGTCTTGTATAGTGGTTGAGGGACCAAGCGAAATACAAGCGTAAATCGGAGTGGCCAGAAGAACTATAACAGCATCAACATGAGGGAACTGGCGTATGTGTTTGCTGCTTGTTGACGTTTACCGGCTATAGATCATCGCTAATCATATATTGGGCCTGCAGCCTTATGGGCGTGCGTATCGAGTCTTGACATTTAGACATCCCACCTGTTACCAGAAAATGTGTCATTGCAACTTCTCTGTCGAGGACACTAGTATGTAGCACAATTGCTATGCTACATCAGGGGATATATGTGATAATCGAGCAGGCAATGTTACACGATGATGTGGAGTCCGTGGCAATGATGATTTGAAGGCGCCAGGTCTGACTAGCAGATGGGGAGTGCAAGGTACGAAGTGGGCATCGTGCAAGCACGCATATGCCTCCTCGTGTTCGAAAGTATCGCAAAGCTGTGTATCCGTGGTTGCGGGTTGCGCAGTGCGGACGGCATAGATAGTGGGTGATGATGGCTATTGTCTACGAAGACCATCAGTAAGAGTGTCATTGATCTTAGCGCTGCAGACTTACAGTGACCGACGAATAAATACGAGAGCGAACGACGAATAAGTTACGACAAACCCGAATAGAAAAGAATGGACGGTCCAAAGAGGCCCGAAAGGAAGCAGGTGCGATATCCGAACTGTGGCATTACAGTCATCTCATTGAACCATGAGGTAAACGTATGATGAAGGTCGTAACATCACACTCGGCTGCTTCACGACGCGAAAGACGTCGGCGTCCGCATCGCTTGCTTCTGCGTGGAGGGTACGACCACGGTGGGCCGCTCGACGAGGCAGAAGCGCGGGATGACGCCCTTCTCGGCGTCGTAGCGCCCTACGCGCTGCACTAGACACCATTCATCCTCATATTCCTCCAGAAGTCGGAGCGTCTCCCCCACTTGGACGGAAAGCTCGTCTTCCATCGAGGGCTGGAACGTTGTCACTACGTGCATGAGGCGCGGGAGCTTATTAGCCTTGGCATGGCTGCGTGAGCTTCTCGATAATGTCTTCGACAGTGACTTGGTCTTGCAAATCTGCGCGCCGAAGGACGCAGATCGGGGACTTGGCTCCGGAGGAGGTATCGAGCTACGCGAAGATTCAACCTTAAGCTTGAAGGACGCGGGGGGTGTCGGCGGCGTGGGGGGTATAGATGTGGATTTGTTGTCCCTAGGCGCAGGGGGCGGTGGCGGCATCGAGCGGGTGAACGATGATTGTATCTTTCGACCCTTCTCGCTGCCATATGATGGGGGCGGCGACACATTCTGGGACTTGGTTAGCACGACCATTTGGGAGAGCGATTTCTCTGTCATCTCCTCGGACTCGTCGTCGGAGCTGTCGTCCGCGCTCTTGCTCTCGTAGGGTACGTAAATCGTGGGCTTGACTTGCGGGACCCAATTGACACCTGCGGATGCGCGAGGCACGGCGGGGAACAGAACCGCCTTTTGGGGCTGCTGAACATACGCCTCCAGGTCACCGGCCTTGCCCTCCTTGGAGGGAGGGAAAGGGGTGAAGGCCTTTTCAAACGACCGGTTGTTCTGCAGAGTGGAGGGGGCAGTGCGTCTCCTACGCCTCCATGCCACGAGCCTCCAAACCGCGATACCTGGACGCTTCTTAGCGACTGCAAGACTGGACGCTATGAATGCGGCATACCCAATACTATGGTGCCCAGAACGGCGATGACGATGGCCAGGGATTTCGTCGACGTCGAAAGCCGTATCACCTCAGGTCCTTGTGTGGGAGCCGCACTGGGAGATGCAGTGGGGGAAGCAGAGGTGCCTTCCTGAGGCGAGCGTCGCTCATATTGCTGAGCGAGCCCGCGCTCGTCCCTATGAAGACGCGGCGTAGTGATGATGGCCATAATCTAATATGGGTGATCGTAAGAAAAGAAAGGAAGCGTGTCCAAGCGACACCAAAACACTCCAGACAGACGAGAGGGGAGGCTAGGGAAGCCAACGCCCATTGTCAAGGAGTATATACTCGCTCTCATGGCTCGGGGCCGGATGTGATTGTGTGATTGATGTCTTGCTGCGAGTGCGCCCTCTCTCTTGATGACCGTAGACAGATGTCTGACGGGTTTGAAGGCGCACATCTTCCGGAGGACCAGTCAGGTATGTGTGCCTGGTATACGCATCATGATATCGCTGGTCCCCATCAAACCAACTAGCCCGAGATATCCAGTGGTGTTTTAGTATGGACCTGCATCACCGACATGAGCACTGGTTTGCAGTTGTCATAGTGACCACAAGGAATGATATAGACGGCGTAAATAAGATGCCCTCTGGCCGCAGACCTCCTGAACCTCTCTGACAGTCGGTCTGATTCAAAAGCCATTCAAGAAAGGTCTAGTTCTTTCAGACGATCCATGGCATCCATATTTACCGCACTAATGTAACACTGGAAAGTCAGAGTGCAGAACCAGCCGTATTGACGGATGTGTCACGACCGAACTCGGAGGGCAGTGCTGCGTACATGTGCATGCCATCGACCTAACCAGTGTAAGCAGGCCCTGGCCCATATATGGCCGAGAACAGCGAGAGCGTCGAGTTATCGTATAGCGATGCTTTGACCCCCATAGCCTCAGCGTGCGAAAAGCGAAAGCCCATATGAAAATGACTCAGAAGGTGAGGAATACTGGAAGGCGGCATGCGACCGGGTACATGGCTATCTTCCGCGGACGAGGGGTTTCGGATCGTCGTGATCGCTGTGCTGAATAATGTGCGAAAGGCGCTCCTCCTGCTAGCGGAAAGTGCCGTTGTACTCGGAAGTCCCCTGGAGTAAAGCCTCCCCAAGTGTCGGAACGTGAGGGGTCAGTGATCTCAGGAAGACTGCCCGGAGCCTATGAGAGCTGTAATGCGAGTGTCGAAGCCTTCACTACGAATAGGCATCTCCGGCGTGTGGAATGGGTTCTTCATCACAGCATCCGCATAAGCTTCGTAAACCTTCTGAAGCACGGTATCGGCGGTCATCTCAGTCAGAGAAGTAAGTAGAACGAATTTTGTCCCTTTCGAGGGAGAGGTTGTCATCAAAGCGACGGAAGAAGACCTTGCATGTCTGCTCACCTGTGGCGGTCAGTAGGATGGTTAACTTGAAGCTTTCTCCTTCAATCACTTGCGCGCCAGAACTGGAGCCGGTTGGAGACAGACGTGCTGTGATAGCATGGATACCGTGCAAGGTTCCAGCAAGTACGAGATACTCGTTAGAGGTTAATTGAGCGAGGCCCTCTGAGCAGCAATCATCAGAAACACTCCGCGAGCAACACAGAGAGGAAACATACCCGCGAAATTACGCTGATATACTAGCCCTCCGGCTTTATTGATCACCTAACCGCAGCGAATCAGTGTCAGCTAATGCATTGCGGACTTGGACTGACCCAAAGCCCGAAGATGGCCATGGCGGTCGACTTCCAACCCGGTGGCTAAGCCCATCATCACACGCGCCAGCGATGGCACTTGCACCCGGCCCTCGTCGCGCAAGGGCGCGTGTCCTTGACCTTCCCCTGTCTCTGCTGCTTTGCGTATTTGTTGCTACTCTACCGTCGCTGTCATCGCAAGCGTCGGTGCTAGGCGAACGCGCGCTGACTCCGCTTGCGCCGAACTCCATCTCACAACTAACGTCCACGCCTGACCCGGTCAAGAATGTGGATCCAGCCAACCCGTCTTCGCATTTATCAAAGATACTGATACCACGTCCTCGTTTGTGTTTGCATTTCTCGTCGACGGGCTCCATGTAACGGATATTATCCAATAGCTGACACCGAGAATAATACCCTCGTGCGGAACTATATCGTCTCTACCCTCAAGGGCCTGAAATGGGACGTGGAGGAGGACAGCTTTATTGACAACACGCCTTATGGCGCAAAGAACTTCACGAACGTGATCGCGACGAAGGACCCAACTGCGTCTCGACGTGTTATCCTCGCGGCCCACTTCGACAGCAAATTCTTTGCAACATACCCACAAAACCAAGTACGTGCACATCGAACACCCGGTTTTGATGGCCTTAGCTTATAAATCATATGACGACTTCTAGTTTGTGGGAGCTACAGATTCAGCCGCACCCTGTGCTATGATGCTTGATTTGGCGGAGGCGCTGGACCCGCTCCTTGACCAACGGAAAGAACGTCTGGAGGATGGCTTGGAGGACGACGAGGACGTTGCTGACACCACATTGCAGCTCGTCTTCTTTGACGGCGAAGAGGCATTCAAGGAATGGACTGCGACGGATTCGATATACGGTGCTAGGCAAGGAATCGGTCCAACCCTGCCCTGTGCATAGATCCTAATTCCTTACTCAGGCACCTGGCAGAAAAATGGGCTACAACGTACATCTCACCTCACTCTAAGCGGCGCATGCTCCGACCATCAGAAACCCAAATCTCCGCCATCGAGCACCTCATCCTCCTCGACCTCCTCGGCGCCCCGCAGCCTCTCATCCGCTCGTCCTTCCTCGACACTGCATGGCTATTCGATGCCATGGCCTCAGCCGAACGTCGCCTCTTCGAGGTCGGCGCATTCGTGTATGGTGGAGATGAAGGTACTTCTCTCACGAGCTTCTTCTACCCCCGCCAAGACGGCGACACCAACTATGGCTATGTCGAAGACGACCACGTACCGTTCATGCGGAAGGGCGTGAGCGTGCTTCATATCATACCCAGGTTCTTCCCCTCAGTCTGGCATAAACTCTCTGTAGGTACTCCAGCCCTGTGACCTGGCTTGCTCCTATTCATGTTTGCTGTGTTTTGCTAGGACGACGCTTCTGCGCTGGACGTTCCCACAATGCGTCGCTGGAACCTCATCCTTCGCGTGTTCATGTCCGAGTATCTAGGTCTGCAACCTGAAACCCACAGTTCACGATCAGAGGACGCCTCCGACCAGCCAGTGGCGCATGCCGAGCTTGTGAGTGCATGATCTCCGTCTCTGCGAAGGCGTGACCATAGAGACTGATGAGCTCGCTCCAACACCCTCGATTGGGGATTGACCAGTAGTCCTTGATCTGACGCACGCCGGGCTTGTTTCGCATATTGTATCACATTTATTATTCGCATTGGACAATGGCAGATACACTACAGCGGTCAAACCGCACATACAGCGGCGAATCACTTCAGCATACGGGAGAGAAAGGAGTACCTTGCCTGGCGCAGGACATCATACAGGAGAATCGCAGACATACGAGACGTGTCCACGCGGGCTGGCGACAAGAGTGGCGATCTCGTTGTTGGACTAGGACAAAAGGAGTGCTTTATAATGCTTGACGAGTGCTGAAGCATCTGTGGCGATCTGTCCGAAACAACGTGGAAGACAGCAACGATATCATGAAATCCCTGCGCGAGTGATGATATGAAACACCGATACGTCCGCACCTTCTGATTCTCTAAGCCTTCATCAAGGCGTGCTTTGGCCTTCCTCATGAGCCTTCGCCTGGACTTCGCCCGTTCCTCTTCGTGTAATTCCACTGCAGTGACCGGGTGGATCGGTCAACACTCGTTTAAGAATGCATGGCACTCACACATGGAACTAGCGGTGTTGATCTCCTCGGAGCGCCGCTCTGAGAGGTCTTCAAAGAAGGGTGCATACAGTGCCAGCAAGGCGCGGACGGTTTCCTGCGAAAGTGGTCAGTATATGCGCCTCCTTTGTCGTCCAAGCTCCCTACGTCGTGGGCTTTCCACGTCTGCATCAGATCTGGAAAGACTTTCTCGTAAGATGATTCCTGGGCCTTTAGTCCCTTCAGCTGCTCTCTGCACTGCTCGCTGAAAGGAGCTTTGAATGAGTCTCCTGCCGGGTAGCGCAGAGTACCATACATGTAGGAGACCCCTTCCTCGACCATAGCGGCTGCATTCTTCCTAGCGTCCGCATATATAGCCTTCTTTTGGTTTTGGAAGGCTACAGACCGCGTTGACGTCTTGGCTGCCTTCCGCTCTGTAATCCGTTTGTGAGCATCAGATGAGCGAGGCGGAGGCGTCGACTCACTCTGCAGCTCTTGCAACATGCATAGCATATCTTGCAGGCTATTACAGCACGACGAATAAAGGTTCAGTGACAGCGACTTCTCGGCACCTTACCCACCTGTCCTCTTCAACATGGTCTTCCTCGGCGTGCTCGCCTTCTTCATAATTCGTTTCGTCGAATGTGTCAGCTATCGAGTCTACGCGGTGCGAGGCCGCGAGTAGATTGTTGCGGTGAGTAACTGTTCTTGCAACATGTGCATCTGCTATGTGTACTGTTTTACGAGGCATTGAGCTTGATGTTTACCAGCGGGTCGAACGCGTAGGTGGTGGCGGGTCCAACCGTTAACGCGTCGTCGCATGACTGAGTTTTGCCTCGTACGCGCTCACGTGCTGTGCCACAGACGCGAAAGACAGTTAGAAACTCACTCGTTAGCTGTACTGCGTACACAGTTCGAATGCACTGCTATATATCTAAGATATACGCTGCATAAGACTACACATGGGGTATGCGAGACAGAAACACGATAACAGAAGAACCGAATCCCAGTTAACCTAGTGTCCATAACAATAGTCACTCCTTGCGGGCTTTGTTAGGGCCTTTCAGTCGAATGGTCTTGCTTCCCTTTTGATTGCCCTTCTTGGGTTTCCCTGCTGGCGGTGCAAATTCCTGATCTTCGTCGACCATCCATCCTGTCTTTCGGCTTAGAGTGGGAACCTTTCCCCTGGCAGAATTCGGGTCAGAAGTGTCGTTAATTTGATGTAGAGAGAGCCCTCACCTGTTGACCCTCCACTCAGGATCCAACTTGTCAAGCACCTCGAAGATAACACCGAGTGCTATCAGACCGAAGCTGTTCATCGCGTCATTATCGACTCTGCCCGCATTGTTGATGGTATATTTCCACGCCTGCCACGCAAGGTAGAGGCCAAGGCGGAGGCCATCGGACGAGTTCCTCTCCTCGGGCTTGAGCCACTCCCGTTGGATCTCTTGCACGAGGGTGCTCGCATGGACCTTCATGCGATGGATACGATCCTTCCTCCATCGCTTTTGCGAACACTTGGCGAGGATGGTGGACACGACGACCTCCTCTTCCGTCAAGCGCACCTCTGGATCGTTGGACAGAGTATGCGTTATACGGATGTAGCGCAACTCGTCCCTGTATCGTCTGTAGCTCTGATTTATAACCTGAGATGTAAAGTCGGGCGCCTTATACGTCTTGAGATGATGTTGGATGAGAGGGGTCAGCGCTGTTGTTATAGGGTCGACTGTCTCCGGCCTCGGTGTGAGGGCGTCCGGGGAAACCTTGGCAGGCTCGTGCAAAGGGATAGCACGGTAAAGGTGCCCGACCGCGCGATCTGATTCATAGTAATCGGTATTTCTAGGCGCTGTCACCTCCGCAGCGTGCCAGTCCGGTTTGTATGGGATGAGCAATCGTGGAGACTTGTCGATATTAACAGGTACCCCGGATTTCGGATAGTCGACCGCCCGGCTACAAAGCTCGGCTAACTGGAGGCACCTTTCGTCCTGAGTTCCTTCCTGGAGACAGATAAGCATGATCGATGACGACATGCAGGCTTGATCACCAACCTTGGATTGATCTGCGATGATGAGATGGCGATCACTGAGAAGGCCAAGGACGTCCGAGTGAATATACTCGACTACGAAGTCGCACACATCCTCGATACGGCTGTCCTCTTCGATAGTCATAGGCGCTACGGGGGCGTATGCAGCAGGCAGGACATGTAACACGGGGAGCAGCGTTGGATCTTTGGATACGCAGAACAAATCTCTGCAACGTTATCTTGAGCGGGATTCACATGGTAGGCTATTTATGCTCACCCATCCACATCGCCTCCACCCAGTTGTGAAGCCATAGACCTGTCACCTAAAGACAGCAAATGTGATAAGTTCGTATCCTTTGAGAGCGATCGAAGACGTCTACTGACCTTGAGAAGGCATGACCACCACATTTACCAAGTTTCTGAATAAGCACAATTGATCTTCGGGTGGTTTGCCGACAGCGTAAACTCGCATCACTAAAGTAGAGTTCGATGACAGAGAGGAAATAAAAGGAGGGAATGAGCTTACCATCGCCTGGGTGTACAACTGGACTTCTCCAGATGATGCAATTACCCTTGATCCACGTCGGTTCTTCATCTCCTCTGTTCTGAATACATGCTATGCATAACGTTTGAGTCATTTGAACAAGATACTGGTATTCTGCGGTGGGGTTGCTTACCGTAAATGGTCCCGGGTTTGAGGCAGAATACGTTCTGATGTCCCGAAGCAACGTAAGCAGGCCCTTCGTCTGCCACACCGGGCAAGCACCATGAGTCTGGAATAGGGATCCTTGCGCCATGTTTGAGATCCCTGAGAATATGATGTCGAGAGTAATTGACGATCCGCTTCAAGAATGGATTCTCAATCTTCTTCCGATCCGGTGTTTGGGAGTTCAATTCAAAGCCAAGATCAAAGAGGCCTTGCAGAACATTTGAAAGGCGATGGGCTCTTCCCAAACCATTGCCTTCGAGTAGGTCACGCAATCTCGCGATCGAATCGCCTGCCGTCATGACGTCTGCTACCGCCCGCTCCTGTAATTTCAAGAATGAGTCCTTCTGCACGCCCCGGTCCTCTAGGACCATAATCAGGGACCTGATATCGGGAGTCAATGACTTTTTGAGAAACAATAATGATTGGTGCTTACTTATTGAGATATGCGATTGAGGGGCATTCAAATGCCCGAGCGATCTCGATTTCTGCACAGTCCTCCTCGTGAACTCTGAATTTGTTCATCGAGGGTCGAAGGCGCATTTTCCGGCCCTCGAGCTGGTCATCTAGAGCCACCATGCCCTTGTATCCCAGGAATCGTATCTGAAACTACATTGATAGATGTGAATAACACCGGGATGCACGAAGAAGAGCACTGCTCACTGCTGTGGGTTTCGGACCAGTCGGTTCGAAGATTTTGCGATCAGCGCATAACTTGTCCCAGATTTCATCAGCTAATTGTCGGGATACCGTACCCACACCATCAGTGAATTCATAGGGAGTGTTACCCAAGTCAGGGATCTCTTCCCACTCATGTCTGAATATCTTGACCGCTGGATCAGTCGCAGTGAACGCTTGTGCCATCCGCGCTGCATATTTTGAGGGACAACGGATTACGCCCGTGAAGTCGCCAAGGGTCTGGCGTATTGCTTCTGCCGTCACATATCCCTCTTGTGGATGATGGAATGGATGCATGAACCATACCGAGTGATCCCGCAGTGCTGATTGCGAGTAAGCGAGGAACTCAAAATGCCGGCTCGCAAGAGTGAACCCGTTTTTGAGCACCTCACCAACACGCTCCTTCAGAAAGAACTCCGCTTTGACTTCACGGTCCCAGCGGTACTGGAGGCGATCTTCGTCGCGGAAGTCAACCCTAATAAAATATTCTTCAAAGCCTTCGTAATGACGAATTACACGATTCGACTGAACGGTATATGGGCCTTCCAGGATTATCCGTGTCGGAGTAAAGCTGACATGATGGCACATGAACTGGCCAGGAGCGGGAGGGAAAGCGGGGACAGGGTTAATCCGCTGGAAGCACTGCATGGCCGTCTCTCGCGACCCACGAGTTTGCAGAGCTTCTGAAAATTGCCGGAGGTGGTGAGCGGTGGCCGCCCCTTGCTGCTTGTACAAGAGGCTAATTGGCTGATGGAGGTCATGTAAGAGTTCATAGGAGTTAACGAGACCGTTGTGGAGCAACGCCTCGATCTGGAAGGCCACAGTCCACTCCATATCTCTCAACCATGTGTAAATGCGGTTGAGTTGCTTGACGCCATAGAACTCGCGTCGGGAAGCCTCGACTTGAGCTGGAATCGGTGGCCGAAGGCCAGCCGCTTGACAGAGCTCTCTAAACATCTCGAGGTCTCGATCTTGACATAAGACTACCCGTATCTGATGAGCGTATGGAGAGATACGCTCGTGCGCTGGGTCCAGGAAACCAATGCGATATCGGAAGTTCTTGTGGTCCCGGAAGTCGTCGCCGGTCAATAATCGGTTGAAAGGTTCTCTCTCAAGAATTGGCGGTATCATGAGATCGAAGCAAATGTCTTTCAAAGTTCACGTTAGTAGGACTTTACCAGGAGGTAAAAAGCGTGCTTACATGGAGACCCAGCGTCATAACCGAAGCCAATCTTTCGGATGCTAGAAAACTTGATGACAATTCTATGGCATGTTTCTTCCGTCATGGGATCTCCGAGCTGTCAAAACATTGAGACCTTTCGGCCAACAGAAGTTGTGCGCCCGAGCTTACCTTTATTCGCATGACCTTATGATCATATGCGACGCGCATTACAGCATAGCTGCGACTTTTGTAGTCACCTTCCCATTCATTGGAGAAGGACTTCGGTGCTCCAGGTCGACTTGTATCGTAATAGTATATCCCAAAGTTCACCTTGTTGACTCGCAGATCGCAATCGAGGGCCTGCAAGATACGATCCCGCTCTTCATCCTTGGCAGGATCGAGATAGGGAGCCTTTCGAAGCATTTGGAGCTCCCCTGCTCGAGGCTTACGATCGCTTCTGAAGAAACGTATCTTGCGACCGTGTACCCGGATGTTATTACCGTCCTGTCTTGCCCACTCCAAGAACTTGCGTCCAAGCTTGTGATCGGGCAGAATGAGTTTACCAGAGCCATCGTTCCGCGTCTCGGTCAGGCCTGGGTTCAGAGAGACATCGAAATTCCATAGTCGCGGAATTTCTCTGCGTCGGAAGTCGTCGCCATGAAGGACTTGTGCTATAGCACGTTTGACTTCGTATTTCGTGGCAATGTGCGCCACTCCCTTCAGATCGATCTCCATGATGCTGGGCGGTAAGAGAGAAGAAGGCGACTGTGGGACAAGGAGAACACGTAGATAGGGCGTTCCTCCGCACCTTTATTATAGGGCTGGCCATGCTTCCCGAGTGGCGAGCGTCAAGCGGCCCAAGGCCTTGGTTGACTCAATCGGGAACGCTGTGGCCTTACTTTGACAGCGCGTGGCTTCCGCGTATCACTTTTGTATCGGCATTGAATATTGACATCTTGCGACTGCATTGCACGCTTTGTCTTTCTTATGCACGCCTCGCAATCACGTAGCTCGCGAAAACACAGTTGGGTTATCCGGGGTACTAGGGACAGTACTGATAATACCATTATAGGGAGGAAAGGTAGGATAAGACTGCAAAGGGATAGCTAGGACGCGTGCAATACATTGAGATTAAAGTGTGCACCGAGCAGTTACAGCAGAATACGCCGGTCGCACGTTTCTCTCCAATATCATTTGTAAGGAATCCCTATGATGGATGTGTTCAGCACGTCCTTCGAGGTGAAACCAATTGTCTTACCATTCTGAAGCTACGAAATATAGATTGATCAGGCGGTTGTATCGAAGCCACAGACTTCTGAACTTACCCTCTGAAACTCATCGTACGCTGTACTTCTCATGTTCTCGTGTGCGTCTCGTATGATCCGCATCATGAACTCGGCAGCCTGACGTTCATTGAGACCAGGCGCGAAGCGATCTTTCAGCCGCTTGATCGTCATCTCGCCCTTGAAGGAAGGCAAGCCAGTTTCCAGCATAAGTTGGACGGTGGAGACCAGTTGATCGGTGTATGGACGCAAGGCAAGGAACGCCTTCACTGTAAGTAGCTGGAATAGCTCATATCCTTGCGAGAATCGTCCTCCCATTAGAACGACCATTTCGTGCGTCAGTTTGAAGGAGTTAGGCTCAAATTTGATCCCCTACGGAAGGGAAATATTGTGAGAAGATGTGATGCGGAGACACGACTTCGACTCACTCCAGGACGTGTATGTCACAAACGTATGAGGACGGTCATGAGCATAAATGAAATTTCGGGGGTAGGAGGAACTTATCTATGTCGAACAAGAAGCCAAAATCTGTGGCATCCACCGTTAGTCTTACACAGGCACGTGCGACAAGTTTACATACCGATGTGGACAATGTGTCCTTCTCCGTCAATCATGATGTTCCCGTTATGCCTGTCTTTGATCTGCAGAATATAACAAGCGACAGAGTATGCAGCCATAGACTGAATGAAATTGAGCCGAGCACGCTGGAACGCGATAGTATCCTCGCCGCCATATTTGGAGACGAAGAAATCAAGAAGATCATTGACCTTGGCGCGGCCCATCTCATCTCGAGAGGTAGCGTTTGGTACGACATCGATCACACCACACTACCCTGCGTTAGAACATCATCATACAGTGGGATGATAATAAACACGCACTCCTGGGGCAGTGGCAGTCACCCTGTATGGGTACAGGTACAAAGTCAGGCCGACGCTGGTGAATATGTTCTTGAACATGGCGATGACCTGTAATGCAAGTACGTCTTGCCGGCAGTCGTCACCAACTTTGAAGATAGCCTGAAGCCAAACGTCGTATTCGCTTCGCTTCTCTTCGCCGTTGGCCTCGGTATCCAAAAGCGAATTCGGATCATTTTCGATCTCCACTCGCTCCTTTCTGACTTTGAAAGTGGCCATGAAGGGTGCCTCGAAGAGTGCAACGTTGGAGGAGTACCGATATGAAGTAGGCAGAGGTACACACCTTAGCATGACTTTGCAACGGACGTCCTGATTTGCGGTCTATGTCCACAACCTTGCCGTCCGGATTGCTGGGAAGGTAAACTCCGACTTCGACTTGTATTTTGGCCATTTCCTCGTCAATCTTGGCCTGTCCATTCGTGTAAGACGAATGCCTCCATGGTCTGGTCAACTAACCAACCTTCTTCTCTGGCTTTGTCTTCTTGATGAAAGGTCGCAGTTTGCCCGATATGGATGTCACCTCGGCGAAAAATCCAAATTCGCGCTCGTAGAAATCTTTGGCTTCCCCCGACAAAGATTCAACAACTTTGCACGTCATATTGTCCAACAGAGGTTTCAAAGGATCTTCCTGTTCTCTTCGCTTAGAACCTGCTGTTGCGTAGAGATCCAACCATACGTACTACTTCAGCGCTGTCGTCCTTGTAGCAGTTCGCTTTCATATTCCAGATGATCTGGTGGCAGAATAACTGAGATATTTTCGCAGTTTCAAAGATGAATCGGGCAACGTAGCCTAGGCAAGTGTTATGGTTGATGGCCAGTAAAGACAAGTCGAAACACGTACCAAGCTGGTCATGTCGAAGAGCTTGCACGATCTGTGGCACGAAAAAAAAGGTCAATTCCACAGGGTGTTGTTCGAGTACTCGGTGAGCATATTGAAGTATAAGAGCATCGCTGTGGAATTGTTCCCCAAAGAACGTTATCGCTAGCACGGGGGAAACCGGCGCCCACAATAAGAGATGCTACCAGTATTCCGCTTTAACGAAGTCACTGTCAGAGGCCTTGGGAATTTTACCTTTAAGTCACGGCGGACACCAGTATCTAGTTTATCGCCGACCAAAAACTGCAGTGCCTCCGGAACGTCCAGCACTTCGGGCGTATTCGAACGGACCCACTTGCCAACCTCTTTTTGGAGGGCGGGATGCCGGAACCGCTCTGTCAGATAGATGGCTATCACCGGGTCCAGCTGCCACATTGTTTTAACGATATTTGCCCACGAGCTCTGAGCGCCTTCATCAGTCACCAGTGCCATCTGTGCATAGACATCTGGCTTACATCTGACAAGGAGCGTTCAATTAATCCGACATGATCCGTACCGCGCTTGCCTTCATTGCATGGATTGGCCCAAACCATTAGCCGGAAAATCTCATTCTCCACGAGGAGCCGAAGTGGCTCGTTCAAATTCTTGAGTCTCATACCATAGTCTGGGGAACACGTCAGCAGGACAGATAGTGAGGTTTGTAAGTAGCTCACATGAGGTCCGGGGACCAGTGTATGACGGTGTCAGGCTGGAAGTTTCGTGTGCTGCTCTTAAGGAATCAGTCTGAAGGTATGATAGGAACTCCGACAGTAACTTGATCTCAGCGTCGAGCTGTATTCGATCAGCGCCGTAGGACCATCTGTAGGAATCATTAAGCGTTTCCAGCGAGTGATACGTTCGGGTGCATTTCACCTGGGACGGACGCTAAACCAGGAGAATGCAGCGGAATATAGACTTTCCCGAAGTGTGTTCTCGCAATGGGCGTCCATACGACAGCTTTTCATAGTCTCGAAAGCGAATAGGAGGAAGGAAAACCGCGCCTCCCTTGCAAAGGGATGGGTGCTGTTTGGCCGAGAGGTAAATCAGTATAATTGAGTGATGAGAGCCCAAGGAGGACGGACCTAAAGGTCCTGTATGCTCTGGCAGATACCAAAACGAGTCGCTGTATCAAGAACATCAAAGCGGGCTTAAGATATCTCGCTGCCTGGAGTCTGCTGAATAACAGATGTAGCAGGATGAGGTGAGGCGACAGCAACCGCCGCGCAGACCGCATGGCACGGTCTATCCCGTCGCGGTCTGTCGGGCTGTAATCAATAGAATGGCAGAATGGATTGTCCTGGCTACCACACTCTCAGCTCTGCACTCACTATTCCAGTATTGTGGAGAGGGCTTACTTAAGAGACGCAGAGAATATGCCTTTACTCTGTCTGATGGTAGTGCCCCATGAGGACTGCAACTCAGTCAAGAGGGCGGTCTCGATGCCCGGACACTCCGCAATTGCCCATGTCCATACCTCAACACCGGCGGACATCGCCGACGGAGTGAAGACTTCGAAGGGCAGAACAACCAGATAGTGCAAGAGATCGTAGTCCGGCTGCGAACACGACGTAAGTAAGATCTAGATCAGAGACCACTCTTCGCTCACCGTCGGCGGAGACAGCATGACAGCGGAGCACCTGAAGAGCAAGCGCTTGAGGTCCTGAACAGTCAAATTGCTACGCTTCTCGCGGATGTCTTTGATTGTCTTGTCCAGTTTGACTTTCAGGGCTTGCTTCTCGCGCACCAGATCACTCTGGGGCATCTGGTTCTCTAACTCTGTGTTACCTGATGGTCCCATATATTTCAGCGTCTATGTCAGCGCCTCCCCGCAGGCACGCACCTATACTGCTGGCGAGACGGACCCCAGCAGCCTCGCCAGCAAAGTACGCCTTAGCAGCAAGTTGACTTGTCAGAATCTTAGCTCGATCGTGCTGTCCGGGAGCCATTGTCCCTAAGGAAGCTGGAGGGATGATCAGCCTTGGGACAGTATCAACGAAAGAGTTTTTGAATACCTAGCCGGCGTTCTGCAGGACCAATGGCCTTGCCGTAATTCACTGCCATCGTTGCCCCAAGTTCAAAGGAATCATCTGGAGAAAGTGATTGATTGATTGCTAGGTATTTCTGAGGGAAACCTTTAGCACAGCAAATATAACTTCAAAGGACATCGTTCACCTGTAAGGTAGACTGTAATTCCACCGGAGCACGACTTAATGCCAGCTCGAACCAAGTATTGATATTTCGTTGTAACTGTGCAAAGATCTCCTGCCGAACTTGATATCTATCGGTGATATGCAGAGTAAAGCCACAGCGATCAGAGTGGAACTCATAGGTCGGATTGATCTAGCATGCAACGTGAGCACTCAGAATGCGTAGTATGAACCAGCAACGCACCTCGTCAGTGTACTCATTCTCACAAGATCGTTGCACCAAGGTCAGCACCTCCAGAATAGCATAGACAAAGGAGGGGTTGCACATGAGGGAGGGAAAGGATGTGATGAGTCGATTGAGATACTTCATAGCAATTTCACGGGCTTTGGCAACACGATGAGTGCTGCAGATAAGCAGGTTCTGTAGATCATCGTATAGGTTGTTCGGCAACGCTTGCTCTATCACCCTCGTATTGAGATCATTGACGCAGCCACGCATCACCTGCAGACGTGTAGAGCGTAAGTGGAGTAAGACAAGGCTGGCGGTCATTTTTACCTTTTCTGCGATGGATTCCATGCATGCACTCAAGGCGAGGTGACCATTGATCCCACTGTTGGTGAAATAAGATACGAGGGAGGCAGGGAGGCCGGCCGCGGATCGCATACTCTCCATATCATGCATAGTCAACAAGAATATGACTTGACCTGGCGATAGATGCCGGATCTCGCTTGCACGTAAGGCTATGTGTCTGGTCAGGAGGGTTCGCTGTTTGGAGATGACCTATGTAAATATCGCGTCAAATTTCTTCTTCTGTCGCTGCAGTGGCAGACGCTTACGGCTTCGGCATATTCCTGACGAATGACGGAGTTGTATTCGATGTCACTGGTCAGGAGATCATGCGCGTCCTCTAGAACTAAGATGGGTGTTTTCATCGCGATGCGGGTCAGAGCGGGTTTGAGCCAATCCATGGCTGGATGCTCCCTCTCTTCTCTGGAGGTAAATAGGAACAATACGCAGAGGAACCACATATTTCGGAACAACGCCACCAATCCTGGAGATGCATCTGACTGCAGTTTCGGGTTCGCGTGGCTCAGGAGAGCATCAATCGGCAGCAGAAGGGATGCAAGCTGCTCTATCATGTCATCCGTCTGGTGGAACACATTCAACAAGGATAGCAAACAAGACCATGAAAAATGTCAACCTTTATGTCAGGATTGGAGTTGCTAACATTTTGAATTGAAACTCCTTTGTCAGCGAATAAAGTCAATAATTCCACGAGGTAATCTTCCTGCAACTCTGGTCGCTGTTTCAGGCCTTGCGATAATCGAGTTTGCGCAGCCAGAACCTGCCAGGGAATGTAAAGTGATATATGAAGATATCTCTGGGATATATATACCATGTTATTGGAGAATCTCGGATCGTCGGGGTTTGCGGAACGATTGATAGCTGAGAAAGCACGAATGATGTCCACGAAAGCGCTTTCAGGGGCAGCTAAGGCTAATTCAACCAGGTTGTACGCGATAGCTGCCTCTACCGTGGGCTCTGCTGAACGGAACCGTTGCAAAAGCATTGAGATGGTCAAGCGGGTGACCTGTCAGCGCGAATTAGCATTGCAGGACAACGCCGATCAGTCTACTGAGCTTACTTCATCCATCTGAAATTCAAGAGCGAGCCTCGCCACTACTGAGATCGTGCTGATACCAATAAGTCTCTTCTCGTCTTCCGTGAATCCGCGCAGACCATTCTGGATGGAATGTAGAGTTGCCTGGTCCGTCTTCACATAGCTAGATATACCAACAATCTGAGATGCGCTGGAGCTCTCATTGATTTCCTTGCTCGTTGCCGCTACATAGTTGAGTAGAGAATACATGTTCGACAAGATGAGGTCGTCTCCAGGAGCCAACTGCAAGCTGTCTGAATACCGAGTTCGAAGGACTGGAACCAAACGCACCTGTATACAAAGCGCCAAACATTTCGCTGCTGCCGACAAAGGTGGGGGTGCGCGAGTCTCCGACGCGAATTCGAACTCGAATATAAGAAGAGGGGACGTAACAAAACGGCGAAGATGGACGATTAAGCCGGCCGCTATATCCGAGAAACTGTTACACGATTAGTACTGCTTTTCGCTGACAGTCAGATAGACTCACTTCCTGACAAGAACAGTAGTGGCCTTGAGGGCGGCCTCTTGCACGAGGGAATCGAAGACAGGAGACTCGTCGCTCAGTAGAAGCTTTAAGTGGTCGAACAGGGACGGGTTGAGTTGTCTCTGTGCGACAGAGCACACTGCAGCAAGTTTCTATCACAGTAGTTAGTCAAGACTCGCGGTCGAGAGAACGCTTGACTGCCGTACCAGGCTCTCTGACAAAGTCTCCCATGCGTATGAGTCGGAGGATGGTTCTGTCTCCATTTCTTGGATTTGAACGAGAAGGTCCGTAAAGCACTGCAGGACAATCTCTACTGTAGCGCTCAAGGAACGCTGGACATCTTCGTCTATCTTGAGGTCAAGGGCTGGCCGCCGCATTAACTCGACCCAGGCTTGGTTAGCAGCTATAGCTTCTGTAAGTTGCACCCGTTTCACGTCTGAATCAGTAGCGACTGCAGTCACGGTCTGAGATAGGACAGTCCATTGAGCCTCCATTACGCAGCAGACAACGAAGTACCCGGTCAGCGGACGGCTCCGAGCTATGTATCTGGAGAGGAAAGTGCGGATATACTGAATTCGCTCCGGATCGCCCTCTTCTGTCTGCAGGACGTCAACCAGTAGACGGTTGAGCCGGTCGACCACCCCGGGAGATAGCAGAGAGTTCAACGGCTCCGACAACTTTGCCCATTCTTCGACAGTCCAGGAGAAAGTAGTTGAGATTATGGCTCGATAGAAGCCGTGGAAAGACGGCGCATATTGAATGAGAACGTCATAAGCTGGGCCGCCTTAGTCGAGCAGTACTCCCAGAGAATCAGCGATACACTTACAGCTTCCGGACTTCAGGTAATTGACAGTCTGTTCTATAAAGTCTATAACAGAAGTGACGGCCACTCCCCTATGTCTTGGATATTGAGAAGCAAGTCTGAGCAAGCTCCTCACGGTTGTATAGACAAGTTGATCTGGAAGTGACCATTCTGACGAACAACGTTAATGGAGAGCGTGGCCCCACACCGAAGCAAGACTTACCATCCCAACTGAGGCACTGGTCAAACTCGATGAGGGAGACATCCCGTAGGATGTCAGAGAGAATAGGTACCGCGCCGTCAGTCAACGATTCCGGCAGCTCTATAGCTACCTCGGCGAAGCCTATATTGCAGAAGACCCTTGAATCTGGCTGAACTAGAGTCAGATTTGCGTCGGACAGGGTCCAAGTTTAACGTCTACCATGAAAACTCTCGCATCTCGCGCTGAGGCATCTTGCGACTCCTCGGAGCGTGTGGTCCGTACCTCCGAAGTGAACAAGTTTATGGTGGTGGTAAGATCATCATGCGTGCCGTTCGCTTCCGCGACATTGGACGCTAGATCAGTGAGAATGAGCTGATGAATGTTAAATTCAAGGCTGCAGAGCGTGAGCAAACGGGCTTATGCGGTGGGCGGGGCTGCGCTCACCAGTCCATGTCAGTCACGGTGGAATATAGCGCAAGCTCGGTGCACTCTCGGGATAGATAAACGTGGGGATGGAAGCGGTCCGTCCACCCACATGACACATTGGCACAGACATTGTGTTTACTCTAAAACTATCTGGTCAAAACACTACTTTGCGTAAGACACTATGGCCGAGTGGTTAAGGCGACAGACTCGAATGACTTCGACATCTGTTGGGCTCTGCCCGCGCAGGTTCAAATCCTGCTGGTGTCGAATCTTTTGGCTTTCCAGCGACCTCGTTCGCAGAACCATTTTTCCTTTTCCTTTCAGTTCCCCGTTGACAGGTTTGTGTTATCGTTCTTTCAGCTGCTAAATCGTGATGTTACCGTTCTACTTCTCACAGGATTGTAGTACTCATGTGCCACTCCTGTTGTGGCGATTGTCAGGCATTTCCCCCGGCTCGAAGTTCCTTCGCAGAGCCATACATCTTGTCGAATTTTCTCCCAGCCGGTGTAGTCACCTTCCGACTAAATGACGATGTCCTGCACTGTGAGCACAAGCACGTTGATGACGGGTGGCACCAATTCGCTGCGCGAGATCTCCTCCAGCGTGTAGAGGCTGCAGAAGATGAGCTTCTGCTACGCTGGATAGACTTCCTGGCGTTGAATCAGTTCATTCTACCGACCTGCCGAAGGGATGAAAAAATACTATCCGCTCTCCATGTCCGACTTTACCTAATCCCTTACGATCTTCCGGGTGCACGGGGTGAGCTGCGTGCTCGGCATTCAAGCATCGTGAAGGAGGCAGGTAAGGCGCTGAGAGGCGTCATGGCGAGGCTAATGCAAGACGAAAATCTATGGCAAGGGCGCATTGTTGACTCAGCGTCGACCTTGCCTCGAGCCAGTCTTCCGAGACAGATAGTAGGCCCTGCATCCTCGTTTCGTGTACACATGGCTGATCTTCAGCAGGATAATAGGACGACCACGAGGATTTATAGTGACCTCCCATCACCAGATCTGCAAAGCTTATGCGGAGAGCTCACGCAAAGCCAGACGTGTGTAGACATACCAAGCATACTGTCCGGAGGCCGTGTTAAAGGGCTCCGGTCCTCTCTCTTTGGCTACCAAGCCGAATCCGTTCTTGCAATGCTGGGCAAGGAAACAAACAAATCGGCTATCCCAGATCCCCTGTATATACCTTTACCGGGGATGAACAGACAGTCATTCCATTTACGCCCCGGAGACATGGAGATTCTGAAAGAGCGACCAACGCTGGCGCAAGCGCCCGGCGGCGTGTTATGTGAAGAACTAGGTATGCCAGATATTTTTCCCGTTCAATGTAATTCCAAGACATGTTATCTAGGGACGGGAAAGACGGTCATGGTGCTCGCACTCATCTTGGCCACCCTAGATCAGATGTCGCAACCTGAGGAGTCTATTTGGGACCCGCGTCCCGTCATGACGCCCTTGTCTTTCAGGAATTTTCCCTTTATCGAATGTACCGAGTCTAGAAGGCGTTTGCGCGTGCGGAGCCATCGAGCCTCAACCAGCGAACAAAATCAGATCCCGTCGCTCACTGAACTGCTCCTCCATTATGTTCGTGTCCATCCAGAAAGTACGGGAATGCGCGGGGAAGAGCATTCCCTCGAACACCTGCCAATATGGCGCCTTCAACGGGCAAACTGCCCATTCTACTATCACTTCAAAATCGAGGTCCCAGACCAGCATAGAGTGTCGAGGAAGCCTGCTAGACCGGGACCTAGAAAGATGTATCTTACATCGGCGTCGTTGATTGTGGTACCCATCAATCTTGTAGGCCAATGGGACAGCGAGATCCACAAACACTGTGATGCCACACTACGGGTGTTCATTGGCTGGCCTAAAGTTGCCCTACCCCGTGCATCCGAGCTAGCATCGAATTACGACGTAAGTCACCTATTCCCCAAGTCTGTCGAGTTCCCTTAAAGACTCCTCACAGATTGTCCTGCTAAGCCACAATCGTGAGCCTCCTGCGTCTGTGTACGGCGCAGACTCTGACACATGATATATTCCATAGATCTTTCTTTGGCCAAAGCAGATGTATCGCAATTATATTCGTGGAACACATGTGTCTGTCCCACCTTTCCTGGCGCACGCGTGCCCGACTGTCATTGCGACGAGCAAACGAAAGTGTCGCCCCTGCTCCAAGTGCGATGGAAGCGTCTAGTTGTTGACGAGGGCCATGTATCTGCTGCAATTACCACCAACCTCTCACACTTTACGTCCGTGTTAAGTGCGGAGCGCCGGTGGATCGTAACCGGTACCCCCACTACGAATCTGTTGGGCTTAAGTTTCGGGAGTTCTGGAGAGTCTGAAAGTCAGGTTCAAGCCTGTCAAGATACCGCCGACCTGGACACGTCTAGCTCAGACACTGGCAACTCTGTCGCACCCCAGGCTCGAAAATGGACTGCCGACGATCGCGAGGATCTGCGGAAGCTTGGCACTATGATCTCGCACTTTGTTCGCGTACCTCATCTCACGGACGCCTCTGTCTTCAACAAGTATGTGGTGGCACCGCTATTCCATGTGGACGGTCCTCTTCCTGGCGCGATCCAAGTCCTCACTCAGGTGATGTCAATGATTATGATCAGACATCGGTAAGTCAGACTATGATCAGTCTGAAGACAACTTCGAAATCTAGACGACTAAGTACAACTTGCACTAGCATCGAAGACGTGGAGAAAGATGTGGTCCTGCCCCCTCTTCGACATGAAACGGTTCTGCTGGACTTGGACCCATACGCATTGAAATCATATAATGCCCTTCAAGCTGCGATTGCAATCAATGCAATTGATTCTGAACGTGTCGATAGAGTGAGTAATCAGTAATATCTGGGACATCTTGGCAGGTCTAACCTAGACGTTGCCAGGATTATCTCTTCCATCCCTCGGTAAGTTTCCATCACCGTCGCCGATAATAGAATCATCATAACTACACGGAAATAGAATGTAGATGCACTTTTACAAGTCACCGAAAACATAACCCAGTAAGTGCACCCGCAGCCGGTCTTCAGCGACTAAAACTAAGATGCGCAGGACAATGTTTTGGCATACAGACGCTGCTTCATTTAGCACTGAAGAACTTAGTCGCGCGGAAGCCGGTACCGTAGAGAGAGCCATTGCTAGAGGGGTATCGAAGGAAGACACGGAACTTCTAACTGAGGCCTTCCAGCACATGTATGCCCTTTACAGACTGCACCCTGATTCACGCTGACGAGCGGTCCTTGCAGTCGAGCGGCAGCCTCTGACCCGCTGTGGAGAGCTATGCAGGCCCATCCAGACGTACAGTACCGCGTGCAGAACATGCCTTTCAGCTTATACCGTGTTTGGTCAAGACTTCAGTGTCCGTCAGACCCCTCTTCATCCGAGAACACGGAGAGCTTCTTGCAACCTGACCGCGTCGTTCGGCTGCGAGAGATGGTCTTGGCTACCCCTCTCGCATCTGAGCGGATCCTCATCCGGTGGGGCCAACTAATCGCGGATGAAGATCGTGCGAAGCAGACGCTGCACCTCCTCCACGAGAAGTCGCTGAAGTCCAATCGCAAGAAGAAGGAAGACGCAGTGGACAGCGCTGCTCTGAAGGCAATAGATGTCGCCAGGAAAGAGAAGGCCCCGGAGAAGGTTAAGGAAGTCCTTCTGGAGTTGGAGGCTGCCCAGGAGAGATTGGCTCGAGCTAGAGAGGGCCTCGAAGAGCTGGGGGATGACACAAATGTCCCGCATGGCCTCGAATCTGACGGCTCTTCTGCGATAAGAAGTTCATTCCTTGCGCGTTCGCCTGTTGCAGGCGCAAGGATCGGTTGGACAACCTCGTCGAAGCTGGATTACGTTCTTCGCGAGGTATATTACCTTAGTCTCTCTCAACATCACTATCTCAGGGCAATGACAGGTTATGCAATATGCATCAACGGAGAAATTCCTGATCTTCTCCAAGATGACTCTTTCACTTGCGTATATCGCCGAAGGCCTCGACGTAATTGGTGTTAGATACCTACAATTCACGTCGAACGTGGATGTGCAAGTACGGCGACAACTGGTCATGACTTTCCAGAGTTCGGACAAGTATCGGGTGTTCCTTATGGACCTGAAGCACGGTGCTCGGGGATTGTGAGTAGCTATCCGTAAGGACATCGTGTTTTCCATTAAGTTCTCCTTGTACAGAAACCTCACGGCGGCGTCGCGTATTATTTTCTGTGAGCCTGTCTGGCAGGCTGACGTTGAGAGTCAGGCTATCAAGGTGTGCCTCACCGCACTGCTAGAAGCTTACGCCGCTAATTATCGTTCATTGAATCTCATAGCGGGCCCATCGTATCGGGCAAACAAGGCCAATCACCGGTGGGCTAATTCGTGGGGTTTCCTTGCTCGCGATGCTTAATTTGGTACAGTCAAGGCTCTCGCTATCCGGTCCACCTCAGAAGAAGCAATGGTAGCTAGACGCGAAGCTCTGAAGGATGAATCGGGCAAAATGCCACGCTTGGTGCAAGAGAGTGGGATGCGCCACTTCATCGCAGTAAGACAGTCTTACTTGCCCATGTACCCTCGTTACGTATCACTGACGGCTGCTGCCGTAGCATCCGAAGTTCCTGAAGCAGGCGGCGGACACTTCCACTGAGAGGGGGCTGGACATGCCTTTACTTCCAGTACCAGACCCCGTGTCGGAGGGAAGTACTACGGCCAAGCCTTCATCGTCTGCTTCAGCTGTTCAACAATTGAACACGGTCAGAGATGCTGTCGATGCGGTGAACCACAGCATCCATAGTCCGCAAGGACCCCCAACAAAGAAAAGGACGATACGTTTTGCGGACGTGGACACGATACAGGCAGCGGATCATGCTAACTGACCATTGGAGACGCGCCTGGTAGCGCTTCGGGGCATCATCATAATGTACTAGTAGCGCGACCAACTCTGCGGTTTACCGATCCGGGGCAGAGACGGGTATAGGGAGGTTTGGTGATAATTATGCGGTATAGATCATGGATTAATTTCTAGATGTTGTATTACCTGCTTTCTCTCCGTGTACAGATACAGTTTCTGCCGATTTCAACCCTGCAGAGTCAGGACCCCCGATAATCAGTATAAATGCCTGATCCCGAGGACCCATAAGTAGTCCCATTTTGTCCGGAAGAAAATCGCCGATTTTGGACCTTTTGTCCGGAAAAAAACAGGCATTACAGCGAAAAAGTGGCACTAAAAGGCAACTGTGGCGTGAGTACGTCTAAACTTAGCTTCCCCGGCAGGTGCCGGGGTAAATATGGCGTCGAAATGGCCAAGTCTGACCAAAATGTCCGGGAAAAAATCAGGCCTGTTCTCCAGAATCGGCCGATTTGTCTGTAAAAAATCAGCCATTGAGGGCTCTAAAGTCCCAAAATTTGTCCGGAACCTGATCAGGCATTTATACCAATTATCGGGGGTCCTGCAGAGTCCCGGTAGTGTAGGTTCAGCAGACAATGACATGGTACAGCCGAGATCCAATTGGCTGAGACGCGGTCACGTGATGGAACGCGCTGTAGTTCGCGTTCGACGTCGTTGCCACTTACATTTCTTTTCATCCGAGCCGTCTGCGCGACTGGAAGCCATCACTCGGATTCCGACACCTCTCACCTCCCGCGAGACCTCCATATCCGCTTGAATTTGCGTTGAATACCTTCGTCAATCAACGGCAGCGCCAATATGCTCGCCGTAATTACGACTGACGGACTCAGTCTTCTACCGCCATCGACGCTAAAAGGCGGCATTGCTACTTCGGAAACCTCGTTCACTCCGCAAGACAATGGCCTGACGGCAATCTCTTGCGCTACCGACAACCCCAGTCTCTTCATCTCATCTGCAAACTCTGTCTCTAGATACGACCCGTTCGCGAAGGGGGCGAAAGCCATTCATACGACAGAATATGGGACGATAACATGCCTTGTCAGCAAAGACAAAGGCAACACGCAGATTTTCGGCGCGGGCAACAAAGTCTGCATCCTCGAATGCGGCTCCGGCACGGGGAAGATCAGCAAGACATTCGACTCGCACAAGTCCACCATCACCTCCCTCGCCCTCTCCAACGACGCCACCCTCCTTGCCTCGACGTCCGCCGATGCCGTGCACGTCTACAATCTCACCCTGGCATCCCATACGGTGCTTCGCGGGCTGCCACTCACCGGCGGGCAGAAGATCACCGCATGCGCGTTCCACCCGCACTCGCGCGGACGGCTCTTTCTGGGGATAGGCAGGCAGATGGCGGTATACGACACCACGCGGCCCTCCGCGCCGCTCAAGCTCGCGCTCATGCCCGACGGGACGAGCGGCGAGGTCGTCGCGATCGCGTGCAGTCCATTCAGCAAGACGCTGGTCGCGATTGCGACCACCGGAGGGGACGTGGGGCTTTTGGATCTGGAGAAGGATAAATCGTGAGTAGTAGTGACATGCTAAGCGGTCTTGTTTGTATATGTGGCTGACTGGGCTTGTGGAGGCCCCGTCGGAACTTCAATGTCAAAGTGCCTATCACATCCCTGCTCTTTTCTCCCGAGGGAGACGCTATCTACATTGGTACGGAGAACGGCAAGGTGCTCGTGAAGAGCCTTCGTGCTTTGGACAAACCACCCGTGGCTATCGTAGTAAGCAAAGAAGGTGATAGGATTCAAGGCATGGCTATCCAGGTATGCCACGAGGTTGTCCTACATCTCTACTTCGCTCACATGGTTGTATACAGGCAAAGGGCAAGGCCACAAGCACGGATCCTGCACCCAAGGCAAACACCGTGTCGTCCAGAAAGCCAGCTGAACCACCGGTTCCTGGCAAGCGAACAGTCTCAGCAGCCGAGAGTAGGAAGGCGAGGTTGGCTGCAGAGGTACATCTGCACGTTGATGGGGCCGCAGCGGCCACTGGCGCAGCTACCAAGGTTGCGCTGGAGAGAAGGAAGGAGTTGAAGGCCAACGTGGCGGCAGCGAGGAAAGCTGAAGAAACGAAAGTGCCTACTCCAGAGCCTCCGAGGGAGAAGCGAGTCTTCTCCCCAGTACGGGATCCGCTCGGCAACACCGAGAGCGTAGCAGACATCTCAGGTTAGCGTTTGTTTGAAGTCGTACGGGGTGTCATTGAATGTTAAATATTTGGCAGTGCAAATCGAGAGTCTGATGGAGATGAAGCCGGCAAAAGTGGAAGCTGCCCGCGCGAAGGAGAACATCGCAGAGACTCTCTCGGCCTTGAAGAGAGCCCGCAGTACCTCTCCAGGCAAAGCAGCCCCCGTATCGCGTCCTACGAGCGCCGTGTCAGCGGGGCGTACAGATCCGACCAGGCCCGCGAATGAAAAGACCGAATCAGCTGCCACTAGAACCAGGACGAAGTCCAACGCGTCTACGCGGTCCCAAGAAGTCGCCGAGCGACAGCGGATGCGGACGTCGTCGTCTGGAACTTGCGTCCCGTCCTCATCTTCCGGGACACTGAGCTCTGCCTCATCGCGGCCGCTGTCGGCGACGTCGAGCAGGAGCTCCGGCTCGTCGAAGCACCGCGGTATCAGCGCCGCGACATCGCGGCGCACGCCGTCGCCGGATCTGCCGTCGCCCGAGAAGCAGCCGCTGACGCCCCCGCCCATGAAGGAGAAGGATAGGAAGAGCAGGATGAGGGGGATGGGCGTGTTGGGCCACGGGACGCCGGAGGTGGACGTGTGGATGGCGGCGGGGAAGGGCAAGGGGAAAGCAGGGGAGGAGGAGCCGGGCAGGAGAGTCGGATTCGCGGCTGAGGCGCGGCTGAGCGCGACTCTGCAGGAGAGCGAGTCGGAAGGCGAGGACGAGGACGCGGGCGAGAGGTCTTTGGTGATATCGCCCCGCCGGCCTCCTCCGCAGGACACCTGGGCGCCTGCGCCTTCTCCTCTGAGGGGCGCCCCCAGCCCTGGTCATGGATCGAGCCCGCAGGACCTGCTGCGAACGATCGTGCAGGACGTGATGTACGACTTCCAGCGCGACACGAAGACAGAGATGATGGGATTGCATCTGGACCTGGTGCGTATGGGGCGGACGTGGCGGCGCGAGATGAAGGAGACTATGCAGGAGTATTTGGAGGAGCTGAGGGAGCTGCGCGAGGAGAATCGAAGGCTGCGGGAGGAGAATGATAGGTTGAGGAGGGGGTTCTGAGATCTTCGTATACCCGTTGTACTCATGTCCCTCAGGTTTCTACGCCAGATGTTATGTAGCTATGGTATTATGCTGTTGTAGCTGCTGTTTTATGTATCGATTTCATGTCTGCTTGAGGGTCGCAATGTTTTCTTCATGTCGTGAGGAAGACTGAGATATTGCCACAAGCCGAACAGTCTGCGATATACGATCACGTGCATAGTCCTAGCGCGAATACGGCGCGGAATAGGGGCGTGGACTTGTAATTTGTGGACGCGCTTTGGAACCTACTTCTATGTCCACCCCTGCCCTCTCCGCAAATCCCCCTTGCTGATACACACTCACAATGGCATTCGCTTCCCCCACCGCAAACTCCATTCAGAAACTCGTCTTTTGGTCCGGAGACGAGAGCCCGGATCACTCTGAAACAAATGACTTGGACGATGCCCGCGCCAGGGATCATAAGGACGAGAAGGGGGCGCCACAGACACAGGCAGGCGATGGAGAGTCCATGTATGTTCAGTTATTTGAAAGTGGGTATCATTATCTTGGTCGTCCTGGGGTTGCTCACGTGTCGCGTCCGATACTAGAGATGCTTAAGATAGTCCTTGCGTATGAAGCCCATCTATTTACTGACTCAGAATTGGACTGTTTCGAGAGATACAATGAATTGAGCTGTGAGTGCCATTCTACCGTAATCATGCTGGAGACGTCACCCTACACCTTTACTTCACTCAGATAATGCTCGCTACCTCTTTATCCGCCTGCTCTTGCGGAAGCCGGCTACATGGCACGGACTAGGCTCGCTTAACTACAAGTCTGAGTTAGGCGATGCCATCCTGGATGCTGTCCACGAGCTCTGCGGAAATGAACCCAAACCCACTCCTGTAATTGAAATCAAGGAGGAGGAGCCAGAGGTCATTGACTTAACTGTTGATGAAGAAGACATCAAGCCTATGCTGAAGTCCTCGACTTCCGAAGATGGTCCAGCCTCGGAACAATCGGCGCCCAATTCCCTTGAGACTTCAAGCATCTTTGCAGAGAGCGACAGCCAAGCTACCCTGCAAGAGCTATTGGAATGTCTAACCGTCCCCCAGCTCAAAGACCTCGCCAAGCGAATGAAGGTGAAAGCTGAGAGCAAGGTACGCTCCATGAGCACTCATCCGTGAACACCAACCGACGACCCTATAGCGAGGGCCTCTCATCGATGCCCTGCTAGTGTCCGCCTCGAGCCAAACGACCTTATCCGCCTCTTTGAAATCCGCCGCGAAAGCAAAGGGGAAAGCAAAGGCAGATAACTTCCATCAGACGAGGCTGCCTGCGTCGTGGATCAGCAAGGGGACGCTCCAAACCGACAGGTTGAGACGGATGGTGCTTGACATATTGGGTAAGGATTTAATATATCGTGATCGCGCAGCGCTCTTGACCGATGTTGTCAAGGACCATGCATACGCATCTCTGATTCTGTAGTGCAATTATTCCGCCGGGTCAATGTTATTTATTTGCGAAGGTCCGTGCCTTTCCTGTCATATACTTTGTTCAGTCACTGAAACACATTCCTGCCTGTAGCACTCAATATTCACCTACTATCCTCACCGAATCTATCCTCAGCCGCGCGAAGAAGCGTACATACAACGTAGTGAAGTTCCATCGGACACCAGACATCTGGCCTACCCGTGAAGCCTTGATATCTTATGAAGAAGCCTTACTTTTGGAGGCCCAAGTGGACGAGCTCCTCGGCGCGGCCCCCACGCCGGGCAACGCCTCTCGAGGACGAAGTGTCGCGTCGAAGACTCCTGTTTCCACGCGAATGCAGAAGCGCGCGGCGTCCCAGTCGCAGTGCCAGGTGAAAGGCTCCTCGATGTGTAGGGACGAAGAGGAGGCGAAGGAGAGCCCGCGCGTGCAGGCCGCGCGGGAGGTGAAGCGCCTATTCGAGTCTGTGTACCCGCGCTGGCTCTCGCTTGTCAGGACTAAGACAGAGCACGAGGAGCGGCCGCGCGGGCTGCAGCGCTTTGATTGTGGTGAGTTCTGCGTCCCTCCATTCTTCTCTCGTGGTTGTGCTCATGGAAATGTCGCAGGGCATGTGCTTACTAGGATCGTGTATAAGGGAGCGCACGCCCTGGGCCTCTTGCATGAGTATGCTGCAGAGCTCCAAGTCCTTGAAGAACTGTTAGCTCAGAAGAGATGGAGGAGGGGGAAACGTGGCCAGTGGCATGAGCGTCGGGCGCTGATCCTGATGACGCACTTCCCCAAAGATACAGAGACGCACGAACGCGCTATGGATGTGGTCATCGAGGCTTTGGAAGATGATGATACGCATCTTAGTGAGTGTATATCCATCCCACTATGCGCACGCCATATAGGGAGCTGCCTGTGACTTTTTCCCGTATCAGTATATCGCCCAAAGCTTACTCGCCGCTTGACTACGCTCGAGAAGCGGCTGAAAGTGCCGGTCGACGAACGTCACGTCTGCGAGGGCGAGCTCCGAAAATGCCAGGAAGTGCGGATAACTGGTGTCAGGGTACGACATAAGGCGGCGAGCCTCACGCTGGATCAGACGGGGAGGCTGTTGAATAGGCCCTCTGCCGCTACGCAGTCTTTGCTGAGCCAGCGGACCTTGCCGTTTTCGCAGAGCGAGAACAAGCCTACCATAGGGAAGATTGAGGTAGGCAAGGTAGGGTCACTTACACTTCGCCGCTAGAATTCGCTGATATGTGTGGCACGCCAGGCTGAGAAATGGGTAGGTAAATCTATCTGGCACGGGAGGGATGGGGAAGAGGTGACCGTGGAAATCCTCGCTCTGCAACATTATGAAAGCCTTGGGTATCGAGGGTATATGCGTCGTCAACTACTGGCTAAGCCGCGATTCTAATGGTGGTACAGGTACCACAGCGAAGGAAGCATCGTCCGGATGCTCTTTGGCCTGCTGTTCTGGGACATCATATTCGCCCCTATTCCTGGCGCGTTCGAGACGCCGTATCAGTCTGCGCCGTTGGATATTGCTGAGGACAGTTTCTTATTTTCGCGAGTGGACCTCATCACCGCTCGGCTCGCGCAAATCGAGAACGGGGAGGCTTCCGCGTTGATAGAAACGACAGATGACGAGCACCGTCCTCTGGGCACCTGGTGTGTTGGTGTGCGTTGGGACATGTTTCCCAAGGAGGATCTCCTGGAAATTGCGGACGTATGTAGTGATGTCCATACCGCCCTTTCAGCGCTGACAACGACTGCAAAAGTGTCTGGGCGGTAAATCTCTGTCTACCATATGCCGACTTCTCTGCGAAGATTACTCTGCCAGAGCGGGCGGGGTACCAGATCTCATAGTCTGGAACTCAGAATCACGCGATTGCAAGTTTGTGGAAGTCAAGGGTCCCGACGACAAACTGCAGGAAAATCAGAAGGTGAGCTTTCTGATCGTCCATCCTCTGGCGCAAGACACTGAAATCATTGTCAGCTTTGGATTGACGTTCTTCTCAGGGCCGAGACAGTAGTGGAGGTGTGTCATGTAGAAGAACAAGGCTGCGTCGATGGAAAGAAGAGCAAACGGAGAAAGAAGAACGATAAGGAGTTACCAGAGACAGACGAGTCCGATTATCTTCAAGCGGAATCCGAGGACGACGATGGTCCCAACACATCGCAGATTGCGGTCCAGGATTCGACAGGTATCAAACGAACTATGGAAGATACTGCAGACCCCAAATCGTCGGACAGACCTGCGAAATTGCCTAGACTCTAAGCTTGATATCGAAGACACTTCTGCAGCTGGTTCATAGTCAATTCCGTCTAGTGCTTTATCCGAGTCCATTATTTATTGCCTATTTATAACGTGTAATATTACAACAAATGGAGGCAAGATGGAAGTCCAATGTATTATCATAAGCATCGTGATCTGTAAATAAATAAGCACCGACTGGAGAACAACGAATGGCAGGGGTAATGGATACAGTAGTGGATGCAGTGGTAGACGGTGGATGCTAGGGGGGTGGGAGTTGGAGACGCAACTATCTATGGCTTCTCATCGTGGGGCGGTGTCCTTGGCTTCTCATTTTTGGTTGGCGTCGTGGGCTTCTTGCGCAGTCCGCGACGTAATGTAGACACCAGAGACCCAGCTCGCTTCCGTTTCGAGGAGAACACTTGACTCTGTCGACGTTCTGACAGGTTACTCTGCATGCGACGGATGGCAACCCCACGCTCCTCGGTGGCGAAGTCGAACCCACGGTGTGTCGACCGCATTCCGGTAGACATGTCCGTGCGGCTACCCCTTGCATCAACAGAAGGCGGAGGTCGAACTGATAGATTCGACATGCTAGAAGCCCGGGAGACTGGACGCCGCATACTGCCCAGACCATATGAGCGGTGAATAGCTTCAAGGTCTAAATGAGGATCGTTCTTGAGTGCCCAACGCATTATCGACACGTCGTCAGGGTTAAAGCCAAACTTGTATGCCTTCGCAACGTATCGAGGGGCGAGCGACAATAGAACAGTGAGGAGGACGCCGAACCAGAACAAGGCGGAATGGAAAAGGTAGTGGTCGTTGCCGTAAACAGGGACTGAGAACCAACCCGGCGAGATGATGGAATAGATACCCTGCAACATCAATGAGACGCAGAAGAGCTCGCGAAGCAGCAGGTACTTACGGTGTAAGCCCATACCAGCACGATACCCAGGGCTACGGCGAAGAACACCCACCCGGTCCAGACTCCCGTATTCAAACCGTTGAAGAGATTGGCCGTTGTGACAGCTGCTACCGCCATTACCTAGAGCAACATGAAATTACGTAAATCCCAAAAGTAGAAAATGAGCATACCGTAGCGAACTCATATTGAGCAACCTCGTAGCCATCACCACGTGCAGTCGTGGTGTTGTAGCCATAGAGTATGAGGAAGAATATGATTGCCGACTGGAGAGCAAAAATAAGTACTGTCATAGTCACAGCGGTAGGGGCATCCTCGTTGCTCACCTGGACCACAGCATCCAACAAATAAAGGAGGAATAATTTGGTGCCGAACCAGTATTCTTCTCGACCGTAGTGGTACAACTCCGGGAGGGCCATCAATACATGATCATCTGGTAGTCGGATGTGTAATAAGAACCCGCACGAAGTATTATGGAGTAGTTCGGCCACTGACCAACAATGCGATCGAACAATCCAATGGCGATGACAGGAGCAATAGTGAAGAACGAGTTCCACCACAACACGTATGTATATTCGAAGGCGCTGAGGGAGAATGAGTTCTCGAAATAAAGCGCGGAAAAAATCAGAGCTCACTATTGAGAACTCCACGCGCAGTAAATCTGGAACCACCATAGCACACCGATACAGAGAAGGTTCTTATAGAAGAAGTTGACAATCCTGCCAAACGACAGCTTAGTTGGATCCGAATCGCGAGTAGCAATACGGCTCACATGTTTCCATTACGCGCGTATGACCAGTGGCCGTGCACCAAAAGAAGTCTCTTCAAGAATCGGAACTGCAGATCGCCATGTAAGAGTCCGTTACTTCATACGAAGAGACAGACAAACCTGCGCAATCGCATAATCCGAAGAATTGACGGCCTGCAAACCTTCTTCGCCAGAAATACCAACGCCAACGTCGGCCGCCTGGATCATGCTGACATCGTTTGCACCGTCGCCTATAGCCAATGTCATGGCACCCAGGCCATCCTTCACAAGCCTGACAACGAGAGCCTTCTGCAGCGGCGAAACACGACAGCAGATAACACCCTCGCATTGCATGGCAAGTTTCAACAGCATTGTCTTGTGCTCGACATCCGCAAAGGCCTGCAAAGAATATCAGCAAACGGATTGCTGTATCTCGAAAGAAAGCGCTGACCTGGAGAAGGGCTGCTCCATCTACTACCAGGACGAACCCACCAGGACGTTGGCCATTGTCATGTCCGACAAGAGAAGACACTCCAGTATTAACGCGCTGAAGAGGATACATCCCGTCCCGGGACGGCGAGCAGGTGTAGTTCACCATGTGTTCATCGTCGAGAATATCGTGCTCGGGGAAGAACTGCTCGAAGGCATTCAACATCTGCTGATAAACAGACTTGTCGCCTCCGCGGACAATGATGATATTTGAATCGCGGGCAATTAAGTTCGTGCTGTAACCGATGGCTGCAACAACGCATTAGCCACTATAATCATCTGATGAAAACATAACGCAAGCTTACCGATGGCGGTCTCCAGCTTGTCACCGGTGGCAACCCAGACTTTAATACCGGCTCGCTTGAGATCTGCAATGGTCTCCGGCACACCATCTTGGAGACGATCCTCGATAGCAGTAGCTCCAAGAAGACGAAGGTCATATTCGAGCTCCTCGCAGACGGCCTCGATGGCGCCCTCTCTGTCCTCCATGGCAACAGTCGCTTCTTGGTATCTACGAGCCCAGGGCTCGTACTCCTCATCTTTGAAATATTGAGTGCTCTGGAATTGCAAGCCAGATGACTCCAAGCTTACCAGAGATGACCTTATACGCCAGCGTCAACGTCCGCAGACCCTCACTCGCAAACTGATCAAGATGCTGCTCCGTCGTCTTCTTCAGGTCGTCGTTACCAGGCTTGAGCCTCTCAAAGATAACGTTATCAGCACCCTTGGTAAGCAGGAACACCCTTTGGTCCTCATCGTCGAGCTTCCGCACGACAACGCTCATCCTCTTCCTTGCACTGGTGAAATCCAAGATGTTCAGCAACTCGTATTTCTCAACGTGGTCGGAAAACGGAGTTTGCAAGCGTAGAATTTCCCGGTCACGTCCACGGAAGACGAACCCGATGTCCGCGGCAGCTTGCACCAGTGCGGCTTCATCCGGGGATTGCGCCTTGTACTCGATAGCACCAGTCTCCTGGTCTTCGGCAGTGAGCACAGTATGACAGAGCGCAAGGACTGAGAAGAAGCCGTTCAAAGAGCGGGCGAGCGGGGCACTCTCGGAGTCGGGGGCTGCGTGGATGGCTTGGTCTAGGTCCTGCTTGAGCACTGAATCCTGGAAATGGGTCAGAACCTGCGAAGACAGCTTCACGCCCTTTGCGTCAAGAGTCGAGGGCACGGAGTGGTCATCCTGGCCGTCCTGCTTTGTCCCTGATCCTTCGGAAGTGGGACTCGCAAGGCGACCGTTGTTGTAATTGTCTGCAACCGATTTAACGCGCGTGATCGAATCCTTGTCTTCCTCGGAGGACTCATCGCCCTTGTACACCTTCCCATTGACGGAGCACTGCCGGAACACCATGGCATTCTGACAAAGGCATCAGAACCCAGTGCGCCAGACACACATGCGTTCAACTCACCTGAGTCAGGGTACCAGTCTTGTCAGAGAAAATGTACTCGATTTGGCCCAAATCATCCGACAAGTTCCAGCTCCTTGCCAGAGTAGGAGTCTTGGTCTTCTCATAATATATCTCCTTGTCGAAGTAAATGAAGATCGCCTGGCACGTCCGGACGAACTCTATGGAGATATACAGAGAAATGGGGACAATGTTCTGGAACCTATGGATGGTACGGTTTGTCAGTCAACCCTAACGATACAGAATAAATAATAATGAAGCGACGAACGTGATGAGAGCAAACGCCCAGGTAACCAAGCCATTGATGCGAGGGTTGTCATCCGGCTGGGTGTCACCGTACAGCCAGGGAGCATTCAGGGGGTAGTACCTCTGCTCTAGAACCGCATCGACTATACCGCACACAACAGCCATAACGGCGAGGATGATGAGGTTGATGAAGCTGCACGTCCCATAAATCAGCTTCACCTTGACTTACTATGTCAGAACTTACACCTGAGGGTTCATTTGACGCTCGACCTTGCTCCGCTTACTGGGCGCCCCACCCGAGTTCAGCACGATTTTCGTGTCCGTGCCGGTGAAAAGAACGATGCCAACGACCCATTCAGTGTTCCTCAGGACCGTCCCTCGCAGGAGCACGTTCTGCATGTCCACCGGGAATTTACCTTGTTTGGTGGCGACCGCAGCGTTGAACTTATACATGTTCACGTCCGGCCTATCGCACTCGACGTGGAACGCATTCTCCTTGCTTACACACGCCTGAGCCGTGCGCATATGGGTGAGCGCCGGAACGGCATTCCTGGACTTGAGGTTCGTCTCACCGTCGAGGTTCTTCGTCTCGACGTAGCAGACATTCTCCTCGTCCGAGGTCGCGCAAATGAGGATGTCCGCCGGGAACGACTCATCGCCCTTCAGCTTCACGATATCACCAACGCGGACGTCCTCCCATATTGTGTTCCGCCAATGAGGGCGGTTGGAATGATGATGGCCGAACAGATGGTGACTATGGCCTGTCTCCCCCGTGCGAACGGACTCGTCGTCGTCGTACTCGACATCCGGCTCGTTCATATCGGTGGTCTGCGTCTGCGCCTGGATGGCCTCTGAGGGAGCAGCGTTCTCCAGATTCTCAGTGTCCGCGTTCTGCGCCTCACCACCCTGCTTGACCTTCCTGTTTCTCCGAGACCTGGGTAGGATCCCGCGTACGAACGTCTTCTCCTTCCCAGCCGAGGCATTGGGATTTGACCAACCACCGCCGGAGAGTACACGGACCTCGGTGTAATTGACGCGTCGGTCCGATTGGTGGCGCTTGATATCCTCGTACCCGTCCTTCAAGGCGGTGATACCGAGGACGACGAGCAAAGGCAGGATGACGAGACCAGGACTGATAGTACTGAATATCGAGAAGAACTGCAGAATAGCAATAGCAAGGAAGAAGCTGAACAGGTGCACGCAGCGTCAGGAACAAGAACTTCAGTAGCATAGCTTTGCACGACGTACATGTTCGCTATCCGCCTGAACTGCTCCAACAAATTCCGAGGCAGAAAGGTGATAACGGTGTACTTGGTATGACCTTTTTTTTCACGGAAAAATCGAGGTGGCAAAGTGCCCAGTCGAACGCGTTACCGGCGGTCCATCCGGAAGGCGTTACCCGGTACACGTGCATGCGCCCACAACGCGCACGCGTAACTCGCTACTCGCTACTCGTTACTCGCTACTCGCTACCCAGTCAGACGCAGGAGGCTAGTAGCGGCTCCTTAGCAACTCTGAGGTGCTACTGCCACCACTATTTAACGGTAGTTATGACGTCTATAATGCTTGTACTTACTTGCTTTCTATGCAATGATAAGACATTTCCTTCCAGTACTTCCTGCTTCGAGTGAGCCTCAAAGCATGGAAGTCCATCAGTCGCACCGGTCCTATGAACTAGCAGTGGTAGGCTTGCAGATAGTCGTGGTTTGGGTAAGTAGACTTCTTAATTTCGGTTAGGAGTCGTGGTTCGGCTATGCACATCGCAAGGAATTTGATATCTGCGGAGGTATAGTAAAGTCCAGGACACCGTACCCATACCGTGCGTCTTGTTCCCTCGGTGCGTCT